TGATGTAAGCATCTGCTGGGTTTCCTCAACCTCCCCCCCCCCCGTTTTATTTTAATCCCACCATCGCCTCCCTCTTTCGCAAAGTTGACATTCCTAGGACTCGTAGCTCGCTTCGCTCCTGGAGTCACTTGGCAAAGTTTGAAGGAGAGGCTGCCTGCTCCCACCTCCCACGGAGCAGAACTGCTGCTTCCTCACCTCCCAGCGAAAGAACCCCCGAGAGCTGGAAGGCGTCCTTTCTCCCACTTTCCGCTTCCCATCCTCCCTTTTCCAAGCACCCCTCCCAGAGCAAACCAGAAGCCTCAACTCCAGCCTCCTGCAGCAGGCTGAGATAGGCGAGCCCGAGCGACCGTCTTCTGCTGCCTCAGAACATTCACTGCAGCAGCTCTTTCTCTCCGTCGGCTTCCTCCTCCGCTCCCTGGGAACCTTCGCGCCAAAAGGCAGCAAGAAGAAAGTCCCAGAGAGGGAGAGCGCGGGGTGAGGGGAGAGCAGTCTTTTCCGAAGGGAAGAGAAGCCAGGACTGCAGAGCCCGTTCATACCAGAGCTGGATGGGGGGCAGGGCAGGCGCACGTTTTGCCTTAAGCTCCTCTCTTCAATCAAGCCCTGTGTTCTGTGCGCATGCGCGTGCGCGCGCGTGTGCGCGCGCACATTTTGCGGCTCCCAGGATTTTTTTTTTGTGAGGGAAATGGATCCAAGTGGCTCTTTCACTGTTGCAGGTTGCTGACCCCTGGTATAGCATGATGGATAAGTATTTGCCTACATTTCTCAGGACTGAAGACATCATTATCCTGACTGAATCTTCAACTCCATGTCACTCATGTCAGGGGCACCTGTGGGGGCCTGGACAGCAATGAGGTGCATCCGAGGATAGGGAAGGGTGGGTGGGACAGAGGGCGAGCACCAGGGCATGGTCCACTGGAGGAGCCTCACTGAGCCTCAGGCTGTGCACGGGGCCCCTGGACAGGGGCATGGACTGCCCAGAGCAGCAGAGGTCAAGTGCCCAGCACGGCCCTTGAGCTCCCACGGCATCAGGACCCCACAGCCTTACCTAGCCTAGCTGCACTTCCCCGAGGGGGTGCTCAGCTGCACTTACCTCCTCCTCAATGCTGCTGCTGCTGTGCTCACTCTCCTTGGCCAGTTTGCTCATGGTGGGTGCAGGAGGACAAAGTGCGTGGGTCAGAGGGAGGCCCACTCCTCTCCATGTGAGGAAACCTGGCTTTGTAAGCAAAGCATCCTCAACAATAGGATAGGAGACCACCAGGGAATGGCAAAAGGGCAACAGAGCTGCTGGTGGTCAAGTACTAAAGCAGGACTTCCTTCCTTCCTTCCTTCCTTCCTCCCTCCCTCCCTCCCTCCCTCCCTCCCTCCCTCTCTCCCTCCCTCCCTTCTCTCCTTCCTTCCTTCCTTCCTTCCTTCCTTCCTTCCTTCCTTCCTTCCTTCCTTCCTTCCTTCCTTCCTTCCTTCCTTCCTTCCTTTCTTTCTTTCTCTTTCTTCCTTCCTTTCCTTCCTTCCTTTTCTTTCCTTCTTTCCTTCCTTCCTCCCTCCCGTTCTTCCCTGCCTCCCTCCTTTTCATTCCCATCTCCTTCCTTCCCTTCCTTTTTCCTATTTCCCTCCTCTCCTTCTCTCTGTGCCCAGGAAGGGACAGGGGAGGGGGGAGGTTGGCAGCACTTCTCTCAAAGAATAAGAGTTGGAAGAGACTTTTGAGGTCTTTAGTCCAAGCTCCTGTTCAAGCAGGGGACGTATACTATTCCAGACAATGGAATATCCAATCTCTACTAAAAGCCTCCAGTGATGGAGCATCCACAACTTCTGAAGGCAAGCCTTTTCACTGCTTAATTGTTTTCACAAATCCTTAGTTCTAGGCTGGTTTTCTTCTTGATTAGTTTCCATCTATTATTTGCCTTCTGATGCTTTGGAAAATAGGTTGACCCCTTCTTCTCTGTGGCAGCCCAGCAAATATTGGAACACTGCTATCATGTCACCACCCCTAGTCCTTTTCACTAAGCTAGACATATCCAATTCCCACAAACATTTGTCATATGTTTTAGCCTCCAGCCCCCTAATCATCTATGTTTACCATCCGTTTAGACCAGATGGTCCCCCTGATTTGGTTTATAGAACAGTGACCATAAGCAGAGTCTTCTCAGAGACAGCACCCCCATTATAGAACTTTCTCCCAAGGAAAAAATGAACAGTGCAACCCTCACCCGTTTAGAGGCAACTCCAAACACACTGTTCAGCCAGGCATATGTAAAACAACAACACATGTTATGGTCAAACAGCACTAAGTATATTACTACTACTGAGGCAGAATGGAAAATACTTACTCATAGTAATAGAACATATTAGTAGAAGCTTCCTTGCTTTGATGTTGTAAGTTTTAGGAAAAGGGAACTTTCCTTCATGTAACAATGAACTGTGTGACCTGTGTGCTATACTGAAAGTCACAAATGGTGTAAGATAATATCCTTATAGAGAAATATACAGTAGTATGATAGCCAATTATATAAACTTCTCCTTCCCCCCCCCCTCCTGCTATAGCTGATAAGGGTAACGCATCAGGCAGGGCTGGGGTTGCTAAAGGGATAAAACGTATGCCCTGGGAGTAGCCCGGGGTTCAGAATTTGTCATGCTAATGCTCTGAACCTTTGCGCAAATAAACCTGTTTCTCCAACCCTTAGTAGTAACACATCGGCTTCCTCAGCGGAGTGGGAGGAAGTTAAAAAAAAAGAGAAGGGGTGGAAGAACGGGGAAGCTTTCCTTTTTTGTAACACATCGGCTTCCTCTTCCCCTCCTGGCTCTCTCTCTCTGTCTCTCTTACACACACACACACACACTCTCTCTCTCCCTCCCTCTCTCTCTCTCTCTCTCTCTCTTCCTGTTTTCTCCTCCTCGTCCTTTTCCTCAGCTGCACCTGAACAGAGTGGGAGGAAGTTAAAAAAAAAGAGAAGGGGTGGAAGAACGGGGAAGCTTTCCTTTTTTGTAACACATCGGCTTCGTCCTCCTCTTCCACTCCTGACCGGGCCTGACGGGGGTTAAGCTGGGACGGGAGGGCTAAAGCAAATGAGCTACTGCTCACTGTTTCCTGCATGTACTCCAAGGTGCCCAGCTGGGTTGCGGTGGGCCAGGGCTGGGCAGCGGGACCCGTCCCTTGTCATTTCTGGGACAGCCCAGCGGGCCTTGTGTTTGACATGTCTGGTCTAGGGCACCTGCTGCCATTTTTCTACATCCCAGTTCTTACGTTTTCATGCATAGATGAGTCGCTTAACCTTGTTTCCATGTTGGAAATATGGGTTTTTGGCCACAATTCTTTCATGAAGACCACTTCTGGCCAGACTTCTCCGGACAGTAGATGGGTATAGCAGGATTCCACTGGTTTCTGCCATTTCTGTGCTGATGGCACTGTTGAACATTTTCCAATGTCCAAAGGAAGTAAGCATGATGTGTCTTTCATCTGCTGCATTAAATTTCCACTGCATCATGAAACTGTCTTCTATAACCTTAGTAGCAAAGTTTGGCTATTCCTAACTCACTTTTAAGCCTCCTACACAGCTGTTTCTGTTTCAGTTAATGACTGTATTTCAGCCTGTATATGAAATTGATGATCATTAGCACCTGCTTGGTATAATTAATTAATCATCCAAGGTGTCAAACTGCCGGCCCGTGGACCAGTTGCATCATATGGAGGCTGCGCCCACCCAGCTCCGGCAATGCAAAAAAAGTCATGATACATTGCGACACTTCACACGACATGGCGAGTTTGACACCCGTGCTCTAATCCTACAAAATCCCTGACTTTGTGCAAGTGTAAGAATTAATGCTGTTTTGAAGACAAAGGGTGGTCATACTAAATACTGATTTGATTTGGATTTCTCTTCTGTTCATTTACTTTCCATTTTGTTACTTGATAAAAATAAACTATTAACACTCCTATTTCTTTTTTTATATAATATTAGTTTTCTAATTTTACAATTAAACATTTAAAAAGCAACGTGGTGGCTGGGTAATCAATAATTCAATAACATACATAAATCTTTAGCACAAATCTCAAGTTACAACATCAAATATTTCCTCTCTTTTCCCCTTAATATCTACTATCTCATATTGAGCTATTATAGTTCTTATTGTTATCAACTAAGTAAAATCATCTTTGTTACATTTATCAATAGTTTTTATCTTATACATATCTTGTGTTTGCATTCAATCCTTATAATCAATGTCTTGTTATTGCTTTTTTCCCAGACTTTAATTCCCCCTCAATATTCAGGTTAACATTTGGTATATTATAATTTCTAAGCTTTAGGCGACCAGAGTTTCCCTTATCTCAACTTCTACATTTTTCCCTTTTTATAATCTAAAATTCTAAATACACATTTTGTCTATTTGCATATAATCCTATTCTATTTTCTAAAAGTTATCTATTTTTCACCATATTAAACCCAAAGTCTATTAATTTTATTACACATCTTATCTATTCAATTATAATGTTACTTTATTTTCTAAAAATTATCTATTTTCCACCATATTCAACCTACTAATCAATAGTATAAAATCCGCTCTATTAGATCAAAACCCTAGTTTCTTTCAGCCTTACTCTGGCTTTTTTCCTTTGCCAACTAACCTTCCATGTCAGTACTTTTGAATCCTCAAACAGTTCTCCCTCTATTATTATATGTATTATTTGAAATAAGAAGGACCATTTAATTACAGTTTTTTTGGGAAGGGCTAGCCCAATTATTTCATTTACTCTCCTCCCTATTACTCCAGTTTCCCATAATTGTCCTGATAAATTTATCTTCCATTCAATCTGTTCTTCTTCCTTTTCCTCAAATTTCTTCTGATTTATGTAAAAAGTCTTTTCCATTCTCAATGTTGTCACTCTCTTTTCTAATTTTCCCGTTGGCTGGATCTGTTGGTCAGTTGGGTCTTCTGTCTTAGTATTTAGTTGTTCCACTTCTCCTATTACTTGCTGCATTGTTAGTTCTTTGGTTGTAGTCAAGATCTGGGTTTGTATATCTAAGCTGGCATCTTGTTCCTTTATGTTGCCTCTTATTTTGTTATACACTGAAAGAATGGTTTTGTGTATTGATTTCAACATAAAAAGGATTTTTTTCCTGATTTTCATTCATATTCTCTTGGTAACGTATTAAGTTGAAAATTTTAAAATCAAATGTTAAAAATAGCTAGGTATGGGACATGTTGTAGGTAGTCTTTATAGTGGAAATTGTTTGCCAAGTAAGAATTTATAGTCCAAAGTATTCCATCATCTTGTATAATACTTCTCATGTAAAGAAATAGAAAACAATTTCCCACATATAGCTCTGAAAATCAGTAAAAATTTATCTTCATAGTTCAAACAGGCCAGATATGCCACCCTGCAGTTCCTTCTTCATAGATGAGTTTTTCACAGGTGGTATCTGACAAGGTCAAAGAGTTTTTTCTAAATTCTAGGCTTTAAGCCAAGTCTCATTTAGTCAATAACAAATTGTAATACCATACCTTGCCAGAAGATGTAACTGATGCCATTTAAAACTTTTTAAGTCCCCCGTTTTTATATAATAGTTTTTCAAAGTTTATTTCTTTTCTTTTTAGATAAAAATCAGCGTATCCAGTAGAAATAGGAATAAGAAAACTTTTAGGAAAACTTTTTAGTCCTGAAATTTCAAAAGTATATGCATCCAATTAGATTAAAATTGTTTTTATAATTGCTTTGTTTCCTCTGGGTAGTCAGTCGCCACTGTTCTTAGAGGGTGGGACAGGAATTCCCTTCCCTCTCTCCTCACAGGGGGAAAAATACTTTTGCAGGAAAGATATTTAGAGTCTTAAAGAGAAGATCAGATCTCACCCAGTTTCATCCGCGTTGCTTTAAAGGTGATTGGTAATAATTTTGACTTCAGCTGTCAGCAGCTTAATGATGAGCCATATTGCTATGGCCGGTCTTTCCCCCACCGGTTGGAAAGTTGCCCCGGATCAAGCGGAAGGGCTACCACCCTCCCGTGATCAAGCGGGGATCCCCTCCTCGCTTGTCGCCCCTACATGGCGACTTTCGACCCTTCCCAGGGTCCCCCAGTGGGATGAAATCAGACGCTGAAGACAGAGTTTCACCTCCATGCGTCCGCAGGCGCCAATGGCAAACCGGAAGTCAACACTCCTATTTCTGAAAACATTCTTAATTTTCAGGATTTTTGAACAACTGCCTAACACAGTACTGCACAGTATAAATGCACAGTACTGCATTTATATTTTTATGGTGTGTTTCCCCACCCCCACTCCTCAGCTGAGTAACATTGGTTAAGGTGATTGTTCTTAGCATAGCAAGGCATAATATTAGTCTGGGATTCATCTTCCAGAATCTAATTTAGACTGGAGTCATAAAGTTTTTGGCAATAAGACCTATTGAACATAGTCCAGTTTCTGAATAAAGCCTAAAATACACATCTGATTATGTGATTCATTCAGTATTCTATTTTAATAATGGTCAGTCAGATGTTTCTAGAAATTTCTACTCTGGGTAGGAATAGTTCTTTCATTCATTCAAACTGTTGATGTCTCCATAACTGTATACATGTTTATGTTAAATATACAGTAATAAGAATACCTGGAAATCTAATATAAACCTCTTTCTTGAGAACTGAAAGAAGCCTGCAGAAAACCCATGGCAGCAAAATTAAATGTTGCTGTGAAAAAAGGTGACCTTCAGCTTGCTCGGCAGCTGTTGGAAGAAGGAGCAAATATTAACGCAAAGGTGGAACACGGCTGGACACCTCTCCATAGTGCTGTACAAAGAAATTCTGAAAAGATCGTTAACTTTCTACTGGAAAAGGGGGCTGATCCATTAGCTAGGAAGGATAATGGTGCTACACCTTTTATTTTAGCAGGAGTGACAGGTAATGTGAACCTTTTGAAACTTTTTCTTGATAAAGGCTCGTATATTAATGAGTGTGATATCAATGGCTTCACCGCATTCATGGAGGCTGCTTGTTATGGGCAAGAGGAAGCCCTAAGATTTTTATATAAGAATGGAGCCGATGTAAATCAGCATCGTGAAGTTGATGAGAATAAAAAGGCTGTGAAAAAAGGAGGTGCGACAGCTCTGATGGATGCTGCCAGCCATGGCCATTTTGCTCTGGTCAAAATCTTGGTTGAGGAAATGGGTGCTGATGTAAATATCTGTGACAATCAAGATGCAAATGCATTGATTCATGCTCTATTTGAGGACAAAGACTGGAAAAAAGGCAGAGAAGACTCGGCCCTTTTCCTTTTGAAAAACAACATTGATGCCAATAAGAGGGATGTAAATGGGAAAACTGTGCTCATATTGGCTGTTGAAAGAGAAAGCCTGGACCTTGTGAAGGCCATATTAGAATTAGATGAAGTTGATCTTGACGATGCTGATGAAAAGAACGAAACAGCATTGCATGTAGCTGTGAAGAAGCAAAACAAAGTAATAGCAACGCTTCTATGTGAAAAAGGAGTACGAGTAGATGATGATGTCCTGGATATTGCCTGTAGAACCTACCAAAGCAATATGATAGAACTTCTTCAGAAATATGAATCACCAGATAATCCAAAGCAGCCAGAAATATGTAAGGAATTCTCAAGCATACGCTGGAGATCAAAACTCCAGAAACTCAATCGAATGCATCGTCCTATGATTGGCAAGCTCAAGATCTTTCAATATCAAGATTTATGGATCCAGAACACCACCAAAGGAGGGGTCTACCTGGGATTCTATGATGGAGTAGAGGTGGCTGTGAAGGTATTCTGCAAGGGGTCAGAAAATGCCAAGCAAGAAAAAGTGTGCCTTGAGAAATGCCAAACCAGCAAATACCTGGTAAAGTTTTGTGGTCAGGAAGTCAGAAAGACCTGTCTCTACCTGTGCCTCTCCTTGTGTGAAAAGAATCTTCAAGAGTACTTCAAGGAAGAAAATAGCACAACTATGGAAAGCAAAAAGATTCTTAAAAAAATATTTCAGGCTGTAAAGGAACTTCATGCCTTTGGATTTGGCCATCAGGAACTGCACCCAAGTAACATTTTGATAGGTTGGTGTTTTCTTTGGCAGTCTGCCCACTTATTCCAGTGTAATCCACTTAACTTTACGGGCTATATATGGAACAGCACAATTCACAATTTTTTTGCAGAGAGTGTTTTGTTGTTTTCAGCTTTCCCTATATCATATTATAAAGCCCCAGTTTGGCACTTTAGCAAACCATTAACAATTTCATCATCATAAGTGGCAAAACTGCTTATCATTTCAAAAGGTCTCAAAGGTCATCCCAAGGTAATTTTGTCTGGTCATCTGTCCCATAAAAAAAAATTTCAGTACCCCATGAAAGTTGATGATTTCCTTCTCCTCCGACAGTCTTGTGAAATGAAGGGGAGGACTCATTTTTATAGTTGAAGGTTGAGAAGAGGCGATGGCTCCTCCTCATCATGCTGTCTTTCCTTCAGGGACTTTCCCTCCATTCTGAAATCAGTATTGGCAATGAGCTGAATTTAAGAAAAAACTGTCTGTAGTGACTGCATGGTGAGGGGAAGTTAACAGTGATTTATTTTTCTGTACAATCCTTCAGCTCAGATTCAATTCAGACATCTGTTCGTGCTTTATACATGAACAGGAAAAGTCTTTCATATCTATGTTAGCTGAGGAGGTTCACCCATTCTCAGCTCATTGGAATGGAAAAGAAGAATAAACTCCTTTCCCTCACATTAGCTGATGCTGCCCAATAATCTGGGCAGCTCACAACAATCAGAGAAATTGCAATAAATCCAATAAAAAATACAAATGAAAGAGGCTCACTCTTCCAAAAGCCTAAATGGGTGTTATTTTTCATCGTAGTTAGTGAAAACAAAACAGCTTCATTAACTCTGTGTGAAATTGAATTGGTGCACTGCTGGTGGGAATGTTCCCTTCAGTGCACAAATATTTATCTCCTCCCTTCTGTGGCCATCAAAATCTGGACCCTCAGAACAAGATTGAAGGGCCTGTGGAGAAAGGCAAGTTAAAATTGTATTGTGTGAGCAGAACTGATCCCTGGATAAATGTATGGTTTGAAGGTAGCTTGTTTACTAAAAACTGTTTATATTAAATTGTCTAGGTTAATATTATAAGGTGCCCAGAGTCACTGTGTGACAGGATGGGCGGCTAATAAATTTTACAAATAAATAACTAAAAATAAATAAATCTACATTTAATCAAAAGCAGATATAAAAAGTAACAAGCTTCTCTTGACTCATAGGCAATGGACAAAGCCCAAGCATAATACATTCTCATAATACTGCAATAATAATTTAATATTTTAAGTAAACCAAGTCCCTTGTGCATTAGGTTGACATGAAGTAAGACAATATTTCAAAAAACAGATCACTCGCCTTATGCAAAATAAATATATTTTGCTGATGGGTCTTTTCTCAAAAGATAGTGGCAAAATTACTGCTGTTACTTCAATTCAGTTTTCAAAGAATTTATACTTTATTTCTATCAATTTCTTTTTTACTTTGTTAGATGTCACTGGCAAGATTTTTCTAGCAGACTTTGATAAGAGCAGAGAAATAACTGATGATACAAAATATTCTGTAATCTCGAAAGACCTACAGGTAAATAATTATCTTTATCTGTCTCCAATCTTCTATATTCTGCAGAATATTAAAAATAATTATAATCTCCAAAGAACAAAAAAAAATGTAAAATTGCTTCTGGTCTTTACAGAAGCTTTTTTCCATAAAAACCTAATATGTGTTATGGTATTTTTATTTCTGAAAAACCCACATACCCTGTTATACTTAATAATTAGACCTAGTTCTAAAATAAAAATTAGACATGGTGCTCCATTTTAAAAATAAATTTACTTTTTACAAATCTACAGTTCTGCTAGACATCCTTGTGCTAATTTGAATCTCAGCAGAGTTACCATTTTGGGAAAGCTACAACATTACTTCACTCCATTTAAGTCCATTTAGTCTATGGAGTAAAGCAAATCATAACTTACAAGTTGTAATTTTACTGTATGGTGATGGGCATGCTTGGGACTTGCTGCGTTAACTAAGATGAACTACAATCTGGACACAGAACTTACTGCCCTGTGAGAACCCAGCATAGAGGCTAAAGAAGGGAATCTGCTCTAATTGTTATGGTGTGATATGGACATTTGTTTGTGCACACAGGATCTCCAAAAACTTATGCTGTATGTTGTGATGAGAGGCCAGAAGGACTTTGAAGATTTGCCTACAGAATGCCCAGAAAATGTAAAGGAACATAAGGAAATTCTAGACCTCCAAAGAAAACTGAAACTCTCTGACCAAAGTACCCCAGCTGATAGTCTACTGGAAATGCTGATCTGTCATCCATATTTCTGGTCCAAGGAGACGTAAGTTAATACCAGAAATTTTGTAACTGGCTAATTTGACTTGATTGTCTGATTATTAGCATAATAGCCATAGGGGAAGGAGTTTTACAAGAAGAGCTAGAATGACAGACCTGAAATTATGCAATCTATTCATTACAGATCTTTTAAATTAAAAAAAAATTGTCCTCAGCATTGAATTCCGGGATTTGATTACATGACTTATAATTTATTTTATCATCTCAATGGCCTGATATTGTTGAGAACAATGCAATTAATACGGAGAAAAAGTTGCTGTCAGAATTCCCTCATTGTATTTTCTCTGCAAGGATGAGATGGCTCACAAGAATATTAGTAATCATTCGGTAAAATGTTTCATATAAGCTATTACGATATCACTAGAGATATCAAAGCAAAAGTTCTGAAAATACTAACACAGGGTGCTGAATGTGATAAGTCTCTGAAAGATAACTCTGAATTTAAGGCAACCACCCCATTTCTAGACAAAATCACCACCAGATGGAATTGTAGCTGGCTGACAAACCATACTCAACAAATAGTCCTCAATGGCACTACATCCACATGGAGAGAAGTAAGCAATGGGGTACCACAAGGCTCTGTCTTAGGCCCAGTACTCTTCAATATCTTCATAAATGACTTAGATGAGGGAATAGAAGAGGAATTCATCAAATTTGCAGATGACATTAAACTGGCAAGAATAGCTAACACCCCCAAAGACAAGCTCAGGATCCAAAAAGATATTGACAAACTTGAACAATGGGCCCTATCCAACAAAATGAATTTTAATGTGCAGAAAAGCAGTTTTACATTTAGGCAGGAAAAATCAAAGGTATAAGTACAGAGTAGGCGATACTGCCCAGATTCATTATCTTGTCAATGTGGAGTTGCCAACTCTAGCTGAAACTAATTCTAGAATTCCAGTCCCCCCAACCTCACAATAAAGAGTCACTGGAGGTTGGGTAGCATATAAATTTAATAGTAAGAATAAGTACAGTAGAATGACTATGCTAAAAGAAAGCAAAGATGTACTAATACTAAAAGGTGCTTTGAGTGCAAATCCCAAATCAGGTACTTGCAATTCCAATAACTTCCTATTTCTCAAAGTCTCCCTCTCTTTCATCGATACTAGACATCCAGTTTTGATTGCCACAATATAACAATATGCTGAGACTCTAGAACAGACATGTCAAACTCATAACATCACATGACATTGCACAACGTATCAGGACAGTTTTGACATTGCCAGCATTGGGATGGGCGTGGTTTCCATGTGACGCATCCAGCCTGCAGGCTGGCAGTTTTGACACCCCTGCTCTAGAAAGCATGCAGAGAAGAGCAGCAAAGACTATTGGGGGACTGGAGGCTAAAAGATATGAAGAACAGTTGCAGGAATTGGATATGTGTAGTTTAATGACAAGAAGAAGTGATGGGGTGACATGATAGCAGTGTTCCAATATTTGAGGGGCTGCTATAAAGAAGGTGGGATACAACATATTCTCCGAAGTACCTGAATGCAGGTCAAGAGCAATGGATGGAAACAAATCAAGGAGCAAACCAATCCAGAACTAAGGATAAATTTCCTGACAGAACAATTCATCTGTGGAATTACTTAATTTCAAAGGTTTTGGGTGCTCCATCACTGGAGATTTTTAAGAAGACATTGGACTTCCACTTGTCTAAAATGGTATAGGGTCTCCTGCTTGAACAGTGGGTTTTGCTAGAAGAACTCCAAGGTCTCTTGCAACTTAGTTATTCTGATATTCTAAAATATTAGACAGCCTCCCTTTCCAATCACAGGCAGTTATTTGGAAGGTAGTACATGTATTCCTATTGGGAAACCCATTACAAAATAGACCATAGGCTTTATGAAGACAGTGTTTGTTTCCATATATCTCCTAGAGTCTAAGGGCCTTTCCCATTGCGGTGTTATAGTGCTGTCTACTCATCCTCAGGTCAAGCAGAAAATCACACTTGTAAGAAATTAGCTGTTTTGATTGCCTTTGTGCCTAAGAAAGACAAAGCCAGCAGACCTTACACAACTTGTGGCTAACACTGATTACATTGGTTTTAGGGGGGGAAATAGTAGTAGAGCTAAGGATGACTTATGGCTGTCTCACTCACTGGGGACAAGGTGAAGATAATATTACAGAGAGCTGGCACACATCCCAAGGGAGAGTTGGGATGGCATGACCAGAAGGCTGTTCCAATGTACTGGATAAACAGATGCTCAAATGCCAATGTGTAACTCCTTTAAGTCTTGATGTCTCTCTCTCTCTCTCTCTCTCTCTCTCTCTCTCTCTCTCTCTCTCTCTCTCTCTCTCTCTCTGTGTGTGTGTGTGTGTGTGTGTATTGATGATCATTAGCACCTGCTTGGTATAATTAATTAATCATACTACCTTGTGTTCTAGCGTTATCTTTATTTTTAGATACATTTTTGGGCAATGGGTAGTCCCATTAAAACTCTTAAAAAATTAAAGTAGAGTATGGGCATAGTCCAGTGATCAGTTTGGAAGTATATGCTTGCCCAGAAAGCTGACACAAATCTATTGAGGGTTTAAAGAATATCATGTCAGTTTAGAGGGATAGAAGGGGAAATCTCACTGGTGGTTTCTAATAAATGAGTGTTCGGTGGTTGCCATGTCCAACCAAGATAGTTGTTTTTGTAACAGTGCAGGTGTTCTTATCAGCTCTTTTATGAGAGAACCCACAATACGCCATCCAAACTGCTGGCAGTCACTTCCTAACTTTGAAGTTAATATGTAAAGTATATTTTATTGTACAAACACCTTGGTCTCACAGATCATCTACAACACTTTTCATCCAGTAGTAATATACTGCATTTTTTTACAATTGCCTTTTGTTCTACAGAAAGTACAGGGTCTTAAGAGATATCGGGAATGAGATACGTGTGGCTCATGCAAGCAAGAAAAATGACAGCCTGAATGCTTTGGAATGTGAGCCTGATCCTTTCATGGACTGGAAAACAAAGGTAATCTATTGAACAGCAAAAAAAAAGAGGGGGGGGGAGGAATCATTTTGCATCTTCCAATTTTAAGTTTCAATTATATTGATCCAATTTTTGCCTTTTTTTGAAGCCGGCTGTGCTAGCTAACAGGTTTGATGGCAATTTCTGCTAGTGACAAACAGCTAAGGCCTCACATGAGCAGTTTATCATAGGCATGCTTAGTCAGCATCCATTATTGAGAAACAATGTATGTAGTGGTATGTAAAATTTGGATGAGAATCAGGGAGACCTGGATTCAACTCCACTTGTATATTAATGTTGAAAATCCTGTGAATCAGTGTGTGAATTCGAATCCAAAGTTTTCTAGCTTTTTCATATGTCCACCCAGCATAATAAGATAACCCTTTGATGAAAGTTAGCCCAGAGAAGAAATATTAAAAAGGGCAGAAAAATATTTTTTTTCTCAAAAGGACTTTTTAAAACCAAACCTGGCCCCAAATCTATCTCTCTGCCCCAAGCAAGAGCTAGGCCCATACAAATGCAAATGTAAAACCATCAGAAAGTTGAAGCCAGAGCAATCAAGAAGACAAAAGAGAAGATCTGCATACCCCACCCAAACTCTAGGAATCAGCCCCATCACCTGGGAAGCAGGATATGATAATAGAATTAAACCACAAATATCAAGGCCTAGACAAACACTCAGAAACAGCCTCAAGGTTCATGCCACAGGAACAGGAAACTTCCAAACAAAAGGCTAGGGGGGGTATAAAACCTACTGCCCATGTGCTCAATCTCGCCCTTCTTCTCTCCTCTGCACTTTCCTGAAGAACCATCTTTCTGCAATAAACTGTAACCTTCTTCCCAAAGCAGTCACCATGTTTGCTTATTTATTCCCGGCTTGGATGAACCAGGATGAAGACTTTACTTCTATCAATTTGGCACCCCGAGATGGGACTCCAAGCTAACCTCTCCAATGGACTGAGACTGGTAAGCCCCATCTTGCCGGCAGCAGACCCCGTTGTGTCTGTGGATGGGTCTCCCAGGCCTTGCCCATGTGGAGCTAGGGTAGTAAAGGGAGTTTTGAGAGTTTGAACTCAAGGGCTGCTTTGGAAAGAAGATGAAGGTGAGTACCTCTAAATTTTAAGTTTAAAGCCCAGGGGAACAAAGAAAATGTGTGTATTTCTGTTTGTGTGAGTGAGAAGACTTTTTTTCCCAATCACAATTGGATTTTGCTCCTTCTGGTCTTTCCTAGCCGTAGAAAGGATCTGTTTGATTGGCAGAACCTGGACAGCATGGGGGTTGGCCAGAGCACAGAACCTTTTGTTAGGGAAAAGGGAGAGACTGTGTGAAAATGAAATGGAATGAGTGAATGAAAGAATTGGATTTGGGCAACTAGCTGGTAAGGCCCTGTAAGCAAAGCAAAGTTAGGAAAGAAGTCTCGCAAGGAGACTTCGACTGTGTTAGGAAAGAAGTCTCACAAGGAGACTTCGACTGTGTTTGGAAAGAAGTCTCACAAGGAGACTTCGACTGTGTTAGGAAAGAAGTCTCACAAGGAGACTTCGACTGTATTTGGAAAGAAGTCTCACAAGGAGACTTCGACTGTTAGGAAAGAAGTCTCGCAAGGAGACTTCGACTGTGTTAGGAAAGAAGTCTCACAAGGAGACTTCGACTGTGTTTGGAAAGAAGTCTCACAAGGAGACTTCGACTGTGTTAGGAAAGAAGTCTCACAAGGAGACTTCGACTGTATTTGGAAAGAAGTCTCACAAGGAGACTTCGACTGTTAGGAAAGAAGTCTCACAAGGAGACTTCGACTGTATTAGGAAAGAAGTCTCACAAGGAGACTTCGACTGTGTAGTGTATGAAAGAAAAATAAACTTTGCTTAGGCTTTGCTGGGAAACCAATTTGGCTAAATAAAGATACTTAAAAGGGAAAATAAAAAATAGTGATTCTCTCTCTCTCTCTCTCTCTCTCTCTTCTCTATGCAACCACATGGTATGTTTAAAATGTGTGCCTTCCCTAACTTGAGTTATCTGAAATTTATGGTGGGAATGACCAGGATGTGTAAAACTAAGACTTCTGTTCGCTTGTCTTTGTGTATATATGTTTGTCAAAGTCTGTGCGTGAGAGGTAAATGTGACTGTTAACTGTTTCAAATCCAAAGAAAAAAGAATTTTAAATTCTGCTAGAAATTCTGCTTAAAATAAGCCACAAAAAGGAAATGCCTCACTGTTTGTCTGGCCAACAAACAGAGTGGAGAAAAAAAAATTGTGTTTGTTTGTTTGTTTGTTTTCCTCTTTCTCTCTGTGTACGCTCAAGAACAGCCTTAAGTTACCATGAGGGATTGTTTTAAGTTTATCTGTTGGAAAAGTTTCACTTGCATTTACTGTATGTGTTTTATCTATCCTTTTCCTGAAAAATGTGTGTCTATCTACAAGAGCATTTTGAAACTCAAGTCTGCTTTTGTGGGGAAATAATTTTTTAAAGTTACTTTTCTTATCCTATCACTTACTGGTGAAACTACTATGAAGCTTTCTGAAACATAAGCATTTCTCAATCTCTAAAATGATGTGGTCTATTTTAGAATAAATGTTCTCCGACCTCTGGAAAGTTGCACACCTTAAAATATTAGGCTTTTAAAATTATTTGGAGTTTTCAGCATTTTCAAACTGCCTGCAAGCTACCCCACTTCCAATTCTTTTCCTGCCCTTTGTTCTCCATACCTTTTATCTGCCTCTCCTGGTAGAGTCCACCCAGAAAGCGGGGGGAGACCTTGTTCTTATATCTTTCAGCCCTGAAACCCTCTCCCAAGCCTTTGGAAGCAGAACACACAGACCCAGATGCTGCCTCCATCCATTTGAGCCATGCAATTGAGTTTTGAATCCAGCCATCCACTAAAAAGCCACCATGCAATCTAAGTGGGGAACATCTTCCCAAGTCCTACCATTTACCCAGATGCCTGTGAGAGCTGCAGAAGGAAGGTGGTGCCATGTGAAGCCTCAGAAGAGAAAATTAGACTGTGTGGGGAAGGTGGAAACTCATTGTAAACTTTTCTTTCTTGCCCCATTTGTATTGTAACAAGCCAGTTGAATGTATTAATGGAGAGATGGCATTTAGGAATAGGTGGCAGAACAAGTACTGAACACCTTGGACTTCTATTTTGTGGGAGGGAAAATTTATCCAGAATGTTTGTATTGACTATTTTGTAAAAGTGCACACACACACACCATTCAGAATCATACTTGAGTCTATCCCCTCCACCTACCTTTAGTAAAGTTCCCCAGGCTGATTTTTGCTCTATTGCACCAAAGCTTTCTGGGACCAACTTCCAACAGATTCCAAAGGGGAGGGAACTAGACCCCCTCAGGTGATTTGCAATTCGTATGCCCTGACTAAGGAAGCAACAGGAAAAATCCCAAACTTATGCCCTGAATATTTTGCACTGTTGAGCTCAGATTGGGATTCCTAGAACTCATTATGTGCAATTTAAAGAAAATTTAATAGCCTGGCATATTGGACATTACAAACCTGGATGAATTAAGAGCTAAGGCAGGAAACAACCCTTGAAATTGGGCAGCCAGTGGTCATGTACTAAGGAGAACCATGGCTGTGAAGAATTTTGGGGGGCATGCAAACCTGACTGGAAGCTAAAGGTGACATCCAACATTTGAAAATCATTGGCACAGAATATTGGACACTATAAATTTCTTTTCCACCTAACAAAATTTTGCCTGACTTTTAGAACTTTATGGGTGCAAGCTCCCCTTTTGGGAGCCATTAAAGGGATCTTTTTCTGCTGCCTCCATTAATGTCTTATTATTATTATTATTTTGCTTAACAGTTTAAAAGCTTGCCTACCAAGTCTCCCTGACCAGATCAATTTTAATGTTGTGCCAATAAGTGTGTCATAAATTCACACTTAAGGCACAAAGCGGGGATTGATGAAAGTTAGCCCAGAGAAGAAATATTAAAAAGGGCAGAAAAATATTTTTTTCCTCAAAAGGACTTTTTAAAACCAAACCTGGCCCCAAATCTATCTCTCTGCCTCAAGCAAGAGCTAGGCCCATACAAATGCAAATGTAAAACCATCAGAAAGTTGAAGCCAGAGCAATCAAGAAGACAAAAGAGAAGATCTGCATACCCCACCCAAACTCTAGGAATCAGCCCCATCACCTGGGAAGCAGGATATGATAATAGAATTAAACCACAGATATCAAGGCCTAGACAAACACTCAGAAACAGCCTCAAGGTTCATGCCACAGGAACAGGAAACTTCCAAACAAAAGGCTAGGGGGGGTATAAAACCTACTGCCCATGTGCTCAATCTCTCTCTTCTTCTCTCCTCTGCACTTTCCTGAAGAACCATCTTTCTGCAATAAACTGTAACCTTCTTCCCAAAGCAGTCACCATGTTTGCTTATTTATTCCCGGCTTGGATGAACCAGGATGAAGACTTTACTTCTATCAATTTGGCACCCCGAGATGGGACTCCAAGCTAACCTCTCCAATGGACTGAGACTGGTAAGCCCCATCTTGCCGGCAGCAGACCCCCTTGTGTCTGTGGATGGGTCTCCCAGGCCTTGCCCATGTGGAGCTAGGGTAGTAAAGGGAGTTTTGAGAGTTTGAGCTCAAGGGCTGCTTTGGAAAGAAGATGAAGGTGAGTACCTCTAAATTTTAAGTTTAAAGCCCAGGGGAACAAAGAAAATGTGTGTATTTCTGTTTGTGTGAGTGAGAAGACTTTTTTTCCCAATCACAATTGGATTTTGCTCCTTCTGGTCTTTCCTAGCCGCAGAAAGGATCTGTTTAATTGGCAGAACCTGGACAGCATGGGGGTTGGCCAGAGCACAGAACCTTTTGTTAGGGAAAAGGGAGAGACTGTGTGAAAATGAAATGGAATGAGTGAATGAAAGAATTGGATTTGGGCAACTAGCTGGTAAGGCCCTGTAAGCAAAGCAAAGTTAGGAAAGAAGTCTCACAAGGAGACTTCGACTGTGTTAGGAAAGATAAAAAATAGTGATTCTCTCTCTCTCTCTCTCTCTCTCTTCTCTATGCAACCACATGGTATGTTTAAAATGTGTGCCTTCCCTAACTTGAGTTATCTGAAATTTATGGTGGGAATGACCAGGATGTGTAAAACTAAGACTTCTGTTCGCTTCCAAACTTCCAAACAAAAGGCTAGGGGGGGTATAAAACCTACTGCCCATGTGCTCAATCTCGCCCTTCTTCTCTCCTCTGCACTTTCCTGAAGAACCATCTTTCTGCAATAAACTAACCTTCCCAAAGCAGTCACCATGTTTGCTTATTTATTCCCGGCTTGGATGAACCAGGATGAAGACCTTCTAACACCTTCTTGTTTACATTTCCAATATACATTTGAAATGCCTTTTTACATTCTAGATCAATTTCTAAATTTTAATTTTTCCAACCACATATTTCCCAGTGTTTCATCTGCATATTATAACCAAAATTTCAGTCCACTTTATCATACATTTTTTTACTTGTTCTTCTGTTTCAAATTTCAGTAAAAGTATACACAGTTTAGCAATTACACGTTCATACACAATTCTATTTCAGGTGTAGTTCTTTTGTATACTTTAAATCTTTCTAATAACTATAGATAAGAAAACCATTGGCAAATAATCCCTCTGCCAGAAGTTATATTCCCCTTGACAAAATTATAGTATCTCACACTAAGCCATTTTGTTTGTCTATTATTTTTCATTTATAAAATGCTTCTTGTGCTGAGACTCACAAAGGGGTTTTTGGAGGGCACAAACTGGATTTGTATCTATTTCATATGCTTAATATGGCACGTCTAACAAAACAATTTTTAAAATCCATCTTAATCTTGACTTTGTCATTCCACGAATATTCATGCCACTCAAATCTCAGGTCAAGTACTTCAGACACCAAGAGCCTTCTATTTCTTAGCCGCACTGACTCTTTCATCCACACTAATAGCAAGCTACAAAATACAATTTCGAATCAGGTAGACCCACTCCTCCTCTTTCCTTTGCATCTTACAGTATCTTATATTTAATTCATAGTTTTCCACTGCCAGACAAATTTAGATATATCTTTTATTACTGTTTAAATTGTGCATCAGAACAGATACTGTCTAAGACAAAAACATAATTCTAGGCAAAACATTTATTTTTATCATAGAAATTCTTCCCATCAATAAAAATGGCAGTTTCTCTCATCTTAACATATATTTTTTAAATTCATTCCATGTCTTAATATGGTTATTTTGAAATAACATATAATTTGTATTTGTCATAGTGATACCCAGATATTTTACTTTCTTCTCAATTTTAAAGCCCATTTTATTCATCAGTTTTATTTGATCTTTTATTTTCATGTTAGTTGTTAAAATCTTTGATTTCTATTTGTTGAACACAAAACCTGCTAATGCACTAAAACAGCAGTCCCCAACCTTTCCGGCTTGGCAGCCTGGCTGGAGGGAGAGGGGAACTGGGCTGCGTGAGGCAGGTTGGTGCGCATGCGCTTGTGCGCCAGCCCACTACTCGCATCAGTGGAGTTGTATGCATGCGTGCTGGCACTCCAGTCATATGAATGGAATTGCATGCACGCATGCATACCAGCCTACCATCCACACAAGTGGAGCTGCATGCATGCACGCACACCAGCCCACTGCTCGCCCTGCCCGGTTCTGAACAGGCCACAGCCCAGTAGTGGGTTGGGGGTTGGGGACCCCTACACTAAATCTTTTAGTTTTCCCATTATTGTCTCAATTCCCTTCAAAAGATCTTCTAAAACCAACACCAAGTCATCTGCAAAAACCCTACATTGATAAGTTTCTTTTTAAATCTTTACTCCCACAATCCTCTCATCCTGTTTTGTATTGCTATTCAGTATTTCAAGAATTAAAATAAACAAGAAAGGAGACAGTGGACATCCTGCCTTGTTCTTTTTGGTATCTCACAAAGGCTTGCTAGAACTTCATTAACAATTATTTGTAGTTTCTGTGAAATATAAATACATCTCACCTATTTCATAAAGTCTCCCCAAAGTTCATATCTTCCAAAACTTTGAAGAAAGAAGTTCTCTTCAAATTGTCAAAAGCCTCCTCTGCTTTTAAGAAAATCAATGCAGCTTGCTTTTCATTATGTTGCTCCAAATATTTCAGAATGTCCAACGTATTTTTAGTATTACCCTTTAACTGTCTTTTAGGCTAAAAATTCTCATTGATCCTCGTGAATAAATTCTTGAAAAATTATTTTTAGTCTGTCAGCTAGAATTGTAAACAACTTGCAATCATTATTCAATAATGGTACTGGACTATAATTTCTTCTTAAAGTCAAACAAAAGTCCTTCTCTCTCAGTTGCAGTAGTGCCAAATTATTTAGTTTTCCTTCCAGCTTTCTTCCTATAATTTCTGTTTTACTATCCAGAATTTCTACTTTGTCATTAATTTGTTTTATATCTAGACACACTTGTGTTATACAGATTTCTGTCTTCTGAACTTCTTTCATCCTTTTCATCTTTACAAGTCTTTGATCCATTATTCTTTCAAAAGCTGTCAATTTAGTATCAAATAATTCAGATAACATATTGTTCAATTCCTCAAAGATTTTCTGAAGTAAATCTACTATAATTCCTCTCACTGCAGGTTGCTCTAATGATCTCCCCTCTCTGCTGTTTTTTGCTACTTTCTAGCAGTTGCCATTGTAATACTGTAATCCAAATGTGAAAGTGTCTCAATTGCAAGGAAAAGAGTGAAAGACCTTTTCCCCTATTGATACCCTTAAAATGTTTATCTCAAATGACACTTTATGGTTTCAGTCAGTATCACAATCAGGCTATTATTACCTTTATTTTTTGTTTTGCAAAATTCATCATTTGTCTGTACCCTTTAATAGTAAAAAAAAAACATATTCCCATCCAGTTCATTTGTCTATTTTAATTCCAAGTTTTTGAAAAACACTTTCACACACATACACATGCACGTCCATCCCCTTTATCTGTTTTAAACTTTTTTATATATTTCCTCCTTGTTAAGTTTTTCGGCAGTTTTAAATCTTTATACCTCACTTTCCCCTTTTTTAATCTATAATAAATGTTGACACATCAAATGGTGTGCTGCTGAGAAAATCTCTCTTTAGCTGTAAATTATACCAGAAAGTGTTTATGAAAATGAGGCTTGTGCAAAGTTTGTGTGCATATAGGCTGCATTATGTGATATGTGAGCTAGGTTGAAATCCCTCGAGTCTCAGCTGCATAACTCACGAGTCAACTGCAAAACAACTATGTTTCTGCAGCCACACCATAAAGTGTCATTTGAAATGAAGTTCTCACAATCGCTCCTTTATCCAGAAAGTCTGTGCCTGTCTGGCTTTCGATCTCTGCTGCAGTGTCCTTCAAGGATGTCTATAGTCTGCCATAAATCCTCACCCAGAAGCCAACATTGTTATATCCACTGAGTTGCAAAGAGTGAGTTTATGGACCAATAACTGACCAGAATTTTACATCTTTTTCAGATTGATGAAAAAGTACTGGAATCTATGGAGTTTCCATCCAAAGAGAAAGGAAACAAGAAGGGCAAAAGACATTATCAGCAGGGTGTGATAGATTTATTAAAGTTGATTAGGAATATGGGTGAACACTACGATGAAAAGGACGATGAGTAAGTAAATCTTTTTCGAAATTATGTATCTCTGAATGTATCTCTACATTGGATTTGTTGGCTGGCAACTTTTGGTTCTTCTTTTTCTATTATGGTAACCAGAATAAAAACCTGGAGGAAAGATAAGTCACAAACTTATCTTCATAGATCACGTCCAACTGCAGAGAAATCTGTCACTTTGCAGGAAAAAGAAAAAAAAATTCAGAAGAATGACAATTCTTCCTATATCCTGGACTCTTGGAGCCAATACAACTATTAGTAAGTTCAGAGAGGAGGTAGTAGTGACAGATTCTAGAGTGCTATTGGAAGCCGTTTTCCCAAGAGTTTTAGATACCAATGTTGCCTATGGTATTCATGCCTCTCTGACACTAACAAATGTTCATTATGTAAATTCTAACATAATTTAGAAGACAGGCAACTGAGCCTAAAATAAAATGGGACATTTATTGATTGGTTTAGAATAGAAAGGGATCTTTTTAGGAGTGAGGTGAGGAGCAAAAAGAAAGGAAAAATTCTAATAATCAATATTGCATCTCCTGTAATCTCTTTCCCTTCTCAGTGAAATGAAAGATTTATGGGAGCAAATCCAAGGAAATATCTGGTGCTGAATATATAACTGACATGAAGTAATAGACCAGTGATGGCAAACCTTTTAGAGACCAAGTGCCCAAACTGCAACCCAAAACCCACTTATATATCATCAGGTGCTGGGTGGGCATGGCCCATTGGGTGGGTGTGGCCCCATTGGATGGGTGTGGCCAATTGGGTAGGAGTGGCTGCGGTGGTAACGACACACAGGGTGGGACTAAAAAGTTCAATCAATCCCAACTTTGCAAGATCTTTTTTTTCCCGCGAGAAGTTGAAATTGATTGAACTTTTTTTTTTTTTGCACACAGCGGTGGAGGCCGAAAGTGAAAAGGTTTTATAAAACCCAGCTGAAGACCTAGGACTGGGGCGACGGTGCACGTGCCCACAGAGAGGGCTCTGCGTGCCACCTGTGGCACGCGTGCCATTGGTTCGCCACCATGGTAATAGACTGTTTTGAAATATGGTATAGGTAATTCTTGACTTACGACCACAATTGAGCCCAAAATTTCTGTTGCTAAGTGAGTTTTGTCCCATTTTAAGACCTTTCTTGCTACAATTATTAACTGAATCACTGCAGTTGTTAAGTTAGGAACACGGTTGTTAAGCAAATCTGGCTTCCTCATTGACTTTGCTTGTCAGAAGGTCACAAAAGGAGATCACATGACCCCGGGACACTACAGCCATCATAAATATGAAACAGTTGCCTAGCAACATTTGATTACGTGACCGTAATCGTAACCGCTACAGTGGTTATAAGTATGAAAAACGGTCATAAGTCAATGCCAGTGTAACTTTGAACAGTCACTAAATGAATGGTTGTAAGTTGAGGATTACCTGTATTTCTAAAAAAAAGGTTGCCCATTATGTGTAGAACAGTTGTAGTAAATATGCTGTGTGGGCAAAAGATCATTTTGATTCCATATGTATGTTTGTACAAGCTTAAGAACTAGTCTGATGTCAACTTCAGCTCAGAGGACACAGGGACACTAAGGCTTTATCCTCCTTGCCCTGGTGCCTGCTTACACTTTTGGTGCCATCAATCTGTGTGCTGAGGCTTAATTTAGAATCTGCAAGACAGATGTCAAAGAACTAGAAAATAAGGTGACGCCAGAGTGGCAATAGATCTTGAAAAGCTTTATTAAGAAATTGCCTCGTTACATATAGCATCAGAAGAATATGACCCCAAACAGGTGGATGAGCTCAAATGGCGGGGAAGGTTTCCAGTACTCAATTTACAAGGAAGCTGGGAAAAAGGAATAATTCTTAGAACCCCTTTCTGCCAATTCCCTACACTTTGGAATCATTATCTTGGTTCTGAGATGATTATCAAGGGGAAATTAATATTTATATCCAATTGAGAGGAAGAGTTTACAAATAAATAAGAAAACACATAATGGGGAATACACATTGAAGAGAATGAGTTTGGGTTGTTTGCTTAGAGTTGTATCCTTTGCCCTTAGGAGGCAAAAGAAAGCGTTTAGGGTGAAACTGGCCAAGGTTTTGCCAATTTCAGACAGGAAGCTTGCAGAAGATGCTAATTAACTAATCAAGGTCATAGAGCTGAGTTTAATCATCTGTAAGGTTGGCAGTGCTGAGCTGGGAAGAAAAGAATTTAGGAAGAGATAGTTTGTTTAAGCAATCTCTCCCTTGTGCAAAGGGGGAAATTCTAAAAGGTGGAAAAGAAAAAAAAATACAAAAATAGGATGAGACAATCCGGCACAGGACACTTTTGTGTGGGATATGCCTTCCTGGCAAAAACTCCATCATTTGGCCAGCAAGCCGCAGGGACAGGCTGAAATTTGAAGCACATCCAACAAAAACATTTTCTTTTCTATTGAAAAAAATCAATGCAACCTGGTAGATGGGCCTTCTGATTTATTGGGAGGGGGGAGTTTGAGAGAGATCATTAACCTGCCATGCTCCAATTGGATCATTCCATGGCTGCCCCTCCCATCCACCTGCAGGCGGTGTCTTTCTGTGGCTCCTCTTCCTCCTCTTACATACAAACAGATGAGGATCTTTTCTTTTCTCTGCAATGACCTTATCTCCAATTTTCTCCCACAGCAATGCAGCAAAGTTTTCTGGCCTGTTTGACAGGCTGGGAAGAGAATAGGGAGGAGGGGGTGTAGTTTTTGAAGCAGGGATGGGAGGAAAGCATTCCTGTGAGGTTGTGGGAAGAAAGTCCAAGCAAATGTAGATTGAAGACTGGAAAACAAACACGTTGCAAAAGCAGAAACTTGAGAAAAAGGTGGATGTTAGAAGAATATCTCTATGAAAAAATGTTCCAGGTTTCAAGAATCAAAGGGAGTTGTATGCTATTGCTACAGTAAACTTGAGAGCAGGGTATTTAAAGCAAATTAGACTAATAAAGTAGTGGTTTGAGTCGATTGCTGAGTGAATTGTCAATGGGGCCTCTTACGATCTAAAAAAAAAAAAGAAAATGAGATTATCAAGCCAGCTCCTAGGAAATGCTTGGATTTTAATAACTATGCAGTCTTTTACAGCATGCATAGTTCACAGATTCCAAAAAAACAACAACCATGTAAGTGTTTTCCTGGCTAACAATTGCTTTACAACTTAGCAAGTTGGCATTCATGTTTTAGCAGCTACGCTTCACCTTCTTTAACCCAGGACAAACTACTGCTTGCATATTGTTTATATTAAAAACTGTATTTTCCTTCATTTCAGGGTGAAAAAAATAATTCAGGATCCTGCAGACTATTTTCTGAACCTCTTTCCGGATTTAACCGTTTATATCTATCAGCGTTGCTGTAACTCAGATTTTAAGAAGTATTTTCCAAATGCTAAGAATTCTTCACACCCATAACATGGGTCAACGGGCACTGATTGTTTAATGACATAATTGAATGTGACCTGCATATTTTCTAACTAAAACCAATCAATAGTTTTATCAGCAGTTAATACTGTATGTCAGCTTGGAAAATGAGCTCCTCTTCTTTAGACCTTCCCTTGCTCACAGACAACAGCAAGTTAATGTGCCCCCAGAGAAACCAAATAATGCAGAATATAGTTGTCAAATTTACAATCATGTCTAGTCTGACAACACCACCCTAAGTTCCCAAAGCATTGGGCAAAGCATGGTGGAGTTTCATAACTGCTCCCTCTCCAACCTAACATGTTGTATTTGTTAATGATACTTCAGATATAGGAGTTTATTTGTCAAAGTCAGTTTCTATCCAAAAAAAAGTCCCTTTTTAGTGAGTGGAGAATCTCTGCTTTTAAGCAAGTTTATTGTAATGCCACGGGGACAGAATACATGGTTCTGCCCGCTTGACAAGGTTGAAGTAGCAACTTACATAGTAATGCCACACATTTGGTCGGTTAATAATATCCTGTAGCCACAACATCCCTTTCTTGAAACCCAGAGTCCCCTCTGTCTTATCCAATAGCAGCAAATGCAGCAACAGCAGCCAGAATTCTCACAACTATCCTTGAGGTTTCACTTCTGCTTTGTTGAGTTGCATAAGCTATTCCTATATTCTGCTTCTCTGCAAACATATCAGTGTTTTTTTTAGCAAACTGAAACCATTTTACTAGGCTAAGCTACTTCTTCAGTCAGGTTTTAAGTGCGCACAGGCTTAAAGATTATAAAAAGGCACTTGGAAATTAATATTTTTGCCACTGAAGTTCTGTGTGCGCTCTGCAGGCTGCAAAATAAATGAACATGAGGCAAGTGACCATGGGTTGCCTACCTAAGAGCTGCACGATGAGTGAATCTAATCACTCACTGTAATGGTATGTGGAAATGACTTGGGAGACAGGAGGAAAAGTCGTAGACTGGACAGCTGGCATGTAAAAGAGATCTCAGCCCACAGAAGGATGGAGGGCATGGAAAATGTTTCCCTAGTATTCTGGTGTGTAAAAAGAAAGGAGGGGAGAAATTGCAGAATAAGTAAGTTTATGGCAAAGTTAAGATACGTTTGCAATAAAGATAGAGCTAATATCCTTGGTTGTGCTCCCTGGCTGGGCTACTATGAGCAACTAATACTGACCATGCAAGAAGGTCCATATTACATTCAATGCTGACAGCAGAGATTCCCAATTGTTCTTGCTCTTCAGTGCCTTCATCTCAATAATTTTTTTCACAGTGATCCTAGGCTTGTAGTTTGTGTGGTGTCTGACAGTTGTCAAGTATCACTGTGGTATCCTGTGGTGTCCCTGTGAGTTCACTGCAGTACCCTGGGATACAGCAGAAAAGAGTTTGGGAACTGTGAAGCTATATTATAAATGGCCACGGTAATAATGATTACTCTCTACACCTAGCACATTAAATTTCACTTTGATTGTATTGCTTTACATAAAATGCCTACATCTCTATGGGTCTGCATTTATTCCTAATTGGTGATGTCATGCCATATAAGTGGAATGATAAACTGAAATTCATGAAAGTCTATGCTGCAATAAACCTGGTATGTAAAGTGCCTCAAAACTGTATTTTTACTTCATCAGTTACTTGAGCAGTTGAAAACATCCATCCAATGTTTATCAAGAGAAATGATTGCATGTTGAAAAGAATTTTTTTTTTAAAATTTATTTCTGCAACTCACCCAAAATTGCCATAAGTATCATCTGCAGGAAGCACCGCACTGCAGAAAGTCAACAGTCTAGGACAATTCTTTAAAATTATCTAGGACAGCCTAAAAACCCAACAAAATCAAAATAGGGCAGCCTAAAACCTTGTCCTTTTCACACAGATTAAAAGATTTACACCTCAATAACATATAAGGCCTCATTGCAAAAACTGCAATATGTGTGTGAATTTTTTCCCTAGATAATCTCATTGTTTTCTTGAAAGTTGATTTATGAATCCGTTTAAGTTACAAATCTCTCCACTGTACAATGTGAACTAATGACTTTGAATATTTTCATCACAGCTGGCCACTAAGGCATTGAGCACTTCTGAGTCCTAGCAATAACATCCCGTTGCTGTTGATTCCAAGTTGCTGAAGTCAGAATAGACCTGAATATTTTAAAAAATATTTTAATATTTTAAAATCTTAATTTGACCAATGCCATTAATTTTTCAAGAGTGGCAATATAAGGATAGAAGGACTACCGGTGCATAGTTTGCATTTAGCATTTCGGTTAGGATTCAGTCATCTCTGGCCCCTTTGCCATTTTTGAGCTATAAGTTCAGTAGCTCTCAAAAAAGACAGTGCAGGCCAATTTGCTATGCCATTGAGGCAGTGATTCAATAAAACCAGGATCTCACTGAGCATTTGGCCAACATCTGAAGAGAAATGAGGCAATGAGAATTAACGGAAACCTTTGTAAAGAAAGAGAAAAAGCATCAACCCAAAACTGTGGAACTGTTTTCCATTGTTAATAACCTTTTGCAATGTGTCCAGCTGTTTTTCTTTTCAGCCTTGATATGAATTGAAGACTCTACTTTCTAAAACCTTCAGCTCACTAGGCCCTAGTTTCATCATATTCAAAATCAAGCCACGGCATTTGGTTTCCTGAGTTTTAAGTGAGATCTGAACCCAAAGAATTTCTTGGATGTTATTAATTAACTTTGGAAAGTTATTGAACATCTGACACATGAGCTGGAAATGATGGCTGAGGTGGCCCATACCATCTACCTCCGTAGCATACCACACTCTCAAGACTTTTTTTTCCTTGGGCTTTAACCTGACTTGCATCTTGCTAATAACCTCAGGTCAATCTTTCAAACTAATCTAATAGAGCAAAGAGGTCTCTATCAGTGTGGTAGTAATGAAAAAGTAATGTGCAATAGACCAGGGCAAAATCAATAGCAGTGGAGCCCCGCACGTTTCTTACAAGTTCCTCTTTGTGAACCCCATTGATGGGTCCGTTTAGAATACACTGGTTAAATTTAGAAGTAATTTGGGATCACCTCTCTTCCTCATGGCTGATATCTGCATCTTAGAAGGCCAGAGAAAGAATTAGAGGAAAGAAATGCCCAGAAGAGACCTGTTAAAACAGATAAATATTATTTCATCCCAGGCATTAAAAATCCTGCATCTCACTGCCACAAAGTTAAATCCAAAATATAATCTTCCATCTTGTCCAGTGGTGGGATTCAAATATGTGAACAACCAATTCTCTGTGTGGATGCCACTTCTGGAAGTCCATTCTGGGCCTGGGCAACAAAAAATTAGCTACCGGTTCTGGCGAACTGGCTGAATCCCACCACTGCTCTTGCTCCCAAATCACTGATAACTAGTGAGACTCAATTATATTTACCTGCTTTTATAAAGAGAGCCATAGCCAGCAGAGAGCAAATACAAAGAGCAGGGGGTTCTATGCACAATTTATCCACTATATTATGTATTTCCCCCTAGCATTGTCTCTTAAGGCTTGGGGTTGCTGTCATTTCATAGGAAACAAAACTATCAAGCTCTTTAGGAAGATATCAGATTTCCCAATTGGACAGGAGAGACCTTTCCTTTTTTGTCACCATCTAGATATATCCCAGGAACTCAATGAAATCTGCTAATCTCACAGTACTCTTGTCAGTTGAAGGTCTCTGTGTTTTACTAATGAAGTAGACTGGTGCAGAATTAGTAGAATCTGCTGTGCCAGTGGTGGCTTGGCCAGTAGTGCCACATTGTGGAGAGGTCTTTTCAGAACTGGACTGAAACATCAGAGAAGTCATCAGTAAAAACAGGGGTTTCAACACCATTTCAGATGTAGAGTTCAACTGCAAGTGGACAATTTCAAGGTTGGAATCATGCCTCTTGTTATCTTGATGAATAAGTTTATTTATTTTTATCTATATTTCATACTTCTTAACTGCTCTCTCCAGCTCTCTAGAGTTGCATGGATAAATTCATCTTTTATTTAAATTATGTCAAAGTTGCTTTGATAAATACACTTTCCCCTCAGTTCTTTTATATAGTTGGGTGAAGAAAGGTGGAGCTGAAGCTGAATGCTATCTATATTAGCCAGTTTTCTCTCAAATCATCAGAAGGAGCTACAGGAACCTTTGTAGATGAGGACAGGCTTCGTGACTAGGCCTCTATAGCCACAGCTTAACAGCTGGAATAAACCCAGTTGTTATTTTAATGAGGTCAAGATTGAATGAACAGATAATAAATGATGTTTTAATCTTTCAATCTTCTGCAAATTTCAATTTGCTCTTCATTAGAAACAAATCAAATGAGCAGAAAGTACTGGTTTCCGATTAAGAAAGGTGAGCAAAAGCATTAAGAGATACTTTAGCAAGTTGATATTTGTATTGTAGATATAAAGTTTGTAGAGTTACTGTATATATTACCCTGTGTCATATGCAACTTGAATTGTATCAGTGCTGAGTAATGTTCACCTGCAACTTACAATCATTATAATATATAGTGAAGGACGTAATAGGACAGCTTTCTGTCATGAAAGCTGCCCAACCCACCTCACAGGATTATGGTTGTGGGGAAAATAGGATAAGGAAGGAGTATTAAGTATCTTTGCCACCTTGAGTCACTTATAAAATAAGAAAGATGAGATAAAGATCTAATAAATAAATCTCGCTCTGTTTCCAAACGTAACAATTTATTGGCATTTATATATATAAAAAAGATAGATGTGTACATGTTCAGAACCCCTTTTTGTCAGTTCAGTAAATATAAGTGGCAGTCAATTCTTGCAGGTAAAATTTCTACTTTTGATTCACTGTAGCAATGTGCTGAAATGTTATTCAATTTTATCTAAATATAAAACAGACTCGATGTAAAGAGAAATACAAAAAGAATTTATGTTAAGAGGAAGTGTGGCTTGCAGGCCCTCCTTGCTTGATGTGAAGATCTTTGACCTACAAACGGACAGCAAGCAACGTTTTGTAAATGCAATGCAGGCTGCAGCTGCAGGGGAAAAAAACAAGCACATTTCATTATGCTCTGCTTGACATAAAATCCCTTCATAAATGAAAGAGAAACTTGCAGGAAAAAAATATTTCAAATTTGCTGTTTCAAATTTCTTTCGTGTGTATAGGATCTGGAATTGTTTATAAATGTGCGACAATGCAATATATACCTCCAGGACATATGTCCATCCTAACAAAAGAAACATAGCTTCTTTCTAATATAGCTGAGTCCAGCTTCCTTCTAGAATACAGAAAAACAGCCAGGTGGAGTTCCAGTGTTTGGGATCAGGAAACATGGAGAGATAATATTTTTTCACTTTGGTAACCTGAAGGTGTGCGGATGCTTGCTGGGGAATTCTAGGAGTTGAAAGTCCACATATTTTCAAGTTGCCAGTGTCGAAAAATAATGGATTAGCAACTACTGGAAGTATGGCTTGTGACACAGGATACAATTCAAAACAATCCCAGATTTTTAAGTCACTGTAACAGCTCTTAAGGGAATGAATGCATTTTTGTGGGGTGAATGGGGTACTTGGGAGTAATGATTGCAAAAGAGAATACCAATGATTTTGGAGGATTCTGTGATCCTGTATTGTAATTCTGATTTTTAGTGGGTAGCTGCAATAATATCGTGAACATATGATGGGCCTCTTTTGGTATGCAAATGGTAACAACATATGTATCTGTGGTTTTTCAAAGTGATTCTCTCTTACGCCAAAGGATTTAAAAAAAAAAATAAAACTAGGTCATTGTCCCTCTCCCCTTCCCCTTTCCTGGAGTCATAGGTTAAGAAATCATCAACAAAACAAATGACAAAACGTATATGGCTGCATCATCCTGCTAATGCTGGGACTTGTGTGCTTGAGACAGACATTAGGATGCAAACAGATAAGGACAGCGTATGTAAGATAGCATCAATACACGCATGCCATTAATTTAATGTCATAGTGGTTTGCTGTGGATGCTGCTGCCTAATGTTTCCACAGTATCTGTTGACAGATGAAATTTGGATTCTTTAAAGGACTATTGACCTACTGCTGAAGATGCTGCCAAATCTTTAGATTCAGGGTAGATTTTTTTAAAAAACCTGGAAAAAACCAAAAGTGATAAAGTGGCTGCTGATTCTGTGACATCTGATGGGATGATTGAAGAAAGAAATAAAGATAGATTTTTGTACTAAGCTTGTCAATATAGAAAGATCTGACAGGGGAGGTTTAATAAGAGATCAGTATTTCATGATTAAGATAACTGCTTATTCCAGAAATGCTATTATCTCTTACAAGTACCTGTTTCATCTCCTGAACTGAAACAATGATTTTTTTTACAAATAAAATCTGAAACGATAACTTGTCATTATAATAAAATAGAAATCCACCCACTCAATCTTAAAATTATACCAAAGGGGTGGACACACCTATTTTAATTATACTTAGAGAGGTTCTCTAAATTTTGCAGGGATTCTTATGCCTGTATGCACAGAAAGACATATCCTCAATTCTTTCTTTTCTCTCTATCCTTTTTTCTTGGTTGCTTCTGCTTTCTGAGAGTTAATAGAAAGGATTAGAAAAATACATCCCAGGCGGGAAAATATACTTTTATCACTTAGCTCCCAAAGATCTTTCCAGGCTTGTCAAGTAATGGGCTTGCTGTGGTGATAGACAACTCAGTTTCCACATGTTGCAGCAGAAATTTATCACCATTGACAAAGTGGTGACATCGTGCTTCCGGAAGGGAAGATACTAAACTGTTAAAACACTTTTTTTCCATCTTCAAAAATTGATGTCCTGTGTCAGGATGCAAGCAAAAACAAATTTAACAATTTAAAGCCGAGATACGTAATGTTATAAACAATTCACGACTGGATTAGGAATTAGTTGATCTTTTGGCATTATTAGGCTGTGGCTTCTGTGTGACAAACATGCCCAACCGTACAGGTAGTCCTTATGACCATGTTTGGGACCAGAATTTCTGTTGCTAAGCAAGGCAGATGTTAAGTGGGTTGTGACCAGTTTTATGATTTTTTTTTTTTTTTGGCCAAGGTTGTTAAACGAATTACTGCAGTTGCAACAATGCAGTTGTTAAGAGAATCTGGCTTCCCCTATTGACTATGCTTGGCAGACGTTGGTTGAGATGGTTGCTAATGGTGATCACACACCAAGCTGTTTCCTTAACTTTCCATTAGCCATTCTGTCCACCTCTTTAGGAGCAGAATAATTGCAAAAAGAATAGTGGCTGAGAAGACAGACCCTAAATCAGTTGCCCTAAACACCCAAGAGCATCTTTCTGATCAGAATCAATACTTGTCATTTAATTCTACCACCTATTGATTTTACATAACTTGAGGCTGCCATTGGATCATATTGGAATATGGAGGAAAAGGCGACTCGAATACAGAACTGGAACATCTAGTGAAAACGTACCACCATCCCACTCATAAACTTAAGAAAAAGTAAGGACAATTCAGTGACAGGACAAAGTGTAAGGGGAGTAGCTGTTAACCATGATTATGCCTTGATATGCCAAAATCTCACAGAATTCAGATATTTTTTTCTGTGAAATATCTGAGAATGCCTTTATCTAATGCTTACTTCCTACCCCTGGCTGCTTTGTAGAACCTCCTCTGAATAGTCTCTACCACATGTGTGTTTCTACAGGCACCTATGTGGCAACAATAGCATTATCATCCTCTGCATGGAGACAGGATGCAAAATGTTGGCCAAATTGTAAGCATGGTTGCTTCTACTACTGGTTGCACAAGTGAAACACATGTGTATACACATTCCATAGGAAACCCATGTAATATCTTACCTGTTTATTGGGGAGCTTCTGCCCAATAAACTGATGGAGAATTTTCACTGAAAAAAAATCAATAATTTTGACTTTCTCTAATTTATCGTTCAATAAATTTGGTGGAGAATTTCAGGAGGATGCTTTTATATAGTTCTACATTTCTGAAAAACTTTTAAGTCTCAGAGGCAACATATTTCAAAAACATTTACCTTTTTTGCACAGAGGCACCAGATGACGATTTCCTACGGACTACACTTCCTGTCGATGCTGTCAAGGTAAAGGAGTTGTTAGGTCTAAATCAATTGATTAAACCAAATATAAAACCACTCATAAAGGAATTATTGATATATTTTTTCCTTTCACAAGCCTCAACCTATCTGGGGAAAAAAATTAATGATTTAAAATCATCTCTTTTTTTCCTCATTCATAACTAAGGAAAGTGATTTCTAAGTTCTGGACAACTGCCAAATTCTTTAGGGTTAGATTGTTCCTACTTCAATCTTTCGTTCAACCATTATACTGACTGATAATAAGGAGAGGGTCAGAGAGCAGGAAATGCAAAACATTACGATTACCTAGGTAAGAATTTAATTTGTTGTTTGGATTTTGCTGCTGATCTTCTTTGCTTGTTACCAGTTTATGACCAGCCGGCATTTGATCAGCAGCTGAGAATTTAGCAACTTTTTCACTATCCAGAAAAGGTGGACTTTCCACTAGAAAATCTAGAATCACTATGCTTATTTATACTTGTAGTGATGAAGACTGGAAATCACTTCTTTATACAGACAGTCCTCGACTTACATTTCATTTAGTGACTGTTCAAAGTTACAACGGCATTGAAAAATATGACTTATGACCCTTTTTCATAGTTACCACCTTGGCAGCATCCCCATGATCATGTAATGAAAACTCAGATGCTTGGCAAGTAGGCCATACTGACCATCATTGTGTCACAAGGTCATGTGATCACCTTTTGCAACCTTTTGACGAGCAAAGTCAATGGGGAAGCCAAATTCACTTAGCAACCGTGTTACTAATTTATCAATTGCAGTGATTCACTTAACAACGGTGGCAAGAAGGGTTGTAAAATGGGGCAAAACTCACTTAACAAATGTTTCACTTAACAACAAAAATTTTGGGCTCAATTGTGGTTGTAAGTCGAAGACTAACTGTTTATTTCTGTTCTACTTCTTTTTTTCTATTTCCTTGCACTTTGAATCTTTCTCTTTTCCCTTTCTTTAAATTTACTTTGTGTTAGATTATACTGTTATAATTAAAATTCTTAATAAAATTATACAAAATGACTTACATTTTTCTCCCGGTGATTCGTCTGTTGCCTCCCTTAGTTGAGGCAGCAGTAGCTGTATTCCCCTGAGCAGAGTAAACCTGATGATTGGATGATCTTCTATATAAATTTATTAAAAAGTGAAGGCAAATTATAACACAGGCATTATCTCCTGATTCCCCAAATAAAACATCACTGATAAAAAATTGTCTTAATATGTACATTCTAACAATAGTGTAATTAAAGTTATGAGGTTGAAAAACACTGGTTTAGCACCCCAGAATAGGTCAAGAGTTGCTTTTTAGAGCCGTGAGATACAGTTCAAACATGCTAATCAAGTGCATATTTTATAACATACAACATATACAAAATAAATCATGGAAGCTGCAGGTTTTGCTTACCTCCACTGAAACCACTGCTCTTCCTAGCTGCCTTTGTAAGTGATGATGGTGGTGGAGGAGGAGACTCATCTGCTTTTTCTCCTTTACGTTTTCTGAAATATTTCATCACTTTCCAATAACAGTATCTGCCAGGAAAAATGTTGATACTCCTGGCAGCTTTTATTGACATAATGCACATTTGGCAAAGCAAAGAGTTGCTCGCTAAGAAAGGTACAAAAAAACAAAGCAGACAAACGAGCTTAGAGGCTTCCTGAGCCCCTGATGGCCTGTCATACATGGATAACAGACTGTGTGTTATTGGGTGGGCTACAACTTTTGTAGGACAAGTCTAGAATGAAGGAACCCCCCAAAACAGTAGACAAGTGGACAGAGTGACAATTTAGGGACATGCAATTCTTCTTTGAGCTGAACCTTTCTTTTTGTACTACTAAGCCACCCAAAATCAAATTATCACATAAAAGCAGCACAATCAATAAGAATACACCATGGAGGCTCCTACCTTCATTCAATTTTGAAGTATGTATCACTTAGATTGCAAAATCAAATTTGGGACTAGCTTAATAACCCTGTTGTGACCTTTATTCTCTGATTATGTCCACTATAATAGGTATTTCCCAGATCAAAAGTGTGCCCAGTGACCTTTTTATTCTGTCATGTCATCGTTACATTATCTTCATCTCATCCTCAGCCCACACATGCTTAACATTATTCTTAGCTGTTTTGGTCTGAAAATAGCATTTTTTCTCCTTAAGCATTCAATGACCTCAGGTCTTTTTATTGTGGGGGTCAAACTGATTCTGTATGTTCAACCTAGCAGTGTTACAAGTGACTCTTAGTGGTTGGGATCATCTTGCCACCTATTAGCTACTTTGGGCTGGTGCATTTATGTTCCCTCCCTTCAATCCCTAGATCAGGGTTAGGCAACCTTGGCTCTTTTATGACTCATGGACTTCAACTCCCAGAATTACCGAGCCAGCATAGCTGGCTTAGGAATTCTGGGAATTGAAGTCTACGAGTAGTGAAAGAGCCAAGGTTGCCTACCCCTGCCCCTGCCCCTGCCCCTGCCCCTGCCTACCCCTGCCCTCTAGATCCTTATTTTCATAGAATCATGGGCTGAAAGGGACTTTGGAGGTCTTCTAGTCCAACCCTCAGCCCAAGCCAGGAGTTCTTATAACATCCCGGGTAAATGGTTGTCCAATCTTTTCTTGAAAGCTTCCAGCAATGGAGCACCCACAATTTTGAGGGAGGCAAGCTGATCCACTGCTCTCAGGAAAGTCTTCCTTACTTCCCAGTTGGCTCTTCCTCTGATGAACTTCCACCCATTGTTTCTTATCCAGCCCTCAGGTGTTATGGTGAATAAATTGACAACTTCTTCCCTGTGACAGCCCTATTTTGGGAACAATGAGAGCAGCAGAGAGGTTTTTTTTCCCTCATGTTTACCAGGTATCTGAATTGATCCCTAGCTTGGAGATCTGTTTCAGCCCAAATAGCACCATCAGTAGTGGTGATGTAGGTTGTGAGGTGAAGCAGGCCAGAGCAAGCCATCTGTGTCACTTACACTTCCCAGCATGCCTGTCAGCTTTCATTTGAGCTGCTATTGAGCACAGATTTACTGTTCTTTCAGAAATGTACTAAATGTTTCACAACAGCTAAAAAAAAAAAAAAAAGCTGTCCGTATTGGGAAGAGGGGGAAGGTATGGCGAAGTGGGATTCTTTTACTTTATTTTGCAATCCTCACAGCTGTTTGAGAGACGTTGACTGTAACTGGTGAATAGAGTCAGTTCTTCTACCATCCCTCCCTGCCCTGGTAACCTGGGCTTCAGCTGCCAAAATGGGGAGGAGTGGCAAGAAAAATGGGATACCTGATAAAGCAAGAAGAGCACCTCTGTTGATAGACTCTAGCACCCCATGGATCAGTGGCAGCTCAGTTCCCAGTCTGCTGGTTAGGTGAGGATTGTTCAGTGGCAGAAAAGCATCTTCTGCTTTGCTGGTCAGACTCTACCAATGCCATGGATCAAGGGCCATAGAAGGCAGAGGGAATGGCCTTGATAGACAGAAGGATGAGCTGCTACTAAGTCAATGGTCAGATACAAAGGTTTTGAGAAAACATCTCAGACAAGCCCTTCCCTTAGTTCACATAAATAACTATTTGTGTGTGCGAGAGGGAGGCAGATTTAGACCTGCAAGATGTTGTTACTATAGCTGTTACAATAAAAGTAGTCCTGACTTTTATGGCATTAATTTTTTGTTTAGTCTGGTCTACCTGGCTGGGCTGACATTTGATAGCAGATCTTGACAGATGATGGAGTCTACACTGTATAGCTGTACAATGATTAGTGGAGAGTTTCTACTTATTAGTGAGACTAGAAAACAGAGGACAACGGCACCAGGGAATTTCAGTTTACTTATTAAAGCTTTAATAACATGCCCTGAATACTTTAAATCAGAATAATGTTATCTGGTGGCAAACCAGAACATAGGTTTTAGATGCAGGATAGGGATTGATAGTTTAGTTTAGCTGATTGATTAGTCAGACACATCAAATCATAATAGCAACAGGATAGAACAGGGGTGTCAAACTTGCCACATTACATGATGTGTTACCATGTATCGTGACTTTTTTCCCCCTTGCTGGAGCTGGGGTAGGCATGATTCCATGTGACATATCTGGCCTGCAGTATGGCAGTTTGACACCCCTGGACTAGAAAGCAGGAGATGGTTAGTTCAAGTCCCACCTTAACCATGAAAGTCAGCTGGATGACTTTAGGTCAGTCACTCTTTCTCAGCCCAACTCACCACACAGGGTTGTTGTTGTGGGGAAAATAGGAGGAGGAACATGTATTGGATATGTTTTCTGCTTTGAATTATTTGTAAAAATAATAAAGACAGGATACAAATCAATAAATAATATTGTCAACATGAATTGGTAGTAAGTGCAGCAAATGCTAACCCTGTATATATTTTGATGAGTGGAGAACACGTCAATTCTGCAATTGGAAAAGGCCCTATAAGAGTGTCTCAACTCACATCTGAAATGTATATATACAAAAAATCTAATAATCCAAGTGATAAAAATACTTACCTCTTCCAGAAGTATAATAAATGTGGGAAGATGGAAATTATAGCACCATGATAAAGAGTCCTGTTCAGCACCCCTTCAGAAATTAAAGTCCGAATCTGAATACACTGTGCATCTGTGAGATTGACCTGATCATGGAAGATATCATAAATAAATAAAATCTATTTTCAAATAAAATGTCATAAAAATGGATAATCATGTCAACCCATCATTGGAACAGAAACAGAAATCTCTGAGATAATGCCTTCAAACCAAATATTGGAAGGCAAAGGCTAACTATGGAGAAGTGCTTACATTTGACATTTTGCCTAGAATGTGAACCTCCTTCACAAAATGCCTTGCAGGTGTACATGAATATCACCGCTTAAGCACATTCTTGCCCTACAGATTTTTAACCCCTCTTTACTAAGACCAGCGTAGCCTTCAGTGGAAGGCTTCTAGAAAAAGTTCTAGATCAGAGACTATAATCTAGCTGCTCAAGTCCTAAGATCCAACCAATCATGTTCATCATCTGTCCATAATCATTTTCAAATTCTGTTACATATTGTTCTATACTTGCTAGCTTTCTGTCCATATTGACCCTCACCCTTAACTGCACATATAAAAAATATGGAAAGTAAATCCTTCTGTAGTCAGTTGTTCTCTGGATTTCAATTTGAGTTCTCTATTTTCCCAAATTAGGTAAAAGCAAAGTTCCCCCTGTCCAGCTGTGTCCAATTGTAGGGGATGGTGCTCATTTCCATTTCTTAACTGAGGGAGCCACCATTGTCTGAAATGTCTGAAGACATTTCTGTGGTCATGTGGCCAACATGGCTGTATGCCAAGGCATACAAAATGCTTTTACCTTCCCATCAAAGTTGTACCTATTTGCATGCTTTCAAACTGCTAGGTCGGCAGGAGCTGGGGGTAAGTAACGGGAGCTCAGCCCATCATGTGGCACTTGGGTCTTGAGCCTGGGCTGTCAACTTTCCAGCTGGCAGGCTCAGCATCTTTAACCACTGAACTTCCACACCCCCTGTTTTCCTGTACTAGCAAGCCTGTATTTCTTGTTTGCTATAAACCATTGTTTCTTTTCTATAAAATGCTTCTTGAGTGGAAGTCAACAAAAGTATTTATGAACATTGCCTGAGTCTACATCTCTGTAATTTGTTCAGATTTGCCATTTGTAATATGGCAAGCCTGATAACATGTTTTTTTTATATAAATTTACAGTTTAACTTTACCCTACCATAAAAAGCCATGCCATCAAAACCTCAGACCATGACTTTCTAATTCTAAGGGTTTCTTATTTCTTAGCAGCATCAATTCTTTCATCAACCAAACTACAGGCAGCAAAATACGATTTAAGATCAAGCAACCCCAGTACACCTCTTTCCTTTGCACCTAGGAGAGACTTATTTTTAATTCTGGATTTCCCATATAAATCTGGCTGCATCTTTTTGCCATTGTTTGAAGGGTACATTATGCCTCAAAATGAATATTGTCCGGAATCAAAGCAGTCCTTCCCCATTTGTCACTCAATCCTTTGTCATGAAACCCTCTTCCATACTTAGTTTCAGTGCATCCGCTGTCATCCGTAGGTAAGATCAAAAGGAACGCCGGTACACACTGAGACTCATCGATTGCTTTATTGTGTAGCTAAGACAAAGTCAGCACTGGGAGTGGTTTTCTCCCAGTGCATTATATCCATATGCCCCACCCTGTGCTCCCGCCCCCACTCCCAAACCAACATCCGTTCAAATTGAATATATGCCCCACCCTTTCCCTGTGCTCTCCCTTTCCCCGACGGAACCCCGCCCCCGTGTCCCTCTGTCCGTGCATCCGGTCCTCGCGTCAGCTGCCCGCCGCCAAACTCTCCCTGCCTAATGTCCTGCTTGTTGGGTGAACCTCCCCCATCCCTTGCCCACGCTGGGTTCGCCTGCAGAGGCATCGTGTTCTTGTTCTGTGATGACACAGCCGCCGTCATCCGACTCGCCGGCAACAGCTGATGCTCGGGGAATCCCGGGCCTACCGGCAACAGCTGATGCTCGGGGAATCCCGGGCTTGCCGGCAATAATTGGACCCCGGGTGCTTCCGGACCCATTAACGGGCCGGTGCTTGTCGGCGTTTGCGCGTTGGCTCGTAGAGGCGTGTCACAGGTATAGGCCTGCCCGGTTCGGCCGTGAGTTGTAGCGGTGTGCGGCTCAGCAGCTTCCGGGGTTGGTGGGCTGTCGTTTGCTCTCCCTGTCCCCGATTGCATGGCAAGCCTTTGGGGGCTTGACATGTGGCCCCTTCTACCATGTTCCCTCCTGGAAAGGAGAGGAAAGGGTTTGAATACACAGCATTACACCCGTTTCGCCCTGGCTTCCCCGGACACTTACGGTGGAATGCTCGGATTAGTTTAGGTGCATTTATATCCCCCTCCTCTACCCAGGTTGCGTCCGAGAGTGGATATCCCTTCCACCGTAGGAGGTATTGGAGTTTACCATACCGCCTTCGAGAGTCCAGGACCTCCTGTACCTCATAATGGGACCCCGAGACTGGCCCTGGTGCCCCGTCGGTGTAGGGACTTCTATGTGCCGGTTTGAGGAGGCTACTGTGGAACACGGGATGGACCCTTCCTAAGGAGGCGGGTAACCGTAATTGGACTGTGACTGGGTTGATCACTTTGGTTATCTGGAAGGGACCTACATACTTCAGACCCAGTTTTTTGCACGGCACCTGTAACCGAAGATATTTGGTGGCTAAATACATCCAGTCTCCCACCTTGAACGGTTTATGTTCGGCCCTTTTCTTGTCCGCTTGGACTTTGGTAGCTGCCTTGGCCTTCCTCCGTGCTACCTTCACCCGTTCCCACAACCCTGTGACCTGGGAGTACCATGTCTGAGGGGTCTGTCCGCTGTCCACCTCTGGTGACCATTCGGGAATGGGGTTAAACTCCACACCATATACTATTTTGAACGGGGTATACCCAGTACTGTTGTGGATGGTGTTATTATAGGCCACTTCAGCAAACGGTAGGAGGTCCACCCAGTCCGTTTCCTGAAATGACACATAACTCCGAAGGTATCTTTCCACCATGGCATTTGCTCTTTCTGCCGCCCCGTTGGTGCTAGGATGATACACTGAGCTTAGCGCCTGGGATGATCCTAGTAGACGAACGAACTCCCTCCAAAACCGTGCGGTAAATTGCACCCCTCTGTCTGAAATAATTCTCCTGGGTGTGCCATGGAGCCGATAGATGTGTTGAATGAACAGCCGTGACAAGCGCCATGCCGATGGCAGGCCTCTACATGGAGTAAAATGTGCCTGTTTGGAGAACAGATCTATCACTGTCCAGATCACGTTGTAGCCCCGGTTGTCGGGTAGTTCTACTATGAAATCCATGGCGATCTCTTCCCAGGGCCGGGATGGATTGGCCACTGTCTATAACAATCCCATGGGCTTTCCTATCCGGGGCTTTGCACTGGCACACACATGGCACTCTTTTACGTATTGTTCTACATCTACTTTCAGTCTGGGCCACCAAAATTGCCGCCGTAATAAATGTAAGGTCTTTAAAAACCCAAAATGGCCCGCCTGCTTAGCATCGTGGCACCTCCGAAGAACGGATGTACGTAGGCTTTCGGGCACATACATCTTATCGCCTTTCCACGCCACGCCGTCCCGATTGGTCAACCACCCTGGATGCTCATTCGCCCATTTATCCGTCAGCAGGGCAGTCCTAATGGCATCTAACTCATTCACTTGAAACCTGTGACTTACACTATTGGTCATCTCTTGCCGGGGAAGGGGCATTAGTGCCTGTATGACCTCCTCCCGTTTACTATGATACTGCGGCATCCGCGACAATGCGTCGGCCAGAAAGTTCTTCCCTCCTGGCACATACCTCAGCACGAACTTAAACCGACTGAAGTATTGGGCCCATCGGACATGTTTGGGGGCTAAGCGCCTCGGGGATTGTAGTGCCTCCAAGTTCTTGTGGTCCGTCCACACCTCAAAAGGCAGCTCGGTCCCTTCTAAAAAATGTCGCCATGTCGTCAAGGCCCATCGGATCGCGAAGGCCTCCTTCTCCCAGACGGCCCAGCTGCGTTCGGCCGTTGTGAATTTTCGCGAAGTATAGGCGCATGGCTGTAATGCCCCACTATTGTTCTTCTGCAAGAGTACTGCCCCCACTGCCACATCGCTAGCGTCCACCTGTACCACAAAAGGGACACTCGGGTCTAGGTGGCGCAGCACGGGCTCTTTAGTGAATAACATTTTCAACGACTCAAATGCCTTTTGGCAGTTCATGGTCCATTCTAACCGTTGGCTTGGGCGGGGTTTCCCCGTAAGATGTTTCGTCCGTAAGAGCTCTGTGAGGGGATGAACCACGGTGGCAAACGATGGAATGAATTGGCGGTAAAAATTCGCGAATCCGAGGAAACTTTGCAGCTGGCACCTGGTCTTAGGGGCTTGCCAGTCCAGTACCGCTTGCACCTTGCTCGGATCCATTTCCACCCCGTTCCCCGAAATACGATACCCCAGGTAATCTAGTCGCTCTCGGTGAAACTCGCACTTAGATAATTTCACATAAAGCTGGGCATTGAGAAGCTTCTGTAGCACTTGCCTCACAAGACTGATATGTTCCTCCCTCGTTGTGGTATATATTAAAATATCATCTAGGTACACAAGGACCCCGCGATATAGGTGTTCATGCAACACCTGATTGATTAACTGAATGAACACCGCAGGGGCCCCTTGCAACCCGAATGGCATGACGTGAAACTGGAAACTACCTAATGGGCAATTAAATGCCGTTTTCCACTCGTCGCCAGTCTTAATTCGTACCCTATAGTAAGCTTCTCGTAGGTCTAACTTGGTGAATATGCGACCCGTTCCTAAATGTGCCAATAAATCCTTCATAAGGGGAAGGGGGTATAAATGCTCGACGCACACTGCGTTTAACCCCCGGAAATCGATACACAAGCGCAATGATCCATCCTTCTTTTCCTTGAAGAGTACGGGAGCCGCTATCCGGGAACGAGCTGGTTGGATGAATCCTCGTGCTAAATTTTGATCAATATATCTACCGAGTTCTTGCACTTCCGTTGATGTCATAGCGTACATCCGGGGCTTTGGGAGTTTAACCCCCGGCAGTAGTTCAATAGCGCAATCTGTCGACCGGTGAGGGGGCAGTTGATTGCAATCCTCCTCGCTGAAGACAGTCGCTAAATCCCTGTATTCCTCAGGGTATGGAAGTTCCCCCTCCCTATCCTGGAGTTGCGCCGTTACCCCTGGGACATCAGGGACCTGATCTCCATTACCGCCATTCACCGGCATTGGGCCTATCCCAAGACACACTTTGCGGTACCCCCCTTCCCACCATATAGTGGGGGTCCATTTGTCCAACCAAGCCAAACCTAGTATGACAGTCTCCGTCATAATGGGCACCACGATGAAACGTAGTACCTCCCAATGGTCTCCCAGGTCCATGCGTACTCGTCCAGTAACATGAGTCGTGGGCACCCCCCTCCAACAGCGACCCATACACCTGCTCAAACCGGATAGATTGTGTTAGTTTATATATCCGGACCCACTAGCCACCGTTACTTTTCTACTGATCAGACATCGTGTGCATCCGGTGTTTAGTAAAGCCTGACACGCCCTCTGCATGCCTGTTACCGGACTCGTTAGGACTATGGGGAGAACAAATGGCCTAATAGGGTCACTCACCATTGGGTCGGCAGATCCGTCGTCAGGGCTGTCCTCCTCGTCCCCCATCTGATAGTGTGCCACTGCCGTAGGCTCTGGGGTGGCCGGGGACCCTCTTCTCGCTCCGGGGTTGTTTGCTGGGTGGCCGCCCTCGAACTCTCCGTGGCCTTCTTCATGGGTGTAGCCCTATCAATTGTTGCGGCCTTACGGGGGCTAGGCGCTGGGCATTCGGCTGCTCGATGGCCCGGCTGGTTGCAGCGGAAACACCGGAAAACGGTTTCTCCAGATGCACCAGACGACTTAGGTGTTGCTCGTGGCTGGTCTTGACTTCCCTCGCGAGGCCTATGCCCGGGACGCCATGGCCGCAGGATGTCCCCTACTCCTTGATGCACCTCCTTAAGGCCTGCCTCGAGTTCGACCACCACCTTGAACCAGTCTCGAAGTCTGTTGGGCACTCCCCGGTATACGCAAGCTTGCCATCGGTCATGGTCTAGGCCGGCTCGAAAATGATGTACCAGCAACCGCTCCGGCCATGAAGAATGCAAACGGCCGGCTAACCTCCGGAAGTCCCACACATATTCAATGGCCGGGCGCTTCCCTTGTTGTAGCGCTAGAAGGTCTGCCTCGGCTCTCTGTGCTCAGGTAGGATCTTCGAATCTCCCATGCAAAGCGTCCAAAAACAGCCCTGCACTCCCCAGCTCATGGGCATGGTCGCTATACAGGTCGGGCGCCCATGCGGCCGCCTCTCCGCGCAGGGCAGCGGTAATTGCGCCGACCATAGCCCATTGGGAGACATATAATTGTGCAAACTGATCCAAGTGGCTTATGGCCTGGCCCAGGAACATCGCCAATTGATCAGGGTTACCGTCAAACGTGACAGGAATAGGAGGGGCCCCCCATGGACACCCTGGACCCCATAGCCCCAGGGGTTGGCCTGGCATGATGTTAGCATATCCGGCCGCAAGGCCCTGCTGCCCCACACCCCCTGTCATTACAGGACCTCTCGCCGCATTCCTGGGACCAGCCGGCTGGGTTGGATGCGGCTGACCCGGCAGGCTACTCAAAGGGAGACCCGTGACGGCTGGCCCACCTGCTGGACGCGGCAACTGCAGCCGCGGACTGCTTAGGCAAAACCTGGACGACGGGGTGCGCCCCGCGGAGTCCTCTTCCGATTGCCACATATTGGAAGCACCCCTATAGCTCGCTTCGCCAAACCGGTGGCGCAATATCTCCATTGTCTCCTGGCCTGGAGCCGTGGAATAGCTCCAGTCCTCGTCATCCTCTGTAGTGACACGTCTCTCCCTCCATCCCGAATGGGTGAGCTTCGGCTTGGGCGTCGGAAGCTGTTCAGTCTGCATTCCGGTCAACGCCGGGCTTTGCCACCACTCCTCCTGTGGCTTGGCAGCCCCTGCCTCCCCCACGCCGAGTCCCGGGTTTGCAGGCAATAGCAGCTTTGGCCGCACCACAGGCTGCTCAGCTGCTGGCTCCGGCACCGGAATGGTCTCCGCAGCCCCGTCAGCCTCCACCTCCCCCTCAACCAGTGAAGCACCCTGCGTGCCTTCTGCCATACCTTACTCCTCCACAGCACGCAGACAGCTGAAGGAAGAAAAGTTTTGAGTGCTGACTTTCTTTCAGTGCATCCGCTGTCGTCCGTAGGTAAGATCAAAAGGAACGCCGGTACACACTGAGACTCATCGATTGCTTTATTGTGTAGCTGAGACAAAGTCAGCACTGGGAGTGGTTTTCTCCCAGTGCATTATATCCATATGCCCCACCCTGTGCTCCCGCCCCCACTCCCAAACCAACATCCGTTCAAATTGAATATATGCCCCACCCTTTCCCTGTGCTCTCCCTTTCCCCGACGGAACCCCGCCCCCACGTCCCTCTGTCCGTGTGTCCAGTCCGCGCGTCAGCTGCCCGCCGCCAAACTCTCCCTGCCTAATGTCCTGCTTGTTGGGTGAACCTCCCCCATCCCTTGCCCACGCTGGGTTCGCCTGCAGAGGCATCGTGTTCTTGTTTTGTGATGACACAGCCGCCGTCATCCGACTCGCCGGCAACAGCTGATGCTCGGGGAATCCCGGGCCTACCGGCAACAGCTGATGCTCGGGGAATCCCGGGCTTGCCGGCAATAAACGGACCCCGGGTGCTTCCGGACCTATTAACGGGCCGGTGCTCGTCGGCGTTTGCGCGTTGGCTCGTAGAGGCGTGTCACAGGTATAGGCCTGCCCGGTTCGGCCGTGAGTTGTAGCGGTGTGTGGCTCGGCAGCTTCCGGGGTTGGTGGGCTGTCGTTTGCTTTCCCCTGTCCCCGATTGCATGGCAAGCCTTTGGGGGCTTGACACTTAGGTAATCAGCAAGTAAGTTTTGCTTTCCAGCTTTGTGATGAATTGAAAACTTCGATGGTTGCATGGTTAAATGCCATCTGGTAATCTTAGGATTATTGTCCTTCATTTTTTTTAATCTATGCGAGTAGTTGATGAAGGGGCATGGTAGACTAGTGGTTAAGATGATGAGCTTGACAACCAAAAAGTTTGAGACTCAAGTACTGTGTGATGTGGTGAGATCCTGTTTTGCCCAGCTCTTGCCAACCTACCAGTTTAAAAGCATGCAAATGCAACTGGATAAATAGGTACCACTTAGTTGGGAAGGTACGGTAACAGCATTCTGTGTACCTCAGCATATAGTCATGCTATATGACCCCAGAGGCCCCTTTGGACAATGCTGGCATCCTGAACTGGGAAATGGAGATGAGCATGGCCCCTAAAGTTGGACACAACTGGACAGGGGAAACCTTTACCTTTTTAAGAAGTTGATGATCAGTAATTGCCTTGAATTCTTAGCCCCAGAAATAAATTTTAAGTCAGGGGTGTCCAATCTTGGCAATTTTAAGACTTGAACTTCAACTCTCAGGATTCCCCAGCCAGTCATACATTAAAGTCCCAGGGGAGAAAACAAAGAGAAAGAACAGCTCATGTTGGCCATTGCAAGGCTTTCCTTCCTCTCTGGGAAAACACTCTCTAAAATGGCCAGGTCTGATAATGTTATCAGACCCGAAAATACAGACCAATCAAGAGTGCTGTGTCAAATTTCTAGGGGAGAAGGGGCAGCACAAAGAATGCAAGAATTGACAATACAATTTACAATACTCAAAAATGAATAGTAAAAAATAATTAATGTACTGGGTTTTTTAAAAAAATGCTTATTTTGTTGATCTATTTATTAAATTTATATGCCACCAGTTTGAGTCTCCAAAGCAACTCTGTCTCTATATTTGTAGGAAGTTTATCACCACAAACCAAAGTAGAAACCTCCTTTCTGAGCAAAGGAATTAAATGGTTCCTTTAAACATAGGTCCTTAAAGATACAAATGTTGTGCTAGTGTGGGATGCAACACAACTGCTTTCTGACTTTTACGAAACATGCCATTATTATCATGATAATAAGTTAAGCTTTGCTATGAAATCTGTATAGCTTACCTGTCTATCTGTTCACTTCAGTGCCTATTCTCTGCCATTAAGTTGAAAATGCAGCATCTTTTCTTTATGTTCCTGCAAGCACAACTAATCCCATTACCTTGGAAAAGTTGTTTTCAGATCTCTTACCCTGAGTTTAGGTGGGATATCTGAGTTCAGAAATAGTTTGGAGATTGTGGTCACTTTGTTCTTCAAGAAGACAATATCCCTCTCTGTATAGAACCCAAGAGAAGCCAGCATGACCACAGTGTCAGACAGGTGAAGAAACCTGTGGTAGTAATTAACAGAAAAAGGAGAGACATTGAGGATGGGGAATACAAAAGCCCCCCTTGATGTAGCAGAAAAGAGAGACACGATTGCATCACAGTTGATATTATCCAGGCCTGGATTGGCAATGCCAATATGGCAATAACAGGCCATATTTGGGGTCAATGGATATTTCTTCCTGTGGCCTATTCCCATGCTAAAAGGTGTCGTCTTAATTCAGCACCAGTCTGACATAAGTCTCTGTGGCTGCCACAGATTGCCAAGGTGAATTAGGAAGGGAATGCCTCCCATGTTGGAGAACATACTGGCGAATTATCCAATCCAAAGAAGATGTATCAGATATTCATTTATGGCCTTACAACGTGTGCTTGATGAGTGTGATTGAAGAATTGCATTAGACACAATGGATGAGGGTAAATATTATTGATCACAGAATATAAGAAGCATGGATGATATGGCAAATGATATAGCATGGGGTGACCTACCTCTCCATTTCTAGATAAAAGTAGAGATCATTCACCAAGAAGTTGACTGAGATGATGCGACCACCAGGTAGTTTGCGCTTCACCTGTTGTGATTCAGGGTCTTCTGATAGTCCAGAAGCTGGGCCATAACGCCCACTAACTCCACCCTGACTTGCAGGCTTTGTTTGAGTTGGACTCTGCATATCTGGAGAGAAAGAGAGGGAGCATCTTCCACAAAAATCATCCATGATGAGAGGTACAAAAATAATTCTGTTCAATAATCTTCAATATTGGCAATTTCATTCCACAATGCAGGAGACCAGAAGTTGCACAAAAATGACTTGGAACAATTGGGCCACAATGCACTTCAACTGATCAGTCCCTTTAATAACCCATTCCCTATTAGTCCATGCCTTGAAGGTTAAGAATTCCCTGGTAAAATTTCTTTGGCTGGAGAATTGTTGCAGGAGCAGATATTGTTGAGTTGGAAACTTCCAGTGATTTATTTCCATCAGAATGAAGAATGTGGGAAACCATACTGGCCACAACTAATATAAGGCTATCAGGATGAACCTCTAACTTTAGAAGATTGGCTTTCCTGATTTAGTGGACCTAAAACACTGGAATGAGTTTTTAGAAGTTCCAGCTAGATCCAAGTACTCTGCCTGCTAGGGAAAGTTACTCTACGAAACCAGATTAATCTTATATTTAGAGAATCATTTGAAGATTGGACCTTGCCTAGATGCTGTCAGTGATTTCTTTATTCAATGGACATTATGGATATGGTCCAGGGAGCAAATTATGATAGCAATGTCATACCAATGGAATACAAAATCTTCCACTTTAAATAACAAAAAAAGCTTCTTTCAACATGTAAAAAACAAGAGAAAAGTGAAGGAAATGATTGGTCCATTAGTGGGTGGAAGTAGCAAGAAGGTGACAAGCAACAGGGAGAAAGCAGAACTATTTAATTTGGTTTTTGCATCTGTCTTTGCATAAAGGGAAAAAACAGACCAACCTATCAAAAATAGTGCCATAAAAAACAAAATAGAAAGACAAGTTAAGATAGGCAAAAAAATGGTAAGTGAGCACCTGTCCAGCCTAGATGAGTTCAGATCGCCAGGACCAGATGGATTACACCCCAAGGTTCTCAAGGAACTGGCAGATGTGATATCGGAACCACTGAACTATATTTTTCAAAGATCCTGGAACACAGGGGAACTACCAGAGGACTGGAAAAGAGCTGATGTAGTTCCCATCCTCAAAAAAGGAAAAAAAATGGATCCAGGAAATTACAGACCTATCAGCCTGACCTCAATACCTGGGAAGATCCTGGAAAAGATAATCAAACAATGAATCAACGAACACCTAGAGGCAAACAAAGTCATTACTAAAAGCCAACATGTCAAAAATAGATTATGCCAGACAAATCTTATTGCATTCTTTGACCAAGTGACAAAATTAGTGGATCAGAGGAATGCTGTAGACATAATTTACTTGGACTTCAGTAAGGCGTTTGATAAAGTAGATCACAACCTACTACTTGATAAGATAGAAAAATGTGGGGTAGACAAAATCACCACCAGAAGAATCCGTAGCTGGCTGACCGGCCGTACTCAGCGTGTGGTCCTCAATGGAACTGCATCTATATGGAGGGAAGGGTGTAGTGGGGTGCCCCAGGGCTCTGTTCTGGGCCCAGTGCTCTTCAACATCTTCATCAACGATTTGGATGAAGGGATAGATGGGGAACTCATCAAATTTGCAAATGACACCAAGCTGGCAGGAATAGCCAACACTCCAGAAGACAGGCTTAAGATACAGAAGGATCTGGACAGACTTGAACACTGGGCACTAACTAACAAAATGAAATTCAATGGTGAAAAAAGCAAGGTTCTACATTTAGGCAAGAAAAACCAAATGCACAAGTACAGCATAGGTGGCACCATGCTCAATAGTAGTAACTGTGAGAGGGACCTCGGAGTCCTAGTAGACAATCACCTAAATATGAGCCAGCAGTGTGCTGCAGCTGCCAAAAAGGCCAACACAATGCTAGGCTGCATTAACAGAAGGATAAAATCAAGATCACGTGAAGTATTAATGCCACTCTACAATGCCTTGGTAGGCCACACATGGAATATTGCATCCAGTTTTGGTCACCACATTGTAAAAAAGATGTTGAAACTCTAGAAAGAGTACAGAGAAGAGCAACAAAGATGATTAGGGGACTGGAGGCTAAACATATAAGGAACGGTTGCTAGAATTGGGTATGTCTAGTTTAACGAAGAGAAGGACAAGGGGGGACATGATAGCAGTATTCCAATATTTCAGGGGCTGCCATAAAGAAGAGGGAATCAAGCTATTTTCCAAAGCACCTGAAGGCAGGACAAGAAGCAATGGGTGGAAACTAATCAAGGAGAGAAGCAACCTACAACTACGGAGAAACTTCCTGACAGTGAGAGCAATTAATCAGTGGAACAACCTGCCTCCAGAAGCAGTAAATGCTCCAACACTGGAAGTTTTTAAGAAGAGACTGGACAGCCATTTATCCGAAATGGTGTAAGGTTTCCTGCCTGAGCAGGGGGTTGGACTAGATGACCTCCAAGGTCCCTTCCAACTTTACTACTACTACTACTACTACTACTACTACTACTACTATTATTATTATTATTATTATTATTATTATTATTATTATTATTATTATTATTATTATTATTATATATGCATCATGATGTTGCACAAACTTTACAGTTTACTACTGTGGGAAGTCAGCCCCCCCCCAGAGAAGGAAATATTAAAAAGGCAGAATATTATATTTCCTCAAAGGATCTTAAAAAGGCAGAAAAGCATGTCCAATTTTTCTTAATAGCCCCAAATCTCCCTCCGCCAAGCAAAAACCAGCTCTGTAGAAATGCAGATATCATAAACCATTTAGGAAGGTTGGTGCCAGGAAGCTGGAGCTGATGGGATTAAAAAGACAAAGATCCCTAGAATCAACAACCTCTCACCCAAAAAAATCCAACACAGGACATAGCCATCAGCCACAGCCCCAGGGAAGCAGGATATGACCTTTAGGACATAATAGGATTAACCCACCACCATCAGAATACCAGAAAGGCACGCTCAGACTCAGGTCAAAGTACATGACACAGGAAATACAAAGCCTCAAACGGAAACAACTCCAAACACAAAAGTCCAGGAAGGTATAAAACCCACCACTCCCAGCAACATGTAGTCAACTTTCCCAGAGCCACGCTTCTGTCTGGTTTTGCTCTTCAATAAACTACAACCTTCTTTCTAAAGCAGTCTTCATTTTGTTTATTCCCAGCTTGGACTGGACCCTGACAAAGACTTTTCTTTCAACACTACTTTACAGCTATAAATGCCCTCCATGACAATTTGATTATTTTTTGAAAATAAAGCTGGACAATATTGTATGAGTCCAATATAGATAGTGTGGTTATTTGGATTGGATTCTATATGTGAAGGATATATGACTTTGGACTGAGCTGAGTGAATGCATAGGTGTTCATCGCTTTTTACTTTGATTGCTATCTCTTTATTTGATGGACAATGTATGCTTTATTCTGGGAGTTCAGGTCCATACATTTTAAAAGTGCTGAGGTTCAGAAACACCGGTCTAATTAGTCCAAAAATCCAAATTAAAGCTTATAGCTATCTGGCTTCTGTAGGAATACATCCAGTAAACAAGAGCTCATTTTTTATTGTTGTTTTTCTCCCCTAAGAGATTTTAGTTTTACATTTTATATCCACCATAGTTTCTACTTAGACTATGTATGGTATGAAATAATATTTTTTATTTACATGAAATATTAGTTTTTGTATTCAAAAGTATTTTTTAACAATAAACTCTTATTTCTATATAATCTCTTCCATGTTTTTAAGCAGGGACATTTGCACACAGAGAGAAATTACCAGTACCTACTTGCTGTTTATTATGAATTACAAAGAGAGCATTAGCTGCTTAATAATATTGCTACCTTACTGCATCACTTCTTGTCCTGTGTCATCATCTCCATTAAAGGAAAACTAGTATTACATAAAAAGCAAATGGGAAATCACTCAGAGAGAAGCCTCCGTAGCTGGCTTCACTATTGCTTTGCTCTTACTATTAGAATGTTTTTCCTAGCTTCCAGTTGCAATTGGTCTCCCTGTAAGGGGCATACTCAATAGTTGGTCTCACTGTAAGGGGCATATTCAACCAAAGTGTCACTTGAGTGGAATCATTCCAAACTATGTGGAGGGTTTGGTTGTTGAAGAGGTTTAGGTTAGAGGAATGAAGAAGCAAGGAAATAGTCTGTGCATGTTAAAAAAAAAAAATCTCAAAAGCTCTCAAACTTCATTTCATTTTCAGTAACCAAGTTAGTGGATGCTGAACTCCTTTCAGCCTGAACCAACTGATGTCTTTTCTCCATTTCCTGATTTTGAAATAAACCATAACATAAAATCAACAACAAAGAAGACTCCTTCTCCTGAAAAAATCCACCACTGTGTGGAAAGTGAAAGATTTAGGACTCACTTTCCTTGTCGTTCTTCACCTCCTTGAGGAGAAAGTTCTCAAAGCGTTTGCGCTGTCCCACATAACTCATTGCCTTTCGGAACTTGCAGATCCTCCTGATGAAGGCGGTAAGAATACACCAGCATCTTTTCTGGAAAAGAGACCATTGTTTGCAATGCTCAGTACAGGGCAGCCTGATCGCTCACCTTGTTAATTCTCACAAATGAGAAAAATTAGAATAGAAGACAAAGAATTGGAGAAGATCACAAAGTATAAAGATCTGAAAATCGAAATTGAACGATTATGGCATAAACCAGCCATGCTGGTCCCTGTGGCTATCAGCACACAAATATCATATCTAAAAATATTGGGCAGCTCTTAGAAAATCTTCCCATTGACAAAAAGTTCCACTGTCAATAGAAATGGACCCATTGTTTGGATCCATACATATACTATACATATTAATTACAACTTCCTAGGTTCTTGGGAAGAACTCAGTATTATGAAGGCCAACACCAGCTAAAGAACTAGCAACTGTGTTGGGTTAATAATAATAATAACAACAACAATAACAATAATACCAAATCAAAATGAAATAAAACAGGGGGGCCACAATCACTATGTCCTTTGGGTCTGCGAGAACCACCTGTTCTTCAGTAAATTTTTGAATGATCTAAAGATGGGAACCACACAAATCTCTGGAGGAAGATTATTCCAGAGGGTTTTTCTCTTACTGTTTGCTTTATGGTTATTGTACATGGAATGTAAGATTTGAGGTTTGACACTTCCAGCAGAAAAGGTTGAGAAAAAAAATCTTGTTATTTAAAGCCCCCACATTATTTCAGACTCTGAACATAGCATATCAATTGATTAGGAGAATGTCATGACAGAATAAGGTCATCTCTTTGATTCAGCTGATTCTTCAAGACAAGTTAGAAGTTCATTATTGCAGACAAGCTTTGTTTATTGAATGTAATGCCCTGCATTCTGGCTTCCTCTGACCCTTCAAAGGGTAGAATAGCTTTTTAAACCAGATCCAAGGCAACTGAGTCAGCTATTTATGAATTTGTAATTTCAGATTGGGTCCGAATAGAAGGATGTAAACACAAAGCCCTGCTTTGCAATCATCAGTCTCTATGGAAGCTATGAATCCAATCCCTCCCCACCACTACTCCTTCAACCATCAGTCACCTGCTTGCTTGTCAATTGAGAATCCTTCTTTGTCTTCCAACCAGCTGAAACAAGGGCAACATCACTATCAGGATATAGGCCTTGGTACATATTAAACCTGCCAGTAAAAAAGGAAAATCATTTTGGTAAATTATTACTCCTTGTTATCTATTGCAATTCATTTCACTTGAAGATGTTTATAGGACAAACTTGAGTGTAACAAGCAAAGGATTCTGCATCAAGATTGAGTTGGCACTTAAATCATCCTACATTCTCCCCCATTTCAGGGGCTGCGGAATAATTTATATCCCAGATTACCAATTGCTCATATGGTAATTCACATATGAGCAGTGTGGACAAAAAGCAAATCCTAGATCAAAAGAGGCTAAACTCCAACTTTACTCCAACCCAGAACAAAAATACAACAGGTTTCCTTTGAGGAATACCAACTCATTGTTATCTGTATTATTATGATAATGCCTCTGTGGCTTTCCATATCACTACATATAGTATTCTGACTATAGAATGGCCCAAAATGAACAACCCCCATGACACTATTTGGCCATTGCCCTTTACTCACCACTTTTCTTCCAAGTTCCTCAGGACTAATATTTGAGCAGTGACCAATATGGGAACAGGGACTGATGGTAACTTTGGAATCTCATGGATGACATATTCATCGCAATGCAGCAGTTTTTCTGGATAAGAGAAAGTATATACCATTGTACTGATTGTTTTGTCCCTGAGTGTCTCTTAGTGGTCACTTCATTATAGCATTGTATTTTTCATGCAACTCTGAAAGAGCCACACTATTTTTTTTTAGCCTTGTAAAGAAGCCTGAAGAGTTTGAAGGAACAGCAAAGAGGTGCTCTTGTGCAAGATCCAAAGCACTTCTTCCCAATCTTTTTTGAAGCATTCAAAGCTCTCAGGTTGAGTTCTTCTCAAATCGGCTTGAGCAAACCAGACTTGGAAGCATTACAAGGAGCTAAAATCAGGAGGAGACTGGGAACTTTCTGCTGAGAAAGACAATACTGCCTTTTCTCCCCTCTGTCTCACAGGTTCACAGGGCACCAGGCAGAAGGACCATCCAGACTAGTAAGGCAAAAGCACAAGAGGGGCAGAAGATTTTGTGGCTGTCAGCAAGGAGGTAAGCTTCAACAGTGAATCATCCCTGGGCCTGTCTCTAGCCTTGTGAGGTAGAATGAGAGACTTGCTTGCTGCATACCAGGTGGGATAGCATTTAAGAAGTAAGTTCGGACACACTCGTTGATCTGCATATGCTGAATCCTGGGATCTAGCTCATTTTTTATATCTTCTACAGCCAGGCAGAAAAGGAGAGGGGCTTCTGCATTGTGCAGCCGAAGGAAGTTCTTGAAGTACTCAAAATGGAGCGAGTTCTGCATCACTTCAGAAAGAGTTCTAAGAAGGAAAGAGAGATGAGGAAGCTTCAAGGGGCTACTTTCCCATTAAGCTACACAGATGTTCAATCGCTAAAGATGGTGATGCAGTCCATTTAAAAACAAACAACAGTAATATCAGTAAAAGACACATGGTGCAGGAACATAGTATAGTATACAATTATTGACAAATCATACGGTAATGAAAGTCACTATTTAATTAATACTGAATTCACAGAAAAGGATTTACTTTCTTCCCCATTTAGAACAGTACATCCTCTTCTGTTTAAAAACATCATCTTTTCTCTAAAATCAATTTTCTAGGCCTGATAATAAGAGTGTGGGGATTCATATTAGACACATGTGGTTTAAACAGCCCCCTCCCTTTTAGGGTCTTTTTTAAAATCAGTGCTGACTTCCAGTGACTACCTGGACATATATCCCTGCTGGTTTTTTGGCAAGATTTCAGATGTAGTGTGCCATTTGCCTCTTTTCTAGGACTGAGAGTGAGTGGCTGGCCCAAGGTAACCCAGCTGGGTCTCTATTCAGTTATAAAACTTATTGTAGAAGCTGGTGCTTCTTTGTGCCTAGCTAAATTTTCAATGCAAAAAAAGTAAATTGCCATGAGATCTTTGGAGATAAGGAGGGAAAGAAATGTGTCAGATTAAATCATGTTTCAGAATATCCAAATAATACTGAAAGAAAACAAAGCAAAACAACCCCTCCCCTTTGCTTTTAGGGAGCAGAGCTTCAGGGATCTATATACCCATCACACCTTCCTTCCAGTTTTTTTCCTAAGGCTGTTTCTGATATCTCTCATTCACAAACTTGTTTCTTCATATCATCTATGTCTTACATTGCTTCTCGTCTCCAATACTATTCCTTCCTCTGGGCTATGGAGACCATGGGAGGTTGCACATTTAGCAATTTAGGAAAAATCTCCTAATAGGCTACATTATAATATTAATATTTGCCTGCCTTGATCAGAGCCCCGAACTCTGCTTTGCTTCCTTTGATGCAGAAGCAGGGAAAGCATACAATTTCATACAAGCAGCATGGGTATGCACAGTCATTTCTTGCATGCCTGACTTCAAATGGGATTGCAGATCTTCAAAGCAATACCAGATTTACAGTGCAATCTTACCTATGTTCACTTGGTTAAATTCAACAGGCTTTAGTTCTGAAAAAGCACACATAGGAGTGTAGCAATAAATGCTTAAAAAACAAAAGACGTCAAGAGATGGTGGCCTAATAATTTTAAAGGTGCCAATACCTCCTTGGATCTTTGAAAAATTTGATGAACTCACCAAAACATGTGTTGATAGCATAGAATGAGCAACCTGCAAGGACTAGAGTAGACCTGACAACTTTATGAATTACACAAAATTCCACTGGTAGCAAGGAAGGGCTTCTGTTTAAATGAAAATAAGAGCTTTAGAGAAAATATCTTTATTTGGAGTTTGTCAAAGAAATGAAGAAAATATTGGAAATATACTCCCTCACTCCATCTGTAATTCCCTGATCCATATTTCTTAGTGTTTTTTTTTTCTCTACCTGCTATTTAATGAGCAAAGCCTGTTTGGCTAAAAATTGGAATGAAATAGCAGAATGTATCCCTTTTTGGTGGATGAGATAAATACCTGGGCTTTGAAATTGGTTTCCTAATCACAGCCTTCCTCAGGAAGGAGAAACTTGATCTGGCCCATTGGAGACTCCTTTTGGGAACCACTGGCCGAACAAACACTTCTGTAAAGAAATAATAGGACATTTCCAGATAAGTACAATCTCTGTCTTATCTGATTTGGGAGCAGGGCAAGAAGCACCTTCTGAAGATGAGCGTAAAAGATTTGAAGCTTATATTAAATCTTCAATTCACCTGAGCATTAGCAGACGTAGGTTAGGATCTGCTCACAGAACAAATTAAACCCCTTCACACTGATTGATCGACATCATCTTTGGCCATTTTAGATGCTTCTAGCTCTCCCCTGCTGCAATTGCAGTATCAGGAACCCTGGTGGCACAGTGGTTAGAATGCAGTATTGCAGGCTAACTCTGCCCATAGACCTGAAGTTCGATCCTGCCAAGCTCAAGCTTGACTCAGCCTTCCATCCTTCTGAAGTCAGTAAAATTAGGACCCATTTTAGATTGTTGGGGGCAATATGCAAATAATGTTGACATTGCAAACCACCCAGAGAGTGCTGTAAAGCACTGTGTGACAATATACATACTGTAAGTCTAAGGGCTATTGCTATTTTATACTAACTGAGCATTGCCACTTTCCAGCACCAAGTGCCCTGCAGAAGAGGCTGCATTTCCCTTTGCTGAAACATTACTGGATGGTTGAGGTGGCCCTTGAAGAGAGTGCTTCCCATCGCATGCTAGACATACCAGCAAGTCGGCAGGATAGGAGGAAGGCACAAAATGGCACAAGAGACAAGCTGCCAAGATGGACAGACTGAATATCTGCATATTATTTTTCATTATTTTATTTTATTTGAGGGGGAAGGGGAATATTTTTAAATGTGAAGTGAAGATAGCTAACAATACCCAAGCAGCGATTGGTTCAGGCATTCGGGTTCCCTTATCAGCTAATAACTGGCAGGTTATAAGTGGCTGTCAGTTCTCCACCAGCCTCATCTGCTTACAAACAACTAGATTTTTTCCTGTTCCTGCAGTATCTTGTATCATCAGAATATCTTACTTCACTTCAGTGGTGAAATCATAAAATTTGGGCAACAAGAGTCTGAAGCACTGGTACTCTGAAAATATGATATCCTTGCAGAATCTCAAGACTGCTGCAGGAAATACAGTTAGTCCTCATTTAGCGACTGCTTGGTTTAACAACTGTTTGCAGTTCTGAAAGTGATGAAAAAGTAACTTTACAACCAATCATCATTTACAACCTTCACAGATCTGTAAGAGGTAAGGAAAGCTGAAGTAGGATAATAAACACAATCATGGTTTCACTTTGTGACTGCTTTGCTTAATGATCAAGCTGCTAGTCCCAATTGTGGTTGCTAAACAAGGAGTATCTGTCCTTTATTTTTAGACGCCTCCAGATTTTTAAGGTAACAGAAAGGAACCAATACACCATAATCATTTCTATTGGAAGCTCTCTTCTATTTTCCTCCATATTGTTTGTGAGCCAGGTGAATTCCTCTTGAATCCAGCACTCCAAGAACTTACTGCCTGATGGACATCTCTTGCAGAACTCCCTGAAGTTCTTGCTAAGAAGTTCCACAGCCATCTTGGGATTCAGCCGAGCCAGCTCCTCAAACGTCATGCCGCCATAATCTGTTGTTATGGGCAGGGGGAGAAGCGGGAAGAACAAGCATGGGAGTCATTAGCAGTTCTGAGCTACCTGATTGAGTTGACTACTTAGGATTTGTTCAAGTTATGGGGGAAGAAATTTACAGCTCGGATGTAACTCAGTACACCATGAAATTGCAGGTGATTTTGTATCTGGCGTCATGAGAGATTCAGCCATGCATTTTAGACCCTATGGCTCCATTCTTAAAGCACTACAAGCAATTTTGCCCAACCAGGAAGCAGACTCTAATTCAATCCAGCTACCTTTGTTCTCTGAGCCACCTAATGCTGCCCCAGTTCCAAAGAACCAACTCTTGCGGTTCCAGAGATAAATCTCTGCAAACACGATTTCCTTACACTTCTGAGAGCTGGGTGGAAATCTGCCTCCGGACAGCTTTTTGAAGGCACTCGCCAATTGGCTATCTAGCACTCAGAATATGGCCCTTAGGTAATTCAATATGGAGACTCCTGCCACTCTCAATCAAAGCAATATACACCGGCTCCATTTTTACCTCCGTAAAAAGGACCTATGTTATATTATTTATTCGGTAACCAGAAAAAAAAGAGTGCAAAGGCAATAGAAAAATATGATCATTTGAAGTCCTTGGTGTTCTCAGAACTCGGTTGTGATGAAAGTTAGCCTAGAAGGAAATATTAAAAAGGGCAGAAAAATATATTTTTCTTCAAAAGGACTTTTTAAAACCAAACCTGGCTCCAAATCTATCTCTCTGCCCCAAGCAAGACTTTAGCCCTATACAAATGCAAATGTAAAACCATCAGAAAGTTGGAGCTAGAGCAATCAAGAAGACAAAAGAGAAGATCTGCATACCCCACCCAAACTCTAGGAGTCAGCCCCATCACCTGGGAAGCAGGATATGATAACAGAATTAAACCACAGATATCAAGGCCTAGACAAACACTCAGAAACAGTCTCAAGGTTCATGCCACAGGAACAGGAAACTATTCCAAACAAAAGGCTAGGGGGGGTATAAAACCTACTGCCCATGTGCTCAATCTCCTCCCCTTCGCTCTCCTTCTCTCTCCTCTGCACTTTCCTGAAGAACCATCTTTCTGCAATAAACTGTAACCTTCTTCCCAAAGCAGTCACCATGTTTGCTTATTTATTCCCGGCTTGGATGAACCAGGATGAAGACTTTACTTCTAGCAATTTGGCACCCCGAGATGGGACACCAAGCTAACCTCTCCAATGGACTGAGACTGGTAAGCCCCATCTTGCAGGCAGCAGACCCCCTTGTGTCTGTGGATGGGTTTCCCAGGCCTTGCCCATGTGGAACTAGGGTAGTAAAGGGAGTTTTGAGAGTTTGAGCTCAAGGGCTGCTTTGGAAAGAAGATGAAAGTGAGTACCTCTAAATTTTAAGTTTAAAGCCCAGGGGAACAAAGAAAATGTGTGTATTTCTGTTTGTGTGAGTCAGAAGACTTTTTTTTCCAATCACAGTTGGATTTTGCTGCTTCTGGTCTTTCCTAGCCGCAGAAAGCATCTGTTTAATTGGCAGAACCTGGAAAGCATGGGTTGGCCAGAGCACAGAACCTTTTGTTAGGGAAAAGGGAGAGGCTGTGTGAAAATGAAATGGAATGAGTGAATGAAAGAATTGGATTTGGGCAACTAGCTGGTAAGGCCCTGTAAGCAAAGCAAAGTTTGGAAAGAAGTCTCATAAGAAGACTTCGGCTGTGTTAGGAAAGAAGTCTCACAAGGAGACTTCAACTGTGTTAGGAAAGAAACAAGGAGACTTCGACTGTATTAGGAAAGAAGTCTCACAAGGAGACTTCGTTTGTGTAGTGTATGGAAGAAAAATAGACTTTGCTTAGGGCTTTGCTGGGAAACCAATTTGGCTAAATAAAGGTACTTAAAAGGGAAAATAAGAAATAGTGATTCTCTCTCTCTCTCTCTTTCTCTATGCAACCACGTGGTATGTTTAAAATATGTGCCTTCCCTAACTTGAATTATCTGAAATTTATGGTGGGAATGACTAGGATGTGTAAAACTAAGACTTCTGTTCTCTTGTCTTTGTGTATATATGTTTGTCGAAGTCTGTGCGTGAGAGGTAAATGTGACTGTTAACTGTTTCAAATCCAAAGGAAAAAGAATTTTAAATTCTGCTAGAAATTCTGCTTAAAATAAGCCACAAAAAGGAAAAACCTCACTCTGTTTGTCTGGCCAACAAACAGAGTGAAGAAAAAAGAATTGTGTTTGTTTGTTTTCCTTTCTCTCTGTGTACACTCAAGAACAGCCTTAAGTTACCAGGAGGGATGGCTTTAAGTTTATCTGTTGGAAAAGTTTCACTTGCATTTACTGTATGTGTTTTATCTATCCTTTTCCTGAAAAATGTGTGTCTATCTACAAGAGCATTTTGAAACTCAAGTCTGCTTATGTGGGGAAATAATTTTTTAAAGTTACTTTTCTTATCCTATCACTTACTGGTGAAACTACTATGAAGCTTTCTGAAACATAAGCATTTTCCAATCTCTAAAATAATGTTATCTATTTTAGAATAAATGTTAAAGGCAGATTCTCCTGCCCTTGGCAAGTTGCACATATTAAAATATTAGGCTTTTAAAATTTGGAGTTTTCAGCATTCTCAAACTGTCTGCAAGCTACCCCCCTTCCAATTTTTTTTCCTGCCCTTTGTTCTCCATACCTTTTGTCTGCCTCTCCTGGGAGAGTCCACCCAGAAAGGGGGGGGGAGACCTTGTTCTTGTATCTTTCAGCCTGAAACCCTCTCCCAAGTCTTTGGAAGCAGAACACACAGACCCAGATGCTGCCTCCATCCATTTGAGCCATGGAATTGAGTTTTGAATCCAGCCATCCACTAAAAAGCCACCATGCAATCTGAGTGGGGAACATCTTCCCAAGTCCTACCATTTACCCAGATGCCTGTGAGAGCTGCAGAAGGAAGGTGGTGCCATGTGAAGCCTCAGAAGAGAAAATTAGACTGTGGGGGGAGGGTGGAAACTCATTGTAAACTTTTCTTTCTTGCCCCATTTGTATTGTAACAAGCCAGTTGAATGTATTAGTGGAGAGATGGCATTTAGGAATAAGTGGTAGAACAAGTACTGAACACCTTGGACTTCTATCTGGTGGGAGGGAAAACTTTTCCAGAATGTTTGTATTGCCTGTTTTGTAGAAATAGCTGCATATGCACACATACACCATTCACACCATTCAGAGTCTATCCCCTCCACCTACCTTTAGTAAAGTTCCTCAGGCTGATTTTTGCTCTATTGCACCAAAGCTTTGTGGGACCAACTTCCAACAGATTCCAGGGGGGAGGGAACTAGGCCCCCTCAGGTGATTTGCAATTCATATGCCCTGACTAAGGAAGCAACAGGAAAAACCCGAAACTTCAGCCCTTAATATCTTGCACTGGTGAGCCCAGATTGGGATTCCTAGAGCTCAGTATGTGCAATTTAAAGAAAAATTTAATAGCCTGGCATATTGGACATTACAAACCTGGATGCACTGAATTAAGAGCTAAGGCAGGAAACAACCCTTGAAATTGGGCAGCCAGTGGTCATGTACTAAGGAAAACCATGGCTGTGAAGAATTTTGGGAGGTATGCAAACCTGACTGGAAGCTAAAGGTGATATCCAACATTTGAAAATGATTGGCACAGAATATTGGACACTATAAATTTCTTTTCCACCTAACAAAATTTTGCCCTGACTTTTAGAACTTTATGGGTGCAAGCTCCCCTTTTGGGAGCCACTAAAGGGATCTTTTTCTGCTGCCTCCATTAATGTCTTATTATTATTATTATTATTTTGCTTAACAGTTTAAAAGCTTGCCTACCAAGTCTCCCTGACCAGATCAATTTTAATGTTGTGCCAATAAGTGTGTCATAAATACACACTTAAGGCACAAAGCGGGGGATTGATGAAAGTTAGCCCAGAAGGAAATATTAAAAAGGGCAGAAAAATATATTTTTCTCAAAAGGACTTTTTAAAACCAAACCTGGCCCCAAATCTATCTCTCTGCCCCAAGCAAGACTTTAGCCCTATACAAATGCAAATGTAAAACCATCAGAAAGTTGGAGCTAGAGCAATCAAGAAGACAAAAGAGAAGATCTGCATACCCCACCCAAACTCTAGGAGTCAGCCCCATCACCTGGGAAGCAGGATATGATAATAGAATTAAACCACAGATATCAAGGCCTAGACAAACACTCAGAAACAGCCTCAAGGTTCATGCCACAGGAACAGGAAACTATTCCAAACAAAAGGCTAGGGGGGGTATAAAACCTACTGCCCATGTGCTCAATCTCCCCCTTCGCTCTCTGTGCTCTCTGCCCTTCTCTCTCCTCTGCACTTTCCTGAAGAACCATCTTTCTGCAATAAACTGTAACCTTCTTCCCAAAGCAGTCACCATGTTTGCTTATTTATTCCCGGCTTGGATGAACCAGGATGAAGACTTTACTTCTAGCAGTTGCTTGCTTGCAGACATTTCATTACCCAATTAGGTGACATCATCAGCACAGCTCACAATATGAGTCTTTTCAGCCTACCTTCTGAAATATTCTCTCTCTAGAGATTAGGATGGATCTGACCTTGTTATTTTTTGTGAGAGCCTAAAGATTTGGTTTTGTGCTTGTTTCCGGGACCCCAGGTGGGTTAATGATTCATAACTGCTGAATTTCTCTCAGTGTGTTCTGTGAATTATAATTCCTTGATTTTTATTTTTAACCTTGTTTGTTGCTCAGAATAATTTGTTGAGATGAGCAGCTATTTTATATTAAACAAACAAACAAACAAAGCTGGCCTACAAATGGAAATGTTGATTTTAATCTTGAATTTTGTGAATGAAGCAGGGCTGCATGCAATACAAGTCCTGGCTGTGTCTCCCAGAGTTGCTGAGTTAAAATTAATAAATAATAATAATAATAATAATAATAATAATAATAAATATTATTGACAATATTTTTGTGTGTATGTGTTTGTGTGTATATATATATATATATATATATATATATATATATATATATATATATATATATAATGTGGATTCCCATATATATTATTCCATAATTTGAAACTGTGGGCTTGACGGCCCACATCTAGGATGCTACAGTTGAGTATGTATCTGAGTGACAGAAAATATTTTATTTGTATTCTTATATTAAAATGATTCAAACTGCTTTTTCCTTAATGAGAAACTGATCCACCCCCTCCCCATGTCCCCATATTGACCTCAAATACAACCCATCTCTGTTGGATGTTGGCCACTGAGCAATTCTCAGGGTCCTTTTAGGATAGAGATTTAAAACCATGCTAAGTACCAAGTGGACAGAGGCCACTTGACATGCTAAACCCAGGTCAATCCAATAGCAGTAAGAGACCTGTAGCAGCAAAGGCCTGTTTCTCATAACATGCTAAGACAGTGGCTGACTTCCCACAATCCTTCAGTCAAAAATTACCCCATACCATTGTAGCTTAAACAAGCATGTTGTATATCAACAGATAAATGTGGATCCATGTACCCCAAATATATTCTAAATTGCTAACCCTGCAAGGACTTAGATCTTGCTCTCCAGTTAAACACTGCTTTTGCTGAGCCAACTCTGTCAATTTACCTCTCTGTGGCACAACAGGCTCCAATTCCATGAAAATAGAGCCTCCCATGGCCAGGTCCTGAATGCCCAACAGTCGCCAGTGCTCTCGTGTCAGCAGGTCAATGTCTCTCATGCCAGCTAAGGCCTGGCTCAGATGCAAGGATTCAACAATCCTTTTGATCAGCTGCAGGTTCTCAGTTCTGTCATACCGTTCTTCTGCATTTGGTTTCTTTTCCTTGCCACTCTGCAGAAGAAAATATTAATGTGCAAAGTACAGCTGGTTATTCAAAGCAGTGAATTTTGGAATACTACACAATGCAGATCTATATAGAACTTTTTTTCTCAGACTCTGAGATTGGACTGCCAGATCTAGGCTGAAAAAATCCCCATGAGATGGAGGCTGACACTAATGTGGAATAATGTGAACAATCACTAGAATATTGATGTGTCTGCATAATTACTGGAATAGTGCTGTGTTAGTAGTATGGGACTAACCTAATGTGCATCGCACTTGGATACAGTGGATGTAGCAAACTCTCTATTATATACCCGTGAGAAATGAACTTAATGTATTACAATGTGTATTTCAATGTGTGTTCTTTTGTTCCTGAGAAAAGGAAAGTATAAAACTGAAGTCTGAACCTGCCCTCGGGGTTCAGAATTGCTGTTGTTATTGCTTCTGAACCTGCGCAATAAATCTCTCTGCTAAAACCTCTGGAATTCGTAAGAGTCCTTCTGTTTTCCACAAGAACACAACTGTTAAAACTTTGCTGCCTTGAAGTAATCACTGAGACTTTTTTTTAGCCCAAATCTTGAAGGCCTATTCTGAGAGACCTGGGGGGCAGTATGTTCATTCTGAATCCCCCGCTTTCTAATCTTGTACTTGCTTTCTAGAACCTTGTCAGGTTTTTTTTTAATTCACTGGTTTTTGGTCATCAAAGTCAGTAGCTCAATAATCAGGAGTGCTTGGAGAAATGGAAATATCTGTCTGTTAAAACTCACTGCTTTTTGCAAACAAAGCCTTGAAGGACTACTTTTGAGTACATCTCTGGTCTAATCCAATTGAAAACACCATTCTTGAGCTACTCTGATGGCCTTTCATTGAAACTATTTTTTAAAAGCTTGTTTTAACAGGCAACAGACCCTCATATCACATGTTACCAAAGCAAATTCTCTAATCTTGTATCTAACATCTATTCCTTCTGAAATTTTTGATAACTTTTCTGCTCCAAGACTATACAAGTAGTTCTCAACTTACAACAGTTCATTTACAACAGCACTGAAAAAAATGACTTATGACCATTTTTAACATTTATGACCATTGCAGCAACCCCATGGTCATGTGATCAAAATTCAGGTACTTGGCAATTGACTCATATTTATGATGGTTGCAATTTCTCAGGGTCAAGTGATCACCTTTTGCGACCTTCGGACATGCAAAGTCAATGGAGAAACCAAATTCACTTAACAACCGTGTTACTAACTTAACAATTGCAGTGATTCACTTCACAAACCTAGCAAGAAAGGTCGTAAAATGGGGCAAAATTCACTTAACAAATGTCTCACTTAACAACAGAAATTTGGGCCTCCATTGTAACTTACAATGTATAGGTTTTGTTTCCCTTGTATTTTATTTGGATCCCTTACTTGTCTCTCCCACCTGAACTAAAGATCTCTGTAGCTCCCTCTTACCACATAATACAGGAACATTTTGTCATCATTCTGAAGGAACTCCTCATAGAGGAAGCTGAGTATCTAAAATGAACATAAGAACACCACCTAAGTAAATGATTTTTTTCAGTTTCACACAAATTGATTATTTAGCAGTGACTAGATATTGGTCCTTTCCTTACTGTTGAATACTATTTTCTCCTCCCATTTTTTGAGTTGGCAGAAAATTATGCTATCAGAACATTTGATACCTCCATTGCCAATCCTTATTTTGCCTCTATTATGTCTGTTCCTCCTAACTTTCTTTCAAGCAATGGGTGACAAAGCCTAATGGATTTTATTTACCTTGGGTCTGCCTTTGGACAGTTTTGGAATAAGGGGGGACTAGTATCTTAAGATGAGTTCAGCCAATGATGATTTAAGCCAGTGTCACTCATGGGCTGGAGACAATGTTAGCAATGCTTTAGGAACCCTGCAAAAATAAATTGTTATCAGAGCACATTTAAACCATGTTAGTTACAAGCAATGAAGCACCCTTTCTATCTGTAAGGCAAACCATAGATATAGCCCCAGGACCTAGAAAAGCTGCTGAAAGATTAGGTTGCTTTTCCTGGAAAAAAGATGGAGATGATGGTCTTCCCACCTTACAGATTTCCTTCTGTGCCTTCAGGACCCAGGGAATCACATGACCAGAAGGCAGGAGATTCTGCAAACTCTGGAGTGTCGTTAGTTTCAGAGGCAGATGCCAATTGTTGCTCTGCGTCAGGTACAGCTCACAAATCCTTTCCCCCATCACATGACGCAGAAGGATGTTCCCTTCACCAAGGGAGCACAACATCATGCGCAAAAAGTCCTCCAGGTCATGCCACAGATCAAGCAGATGGACTTCTACTGCATAGTTCCGTCGCAACAAAAACTCCCTGAAGGGGCGTCCTGCACATTTGTCAGCCGTGAGCACCCAAGGAAGGAAGTCTAGGCATGGGGCAGATTTGACGAGGGTTTTCAGAGCAAGCATGGAAGGGAACTGCACCACAGGAGTGGAGGAGCGCAATTTGTTGAAGGTGCACTTGTCAGGGAACGCATCAGATACAGGGGAGGTGAAGAACTCGCTTGGGCTGCTTTTGAAGCTTGGTGATTCGTCAAAAGGCATCACATCCTCAGAGTCCCAGATGAGTTCCGTGTGTCGAGGGCTGGAACTTGAGAAGTTTTTTCTGGAGAATGTCATCTTCTTGGGAATCGGACTGCCTTTATGCGATTTGAGCTTCTGGCTGCAGCCATCTTTTTTTTTCCCTTTGTGAGAAAGGCTCCTACCTCTGATCTGATCCCAGATTTCCCTCTTGTTTTTCAAACTGTAGTAGGATTTTGTGTCCAAACTGCTTTCTCGGATGCTCATGGAAGACAGAGCCGATGACTTCTGCCTCTGCAGGCCTGACTGAAGTGAACGGTCATGATACTGCTTGAGCAGATGGAGACACTTGGGCTCATCCTCCATGCTTAATTTGCAATGAATGAAGAAGTTGGGGAGCCAATAGCTTTCAATCTTGAACAGGACCACTTTCTGCATCTCACGTAGGATTTCCCTCCGAGTGTGGATGTGTTGCCGGTGGAAGGGAGTCTTTTTCAGAAGTGATTCTGGGAAGAGGAGAACAAATCAGAAAATGAGGACTCAGGGATTTCCTTGTTTATGGAAGGAGGAAGAGGGCATACCTGAATTCTTTAATCCCATGCTGACTTGTCTATTTCTGATGTTTGGATCAGACCTATGGAGGCCATTACTGAGCTGTTACTGCCTAGGCAAATCTTTCTGGGAATTTTCTGGCTGGGAATTTTGCAAGTTTAATTTGAGCATATTTGCAGGGATGCCAGTTTGAGGAAGCTCAGATAATCTGTTTCAAGTATTTTCTATGCTTCTCATAGCCGACTCTTTGTGATTTTAAATGTTAAGGAACATTTCAAGCCCACACATGCACAGATTTGTAAAATGGCTATTTGTAAAAAATATACTCAAGTACCCCTTTCTAGAGTCTAAATGGCTATGTGTTCATATGAAACATTTAATAGTTAAAGGCCTAAGGCAGGGGTGTCAAACTCAATTTCATTGAGGGCCGCATCAGCATTGCAGTTGCCCTCGGGGGACCAGGTGGGTGTGGCCAGGGCGGCCTACTGGGTGAGCATGGGTGGAGTAGGTGTGGCCTATTGGGCGGGCATGGCCAGCTCTATGTCGTTCACATCAAGGGTGCCTGTGAAGGCCTGGGCAGGAGTGGGGCAGATCTGAGGGTCTCTGGCAGAAGGGGGTGGGATCAGGGCAAGTGCCAAGGCAGGGTCCACTGGAGGAGCCTCACCATTCCTCTCAGGCCATGCGGGGGGGCTGGATAGTGGTGCGGGCTGCCCGGAGCCCTGGGCAGCAGAGGTCAAATGCCCAGCCTGGCCTTCGAGTACCCATGGCACCAAGCCCAGCCCCATTTCCCCAAGTGGGCGCCCAGCTGCACTTACCTCCTCCTCAAGGCTGCTGCTGCTGTGCTTGCTCTCCTTAGCCAGGTTGCTCATGATGGATACAAGGGCAAAATCAGAGGGAGGCCCATTCCCTCTCCATGGGAGGAGACCTGGCTTTGTATCCAAAGCTTCCTTAGCAATAGGATGGGAGACCCCCAGGATAGGCCAGGAGGAGGGGGCAAGGGGATGGTAAAAGCGCATCAGGGTAGGACTAAGGCAGGACTTCCCTCAGACCCTCCCTCTACTTCTTTCCTTTCTTCCTTCCTAAGTACAAAGTGGTGGGAAAATATTTGAGATGAGAGAGGGAGAAAAACAGGCAAGAAACGCAGCTGGGGAGGTGTCATCCTTCATGAGGAATGAAGAAATGCACCATTGCCTGGAAGTGGCCAGCACATGACCCTCATCTACTTCACATATCTGGCTTGGTGGGCTCCGTGGGAGAGGATGCCATGAACAGCGTGAGAGTCAATGTTACCCAGGCAATGCCGCCCAGCCCCCAGCCTGCCCGGTTTCAGCAGGCAGCGAGGCACTCTCCTCACAGCGCCGAGAGGCTGAGCCAGGCAGCACAAATTGAAAAGAAATGCGATGCCGCCCAGCCCCCAGCCTGCCTGGTTTTGGCAGGCAGCGGGATGCTCTCCTCACAGTGCCAAGAGGTTGAACCAGGCAGTGCGAAGCTCACCAGCTTTGCACCTTGCTGCCTGCTGAAACTGGACAGACTGGGGGCTAGGCAGCATTGCACTTCTTATCAGTTTCGTGCCACCCGGCTCAGTTCTTGGCGCTCTGAGGAGAGCTTCCTGCTGCCTGCTGAAACTGGGCAGGCTGGGGGCTGGGCGTCGTCGTGTTTCTTTTTGGATTTGCGTTGTATGGCTCAGCCTCTCAGCGCTGTGAGAGCACCCTGCTGCCTGCTGAAACCCCTCCCCCAGAGCCCATCAAGCCGAATATGTGAAGTAGGCGAGGGCCATTTGCTGGCCACTTCCAGGTGATGGTGCATTTCTTCATTCCCCACAAAGGTGACAGCATGCACCCAGGGGGCGGGGCTGATGCGGCAGGGGCTGGTTCTTCACTCTTTCCAGACTGTCTTGTGGAGTTACGATTGAATGCGTTTCAGCATAGATGGCCACCACAAAATTGTACATTGACTCCCGGCTGGCCTGGGCCAGGGCCAAGGCAGCAGGGGCCATTTCCTCACTGTTTCCAGGATGGCTTCATGGGCCACATGAAACCACTTTGCAGGCCGCATCCAGCCCCTGGGCCTTGTGTGTGACATGTCTGGCCTAAGGGCTGCATTATCATGTGTTAATATGGTCATTATTAACCTTGGTTGGTTCTTTTGTGGTTTTAAGGCTTTTGCAACTTTTGTCTGTTTCATTGGTTTGTGGTTTAATATACTATGTGAATTCAGAACGTGAAGCAATTCAGTACATCAGTTTAAGTGTATTATGCAAGTACATCCACTGAGTGCTATTCTGTCCAGGCTTCCTGAGGGTCGTTGTGAGGTAAATCCATTATGTTGAATAGAACCTCAGTGTTGAGGCAGTTTTGTGTGCATGTGTGTGTGTGTGTGTGTGTGTTTTCCATGCAAAGGTTTTCCATGCAAAGAAAAGGGAAAGCAAATGGAGATGTAAGGCTCTTTGGAAGCATGGGCTTCATGTCTAGTTTAACGAAGAGAAGGAGGAGGGGGGACACGATAGCAGTGTTCCAATATCTCAGGGGCTGCCACAAAGAAGAGAGAGTCAAGCTATTCTCCAAAGTGACTGAAGGCAGGACAAGAAGCAACGGATGGAAACTAATCAAGGAGAGAAGCAACCTAGAACTAAGGAGAAACTTCCTGACAGTTAGAACAATTAACCAATGGAACCACCTGCCTCCAGAAGCAGTGAATGCTCCAACACTGGAGGTTTTTAAGAAGAGACTGGACAGCCATTTGTCCGAAATGGTGTAGGGTTTCCTGCCTGAGCAGGGGGTTGGACTCTTCCAAGGTCCCTTCCAACTTATTACTACTACTATTATTATTATTATTATTATTATTATTATTATTATTATTACTATTATTATTATTATTATTATTATCTTTGTTGGGAAGGAAGTTATTGGCCTAGATAGGTTTTGCTCTAGAAGGCTTTTCATATAACCTTCTTTGAAGAAAGCATAGCCAGCACAGTCTCTAGGAGAGATATTCATCTAGAGGAATTTATAAATCCTTGGTAAGACCACATCTAGAATACCGCATACAATTTTGGTCACCACATTACAAAAAGATGTTGAGACTTTGGAAAAAGTGCAAAGAAGAGCAACTAAGATGATTAAGGGCCTGTAAACAAAAACATATGAAGAACAGTTGCAGGAATTGGGTATGGCCAGTTTAGAGAAAGAAGGACGAGGGGTGACATGATAGCAGTATTCAAGTATTTGAGGGGCTGTCAAAGAAGAGGGAGTCGACTTATTTTCCAAAGCACCAGAAGGCAAGACAAGCAATGGATGGAAACTAATTGAGGAGAGAAGCAATCTGGAATTAAGGAGAAACTTCCTAATAGTGGGGACAATTAACCAGTGGAACAGCTTGCCTTCAGAAGCTGTAGGTGCTTCATCACTGGAGGTTTTTAAGAAAAGACTGGACAGCCACATGTATGAAATGGTACAGAGTCTCTTGCTTGAGCAGGGGTTTGGACTAGAAGACCTCCAAGGTTCTTTCTAGCTCTATTCTGATTGACTGAATCATGGAATGAATCAAACTTTTTCTTCCTGCAGTGAATCAATAGGCGGTCCTTTAGGTTCCTGGAGATGTTGGATTGGTAAGTGGTTTAATGAATCTGAATATTTGATTCCTACAGTTTTTTCATAATATGTAGCTAGAAAAGGACAATTCTGACCCCTAAGATATATGTCACTTACCAACAGTTGTGCTACAGAGGGTGACAACTGTAGACCCTTCTTGCAAGTGGGTGGCCATCAGGATCTGGATTAGTGACACATAGAGATCTTGCTGGGATTCATCTCTTTCATCAATCCCAAGTATCCTCTCTGCAGCAAGCCAGAACTTGGTGAGATCTTCTCCTATACACATTAGGATAGAACTATTTGATTTTGCCACCTCTTTAGTCCCCAACAATACCAGATACTAGCAAAATAGCTCAACATTTAGATATTCCACTCAGTGGTTCTTCCTTTGCTTTTTTGTAAAAAAAAAAAAAGTAGGTTTGTCTGTGGAAATTCTTTAATCCCCCACTGATCTTAAGGAAATATTCCTGCAATAAAGCCAACCTCTGGGGTTGTGGTATCATGGACCTCTGGTATGAGAACATGACCAGAGTTGCTGTATCAATAACATGGGTGGGATAGAAATTCAATGAATGAATGAATGACATAGATGGTAGTTCTATTGTCTAGTCTGAAACTTAAATAAGGAAAGAGATTCGTAAGGTATGGGATAGTGGTTAAAAGAACCAGGCTAGAAACCAAAAGTCTTGGGTGACTTTGGATCAGTCACTCTGTCTCAGTCCTAGAAGGTAATGGCAAGTCACATCTGAAAACATTGCCAGGAGTGACTCCAAAGCACACGTAGGATGCCACTTGTGGATAGATAACTAAGTAATTGCCTACTGTCTGCATCAAGAGGAGGTCTGTAAAAATGCTCCTATTAAGGTCACTTCCCCTGTCTGGAAAGAAACATAACAGAATTTGAAGTGGGGGTAAAGAAAGTCCTAATGCTGGCCTTAGAATAGTGGAACTGATATGAAAGCATTCTCATGGGGTGCAGTCTAACTCTGTAAATGCACCTTTGGGTGACTCCCCTCTCCCCAAAATATAATTTCTTTGATTTCATTTCATAAAAGAATGGTGATGCAATGAGTATTTCCATTTGCCCCATGGGAGAATGTGCAAGACTGACAAATAAATCAGAACTAGATATTTAAGCATCTTTCTTTAGTTAGCAAATCTGGATATGAATGGGCATATTCTTACCAGCTCCTTAACTGAAGGCAGAAACCATAAAGGAGATTGTTATAAAATAAGAGGCTGGCCTAATTTAATCAGGCCTGTAGTTTGCCTAATTTCATAATTATCCCCAGTGTTTGTCTCCCTTTGGATATGGTGGCTGGGCTAGGATGACCCCTAGAGGCCAGCAAAAGACAAAGCAAATTCTGACTCTTTGCTGACATCTTGTGGTAATCAATATGTTTGCAACCCAGATATGGTAACCCTAGACTAGGTAGGAATTATGCTTCCTCTCTGCCTTTTACATCTATCCCACCCTGCAAACCCTTCCTCTTTCTCATCAGTAGCAAGGTGTAAGATTTTTTTTCTAGTAATCACTGATTAGAACAGTATTTAACTCTTTTTTTTTCTTTTCTTTTTTTGCATTTGTGTTTCCAAGGCACAGAATTTAGGACAGCAGGATTGAAGGCTGGTGTGATCACAGCTAATCTCTTTTGCTGGTCATATCACCCATACCAGATTTTGCATGTTTTCTAAAAAGGGACAAGGCAGGAAATACTGTTCAGGTCAAGGATGGTATATTAATCCTAGCTCTGTAGGTTTTCAGGAAGAATTTTTTTGCCAACCTATTAAATTTCAAACATTCAAGGATTGGAACCAGGGGCCCCTTCCTGTTCTTATATCTTTGAGCTATGGTTCCATTGATCTGGGAGAGGAATTGTTCAACTCTCTTTAGCTCTGTTTCTCTTTGAGTGTGATTTTTGGTGCTGCCTTGTCTACCTGCCATTCCTTGCATGAAGGACCGAAAACGCCACATGCCTCTGCTGCCAGCAATGCATTTCTCAAGCAGCCACTGATCAGCCTTTTTCCATCGCAACATCTCCGCTGCAAAAGAAAAACAAAGACAATGTCACCAGAGAAATGTTTTTTCAGGGGTGAAATGGGGTCCTCTCCCATTTAGAAACTACTTATTTTTGTACCAGAAGTGACAAAATAGGGGGGGGGGAGGGAAACCCAAGCAGTTCATCAGCTGGACTTTTCGCTTTCTCTTTCTACTGAAAAGGCCTGGAATTAGCTTCCATATCAGCTGATCCAATGCATTTATTTAATTGTGCCTGGCTGTCCACTGAAAACCCATCATTTGCTTCTTTCTATGTAAATATCATTAATCCAGGTGCAATTTTCAACTCCATTACTCACCAGCCAGTTTGCACTTCAGATTTATAAAATCAAAAGCTTGCACAATGATGGAGCGTTCTGTAACAAGATCCATCTGTCTGTTTTTAACCTGAACCACTTTCATTGGAAAGGTCTGGTGAACGGTGATTTGTTAATATAGCAAAATCTGCCTTGAACAACTTTAATTTTAGTGAGAGATTAGCTTAAGTACACTTTTGCATAAAGTGTAAAGATATAATCTGGCAGAATGTAACTAATACTAAATGTATAAGCTTGGAACTGAATTTTTGTTTTTGTCTTCAGGTCAGTGTTGATTTCTGGTGAATACTGGACAAGTCCCTGCAGTTTTCTTGGCAAGATTTTTCAAAAGTGATTTGCTATGATTTTCTTTCTAGAGTAGAGAGAAAGTGACTGGCCCAAAGTCACCCAGCTGGCTTTGTGTCTAAGGCAGAAATAGAATTCATGGTTCCCCAGTTTCTAGGCCGGTGCCTTAACCACTACACAATACTGGGTATGTTGGAATTGATTTAGTGGCAGTTTCTTGGGGACAACATGCAAAGTGTTGGAGAACTTGAACCAGATGGGCAAGCCTTATTGCTTAATAAAATGTGCCTTCTCTGACTTGTCATATTCACAACATTTGGAAAATAAGGTTCTTAGTGTAACCCACAATTACTGCTGGGGTAAATCACTGGTTTCTTTCTGATTGTTGGTCAGGCTGGTCTAGTAAAATGGAAAATAGCTACTTACCGAACAGAATTTATAACAACAAAACATCAGCATGATCAATACTTAGCAATGGAAAGTTTTTGCAGAATTTCTATTGGGTTTAATTCACTTTGTTTGGGACAGTAGTAGAATGTAGGGCTCTGTAGTGCTTAAGACAATGCTGGAGTGCAAGGGTAGCTGTCTGCAAACCTGGAAAGTAGTCGTGTCTCTTTCTAGACTCATGAGACAACAAAGCAAAGGTGCAATTCCAGAAAAAAAAAGTATGGCTGCAATAAGGACTTGCAGTCGGGTGTTATATTCATACCTCTGTACATTCTGAAGATTTTTAGAGTCAGATTCAAAGCAGTGCTCTTAACAGTGGCCCTTTCATTAAAGTGACATCTACATGGTCTTTAGCTGGCAGAAAAATCTGTGGTCACAAAGTTTGCTACCAATTCCTATCCTGACTCTTTTGCTCCTGCCCTAGCTTGCCATTGGATGGTAGAGTCCTGATTCTGGATATACAGGGTATGTTAAGTGAAGTCATTGGATGAGCCATAGCTTTGTTGCCCCTCCTTTTTTTGTTAGCAGTTGATGTAACCACCTGCCAATGAAAGCGTTATGATGGAGGGATGTTTTGTCAGATGGTTAGGGCAATTGGAGTAGCTATCTGTCACAACTTGATACTTGCTCAGTGCATAGGATAATTGATCCGAGGGGTGGGAAATCTGCCCAATGAGGCAAATTCCCCCACTTTACTCAACAGCTCTTGACAACAAATTTGTTTTGACTATAAGCTTAGTACACTAATAAATCAGTGTTCAGAAGAAGCCTATTCAGCCCTTAATTATTAAAATGCTTCATAATGTGAGACATGTTCTTCTACTGTACTGGGTAGTTTTCCACCTTGAATCATATGTTCCATAGCAGGGCTTTTCAACCAGTGGTATGGGTACACCTGTGGTACATTGGCACCTGGCAGGTGGTACGCGACCATCCTAGAAAAGTGGTAGTGGGGGAGGGGAATGAGCTGACCTGGTGGCAGCACCGCATAAGCCTGAGCAAGAGATGGCTGGAGTTGCAGGGCTGTCAGGGCTCAGCGGAAGCATCAGGATCAGCGCCAGGCTCCAGCCGGAGCTCAGCGCTGATCCTGGTGCTTCTGCTGAGCCCAGAAGAAGCACCAATCAGCTGGAAAGCAGCACAGATCCTGGTGCTTCTATTGAGCCCAGAAGAAGTGCCAATCAGCTGGAATGTTGCAGCATCTCCAGGATCTTGTGATTTACATTCAGATGCTTGGCAACTGATTCATATTTATGACAGTCACAGTGTCCCAGGGTCATGTGAAGTGACCAAAACCTGCTGCAACCATCCAGCAGACCGGGGGAATAAAAACCAAACACCCACCCCACCCCCATTGCCAATCCTCAACAGAAATGCTCACAACAATGAAAACCTTGGACAGTAGGAAGAACGCCGCCAGGCGGGCAGGCAGGTGTCTTGCTCGGGGGGTACTTTTTACAGTGCCACTGTAACTTCGACCAGTCACTAAGCGAACTATTGTAAGTCGAGGACTACCTGTACTTTATCACTTTTTTCCTTTTTAGGGGGGTCATCAAGTTTTTGACACCTTGCTAGGCGACTGATGGTACTCGGATGTTGCCATATCCTAAAAGTGGTAGAATGGGTGAAAAGGTTGAAAAGCCCTGTTCCATGGGACTGAATGTGGGTTCCCACCATCCACCAAAGTATTAAACCCACATTCAAAACAAGTCTGCCAGACAATTAATGGCAGGGCTTGTTCTGAGCATGAGTTTAGTACTCTTTTAACAAGGAGGCAATTGAGCAGCTTATATGTGAACTTCAGGAAGTACTGGGCCCTTTCTTTCAATCCATTACCATTTCTCCAGCAGCCTGCAGCTCCTTGGCTTTACAGATGTACATTACAACTTCCACTGGGATTGTTGAGTAGTAGTGCCTTGTAGGAGTAGTAATAATATTACTGCCTGAGATACCTCTGCCCCTGAGCAGTTGTTGGAAAATTTCCCTTTCCCCTGGACAAATTCAGAAACTTTGTCTATCTTCCCTCTCTGTCCAAAAATAAGGTGCTCAGTTCCAAAAAATTCCATTCTCACTCCCCCTAAAACCCCATGTCCTGTCTATGTTAACTTTCCACATTTAGCTTCAATCTCACCTGCCTCTGGAGAGCGGATGAAACTGACAAGCTCCTCACAGAGTACATAGTGAAGAAACAGATTTGTTTTGCAGAAGAAAGGCAGCCGATGCTTCTCCATCCAATTCAACAGGCCTTTGTGCTTTGATACCTGTGTGAACCCCCAAAACAACAATGAGACCTTTTAAAATAATCTGCATGAGCCAAAGATTAACGCAAGAAAAAGATTGTCGTTCTGGAATACAGGGACTTTGGAGAATATTCTGGCTTGTTTTCTAGAGGACATGTGACCACATGTGAGTGATTCTGTCAGAAGAAAGGATTAACCATGACTTAAAATCTATTTGTACCTGAGATTAAGAATACCCATGGTATGGACAGATTCAGTATCTTCTGGTTGCCATGGCAATGGCACAAAATTTGGCCACCGCACTGGAGACTTTCCAGTGCTGATTATATAGAAGCCAGAAATACTGGACCTGAATGTACTCTAAGTATAGAAGAATATAAGAGGAATAAAGCATATGAATTATGCTAAGGGAAAGGGAGAAATAAATGTGAAGCTGTAGCTGAGTCACAACAACCTTAAGGGCTTTATATAACCTTGTATAACCTTGATTATATTGAAGGAGAAAACCTTGAGGATCTATGTAGTCTGGGTACTGTTGATATAAGACATGGGCGCATGTCCCTACAGATCTCAATTCACACTGTAAAACATAACACACTTTGAAGAATTGACCATAAAACATAGGTATATTTCTGATCAAGCACCCTTCATTGTGTCTTGATTTGTGGTGAGGTATTTTTTAATATACTTTGGTTTTTCAAACATTTTTGTACTTTAATCTTATGAAAAAGGATTACTAGTAATGCTAATTATTAGTCATGATTAGACTACAGGATTGTATTGAAGCTACATTTAATATGCTACATTTCCAAGACATGGAATAAATCAGTGACGTCCATCCTCCAGTGCATAATTTCACAACATTGAATAATCATACCTGGTTGCATGGTAACTCTGGCCACAGATACCACTGACATGTTCTGCAAATGAAAAGAGGTGTCTGACCAAACACCTGCAGAGAGAGAAGAAGAGGAGGGGAGACAAACGGACTCACACATCTTGCTATGCCTAACCAATCATATTACGTCTTAGCATGGTGTAGGAACCCAGCTGTATACAAGGCTTCCTTAGCAAAGCTGCTGTTTAGGCTCAAATATTGGTGGGCTACACCTCCCTTCATCATGATTACTGGGTATATTGGCTAAAACTGAGGCAATCTCATTGGGAGTTGGTCACACTGTGTTGACTGTAATTAATAATCCATAATTGCCAATCGTTCTTAGGCAAGTAGAAAGTAGCATAAAAGAGGTTTTAGTTCCCATGGGTATAGACATGTTTATTTTCTTCTTCCCCTTAGTTGCCTAATGGGAATATATTTTTATGGACTTTTTGAAACAAAACCCATTGCACAAAAGAACACATGTGAAAATGGGAGAAGAATATACAGGTAGCCCTCCATTTGCAGCCATAACTGAGCCTAACATTTCTCTTGCTAAGTGAGACATATGTTAAGTGAGTTTTGCCCCACTTTACGGCCTTTCTTGCCATGATTGTGAAGCAAATCACCGAAGTTGATAAGTTAGCAACATGGTTATTAAGTGAACCTGGCTTCCCCGTTGACTTTGCTTGTCAGAAGGTTGCAAAAGGGGATCCCATGATTCCAGGACACTGCAACCTTCATAAATACCTGCCAGTTGCCAAAAGTCCAAATTCTGATAACATGACTGTGAGGATGTTGCAGGTTGTTAAGTGTGAAAAATGATCATAGTCATTTTTTTTCGGTGCCATTGTAACTTTGAACAGTCCCTAAACGAACTGTCATTAAGTTGAGGACTGCCTATCTATCACGTTAGGAACCTTGCTTCGAGCAAATCTTGAACACATTGTAGAAAGAATCAAAGCAAAACATTATCTTCATGTCCTGCCTAGATATAGATGTAGATGTATAGATAGGTGTAATTTACAGAATTAGCACTTACTGATTTCTTAAAGCAATGTTTCTCAGCTTCGGCAACTTTAAGCTGTGTGGACTTCAACTTCCAGAATTCCTCAGCCAGCAAGATGAATAGAAGCCTTGCAAAGACCCAACCATATCCCCCCCACCTTCTGTGAGCGGTGGAAAGGAATTGGGGATTCTCTCTTGATACAACATCAAAAGCAAAAGATAACATTTGGACTGGGATTACAATGTGGACAAATAATTAAATTCCCACTCTCCACACCTTACTTCCAGAAATGCAATTAGCAATTCATGCTAATTGCTTGAAAAATGGGTTGGGCCCAGGAGAATAAGAATGTTAACAATATCAGGGCCCTTTCTCAGAGGTAAGACATAACTGTGCTGCTGCACCCAGCTAAATGTGATTAGGGTCAGGTCTCACCTTCATAAGTGTCTCTTCATACACAGAATCTTTTTTCACTGTCTGGCTGATGGCATTTAGTGGGCATCAGGATTTTTGCAGCCTAGATATGATAGTCATGCTACATGACATGTAGGATTGCAGTGAGATAGTAACAGTCAGATGTGGTTGGTTTAAAACAAAATAGAATGTATTCTTTAAAAATACAACATATGTAGTCAATTTAGTAATGTAGAAGAATGAGCAAGAATTTGTCATTATTCCAAACTTGGAATTGTCCACTTGTAAATTCTCATCAATTGTATTCCATGTGAGTAAGTATCCATACAGCACTTGACACAGAATTATGTGGGTTTTTTTTTTTTTTTGTATGAATGAACGATTTCTATTCTGTTATACAGGAGAAAGAAGAGCATCATTCCGAGAAGGATTAAATATGGTCTCCAGTTCATTAACTCCAATGTCTGAGAATATCAATTGTTCCTTGTTTTTTTAAAGAAGTCCATTAGAGTAGAGCTAAGCAATACTGGGCATACTCTGTCTGGGCTCAGAAGTTAAGCAAAGTAAGGTACAATTTACATCCAGATGGGAGGCCTCCAGGAAATTCCAGAGCTGTAAGCTAGATGGAGAAGCTGAAAACATCCCAGAAGGAAATGACAAGCTACTTCCATCCTGTCCTTAAGATAACTGAGTGGATGTGTCCATGAAATCACCATGAGTTGAGCCCATCGTAAAGGTGCCTTCACCTTAACAAATCTGAACTGAAAAATCTGTAAGGACCCACCCCACTTTGCATCTTAAGAAGACAGAACTCTTGGAATAATTCTTCCAACAGGAATCCTTTATTAAGAAAAAGTGGTTGCAGGTGTGCTAGACAGGACTTGGGGTCCAAGCTCTCCAATTCAAGTTTTTAAGGGTTTCCCCAGTAGCCCCACCCAATCAACCCCCTCTTTCAGCGACAGTCTCAGGCATTACACTTCTACCCCCCTTTTCATTACTGCTCGGCTGGATGGAGACTTCAAAGAAACTACATGAAAGGAAAACGGCCCCATTCTTATGGTTAGTTCTTTTGCAATACACACATTCAGTTCCTTAGAAGTATACTGAAAGAAGTGAGGGCCATAAAGCCCCTTTGTTCTCCCCCTTCTCTCCCTCTTATGGCAGAATCCAGAGAAGGCAGAATTGGGGTTTTCTATATTTGATAACTGGAGATGAAGTATAATTGGATTCTGACATCCGGCCCCCCTTAAAAATAAGAGAGATCCACCTGAAAGAAAACAAAACAGGTATAAAAGTTAGTCAGGCTTGTTAGGATACTCTGTGTGAAACTTCTTCAATAGCTTCGGAGCTCTGACATGACGTTTATGGACCCACTCGTTTTGTGAGGGAGGGAGGTGTTTCCAGGCAACTAGGTACTGAGTTGCTCCATGATATCTCCTAGAGTCAGGGATTTCCTTTATTTCAAAGTGTTGTTTGCCCTCCACCATGATTGGAGGTGGGGGGGGGGATTTTTGGCCGTAGAGGTGACTGATGCTCTCTTTTCAGCAAGCTGCAATGAAAAATTGGGTGTATTTGCCTGAGATTTTTTGGTAATTCTAATTCTACTGTTACTGGGTTTATGATTCTTTTAATTGGAAAAGGCCCTATATATTTTGGTTCAAGTTTTTTACAGGGTTGTAAAGACTTTAGGTATTTTGTAGATAGGTACACCATTTCACCTATAATGAATGGTGTAGGCTCAATCCTTTTTTTATCGGCTTGTGCTTTGTATGCCTGCCTAGCTTCATCTAGTGCTTTTCTAACTATTGGCCAGGTGTTTTGTAGTTTTTCCATCCATTCTTTCAGGGATGGGATCATTGGTTCGTTTGGGTTAATTCTGGCATGGGGCTGAAATTTGACCGTTGGCTATTTGAAAAGGAGTGTAGCCTGTGCTGGAGTGGACTTCATTATTGTAGGCAACTTCTGCAAAAGGGAGTAAGTCCATCCAATCACTCTGTTGAAAATTTAAAAAACATCTCAAATATTGCTCAAGTACTGAATGACAACGTTCCGTTTGTCCATCTGTCTGAGGGTGATGGCTAGATGTCAGTCCCTGAGTGGTCCCTAAGAAGGATAAAAATTCCTTCCAAAATGCAGACGTAAATTGCACTCCCCTATCAGAGATGATGCGTTGGGGTGCCCCGTGCAATCTGTAAATGTGCTGGATAAAAAGTTTTGATAAGGCCTTTGCAGTGGGAATTTTTTGGCAAGGGATAAAGTGCACCTGTTTGGAAAATAGGTCCGTGACTGTCCAGATAACAGTATTCCCATTGCTTTCTGGCAATTCCACTATAAAATCCATGGCTATTTCCCTCCAGGGGGCTGAGGGATTTGCCACTGGTTGTAATAGCCCTGGCGATTTCCCTTGCAACCTCTTTGCAGATGCACATGTTGGGCAGCTGGCAATATAACTTTCTATGTCCTTTTTCATGGATGGCCATCAAAATTGCCGTTTAATTAAATGTAAAGTTTTTACAAATCCAAAATGCCCTGCTGATTTTGTGTCATGGCAAAGGTGCATGTAAGTGACTCTTTGAGTTGTTGGTATATATAACTTTTCCCCTACCCAAGGCAACCCATCTCTCATTGTGCACACATTTTTGTTTTTCTGGAACCATTCATCTGTTTCCAAACTTTTTCTGAATTCAATTCCAGTTTGGCTGTCCAGTTGTGGTTTTAATTTGGCTTGGGTTCTTGTGGTTACTGGTGCTGCCAGTTGTGACTCTGCCATTATTGGCCTAGAGTCTGTGGTGCGTGCGCTGTTATATTGAGGCATGCGAGATAGTGCATCTGCCAGGAAGTTCTTTCTTCCTGGTAAATGTTTGAGCTTAAATTGGAACTGGTGAAAATGCTGGGACCAGCGGGCTTGTTTGGGATTGAGTTTCCTGGACGTTTTCAGGGCTTCCAAATTTTTGTGACCAGTTCACACCTGGAAGGGGATTTTGTTGCTTTCCAGGAACTGTCGCCACGTGAGTAATGCCCAACGTATCCCATAAGCCTCCTTCTCCCATACGGGCCAGCGCTGTTCTGTTTCCGTAAGTTTCTTGGATGTATATGCACAGGGTTGCAATACCCCTTCATTGTTTTCTTGTAATAGAACAGCCCCCACTGCCACATCACTTGCATCTGCCTGTATTACGAAGGGCTTGTCCATGTCTGGGTGTCTTAGTACTGGTTCGGCAGAAAAAAATCTCTTTAGTCTCTCAAACGCTGCTTGGCACTCCATTGTCCATGTTAGTGGCTGGCTAGGGTTTACTGAGGATGCTCCCTTCGTTTTTAGTAAGTTAGTGAGGGGCAAGGCTATCTGGGCAAATGAGGGGATGAATTGGCGGTAAAAGTTTGCAAAGCCCAGGAAACTTTGTAGTTGCTTTCTTGTGCGGGGTGGTGCCCAATCTAATACTGCTTTGACCTTCTCTGGGTCCATTTCAATGCCATGGGGGGATATGCGATAACCTAGGTAGTCTATCCTTTCCTGGTGGAATTCGCATTTTGAGAGTTTGGCATATAGGTGGGCGGATCGCAGCTTCTTTAAAACCGCTCTGACAAGGTTGACATGTTCCTCTTTTGTTTCAGTGAAGATAAGAATGTCATCCAAGTAAACAAGGACCTCCTTAAACAGGTGCTCCCTTAGAACGTCATTGATTAATTGCATAAAGACTGCAGGGCCCCCTTGTAATCCAAATGGCAAGACTTTGAATTGATAGCACCCCATGGGGCAGTTAAATGCAGTCTTCCATTCGTCCCCTTCCTTGATTCTCACGCGATAGTAAGCTTCCCTTAAGTCTAGTTTAGAAAAAATTTTCCCTTTCGATAGGTGTGACAGCATGTCTGTCATGAGGGGCAGCGGGTATAGGTTGCTTTCACTGATTGTATTCAGGGCCCTATAATCCACGCATAAACGTAAAGAGCCATCCTTCTTCTCTCTAAAAAGGACCGGGGCAGCCACTTTAGGCTTGGCTGGCTCAATGAAACCTCTCTCTAGGTTTTTTTTAATGAATCTTTCCATTTCCTCCTTCTCCTTGGGGCTCATGGAGTATAATCTGGGCTTCGGGAGTTTTGCCCCAGGCTTGAATTCAATGGTACAGTCTGTGGGTCGGTGGGGGGGAGCTCATTCGCCCTCTCCTCACTGAAGATTTCAGCAAGGTCTCTATATTCCTCTGGTATTTCTGTTAATCTTTTTTCCTCTCCTATGGATGCTTTTTCTATTCTTGATTCTGGTGGCCTCCCTTGGGGTTTAAGTCCATAGGGTCCCCCTTCGGGAATTTGATTTCTGTCGTCCTCCAATTTACCCAGGGGTTCCATTTTTTCAACCATTCCATCCCTAGAATCATTGGGCATTCCATACCTGGGGTCACCACAAATGTTATGTCCTCTTCATGGTTGCCCAGGGAGAGGTGTATTGGTAGAGTGGCTAGGGTAGCTGGCACCCCCCCCTGCTATGGATCCATCTAACTGGCCAAATGAGATTGGTTGTTCCAGTCTCCTCATGGGATGCCCAGATTCCCCACTAGTGTTGGGCTAATGAGGCAGCGGGTGCAGCCAAAGTCTATTAAGGCTTTCACCTGCACAGCTTCGGGCATGGGGGGAATTAATATAGTCACTGTCTTGAGGATGGGTGTCATGTGTCCACTTACCAGGGGTTCACCCTCCGAGCTGTCATCTGAGGCATCCACCGGCCCTGTGGTGTAGACTGGAGTTCTTTCCCCTTGGTGAGCAGAAGTGGGGGGTTCCGCAATTTCCATCATTCTCATGGCAGTTTCTTTTGGCTTAGCTGAAGACTTTCCGGATTTGTTGATTGGGGATCTGTCTGGGTTGTGCTGGAGGGCCTTTGAGCGGCATTCTACAGCTCGATGCCCTTCTCTTCCGCACTTGAAACACCCCATTTGCTTCTTGGCTGTAGCCGATGATTTCACCGGTTCGTGTGTCAGATCAGGCGGGGGGCGGCTCCATTGTTTTCCTCGGCGGTGTCTCTTCAATATGTCGATCTCTGCTTCCTCTGCCAAGATGTACCATTCCTCAAGTTGGTGTGGGTCCCCTTGGGGCAGGCAAGCGTCATATAGATCATAATTTAGTCCGTCTTTGAAATGGCTAAGGAGGATGTCTTCTGGCCAATTCAGTTTGCTGGCAATGGCCCGGAATTCTTGTGTATATTCAGCCACCGGGCGTTTGCCTTGCCTCATCATTTTTATCCTTTCACGGGCTTTGCGATCAACCAGGGGGTCTTCAAATCATCTTCTCAAAGAGGACATGAAACGGTTGAAGTTACTGAGTTCTGGGGCATTGGAGTCATGCAAGTTCACCACCCAATCTGCAGCCGGTCCATCCAGGGCAGATTGCATGATCCGGATGCAGGCTTTGTCGCTGGGGATGTCCTGCCTGTATTCCTCCATGTAGCTGAGGACTTGGGTTAGGAAAAACCCCAAGCGTGTTGGCTCCCCTTTGAATTTCACCTCCAACGGCGGACGTCTTGGAATGGATCGGTGCCTCCGTTGTTGGTGGTAGTGTCTTCCATCCAGATTGCCATCTGTGGTCCGGTAGGGGGTGGGGACTACTGGATCAGCAGATGTCCCCGGGGTTGCAGCTTCCACGTCCCCCTCGGTGTCTCTCCCTTCGCGGCTCTAGGAGCTGGGGCGGCCGTAGGGCTCAGGATTCTCCTCTCCTAGGGAGCTGAGAGTTCTCTTCATCAGGTCAATAGCTTTCTCTAGGATCCAGTCTGAGTACGGTGCCCAGCTTCCTCCCTCTTCACTTGAGTGCAGGGATTTCTCCATCTCCTGCTTCCATTCTGGTTGCTTGGTCCCCCGTCTCAGGGTCACCTTTCTTGATTCCTTTCTCCACTCACTTTTCTTTCCAATGCCCATTGACCAGCGAGGCTTGTGGTCCCGTGTCTCCACCACTTCTTCTCCGGAGGAATCTAACCTCTCGGATCCCAACATCTGGCAAGGTTCCAATTGGGTCAGCGGCTCTCTTTTCAGGGAGTTTTCCCCCTTTCTTGCTCCATTGTCTGACATGGTAATTTTTTGCAAAATCCCCTGGCAAGGGTCTCCCTTCCAGGTGGATTAATTTTGCAAGTCCTGTCTAATGTAAGGACCCACCCCACTTTGCATCTTAAGAAGACAGAACTCTTGGAATAATTCTTCCAACAGGAATCCTTTATTAAGAAAAAGTGGTTGCAGGCGTTCTAGACAGGACTTGGGGTTCAATCTCTCCAATTCAAGGTTTTAAGGGTTTCCCCAGTAGCCCCACCCAATCAACCCCCTCTTTCAGCGACAGTCTCAGGCATTACACTTCCACCCCCCTTTTCATTACTGCTCGGCTGGATGGAGACTTCAAAGAAACTACATGAAAGGAAAACGGCACCATTCTTATGGTTAGTTCTTTTGCAATACACACATTCAGTTCCTTAGAAGTATACTGAAGGAAGTGAGGGCCATAAAGCCCCTTTGTTCTCCCCCTTCTCTCCCTCTTATGGCAGAATCCAGAGAAGGCAGAATTGGGGTTTTCTATATTTGATAACTGGAGATGAAGTATAATTGGAAATCTCTGACTTTTGCTGCCATCTAGTGCCATCCATATATATGTTTTATCCCAAATATGATAGCTATATATTAAGTCTTCACTGGGATCAAGTACATAGAAAAGAAAACCTTGGAAACTCTCCTTGGTGATCCTGTATATCTGCCTGATTTTGTGTCATCACTACTTCACTGAAAGTACTAGAAAAAAAAAAGAAATAAGTTTGGATTATGGTTACCAAATTTACATAGCACTATAGGCCAACATGACAGATTTTTGATAACTGGTTCATATACAGAAAATGATTCTTGACCCAAGAGGGAAAACTTACAGGAAGATTCAGGAATGTGTTGAAGAAGTCTGTAAATATTTCATCTTTTAGCAGAACGGACAAATGCTTGCTGCCAATCAACTCTGAAAAGGGGAAAAACAATTATGACATTAATGAGCAGAAAATGTGAACTGGGGCTGATATATTACCATCCCTTGAGATATTTATTATTCCTACAAAGTAGACTATCCCATTAAGGCTATATGCTTAATTTTCAGAGATGGTACATGAAGGGTCTCAATTAAATTTACTGTTATGGCAATTTAATCCTCAGAAATACACCCTGGAAGATGCCACTAATATATCCATTTCCTCCTGAACCTAGGAAGTGGTAAAAAACTTTATGTTAAAGGCAAGCCAGATCAGGTAAAAGATTGCACAAATATTAACTGGAACTATACTCTGTTGTTACAGTTTATAGTAACATACATTTGTTGCTTGGGCTTTGTTTGTGTAATCATCATCTTTCTCTAGTTTTGACAAGGTCATCGTTGTGGCTCTTTTCATGTTCAGAATAAGACTATAATGTTCACCCTTCATTGCAAAGGACTAGTGGGCAAGATGAACTGATACAAGCCTTTTGCTCATAGTTTACTGATGACAGGTGAATTAGGAAAGTAGTAGCTGAACTCATGGGCGGGGGTCATTAATTGGGAAGATTAGCACATCTTTGGTTGTGGGAACCATCTTGATTCCAAATCTTTGCAATGTGTTGAGAATCAATAGATTGGTTTCTATTGCCACTTAGAGACTCTTTGCAGAAAGATGGAACAGGAATATGAAGAGCAGACAACTCACTAGCTGTATTCATGCTGAACTGGTCCTGAAGAAGACTGTTCCCTACTGAGCATTCTGTTACATTACAATGCATTAGATCTTTTGTTGTTCCAGCAGGTTCCACATTCCACCAAGACCCTTTCCTCCAATCAAGATCTTTCCAAATGTTTTCAGGTCATATCAGTTCCACTTCAATAGTTTTCTTTTACACAGTTCCTCTTCTTACCTACCAGCCTTAATCCATCACTTTGTGAGAGCAGCTTCTCAGAGAGCTCCCAGGTGGCGTCAGAGAAGGAGATGCTGCCCTACAGGTGGAAAATCTCACTCCATTAACCTATGTCTTGTGTGGGCAACCTTCCATGCAGTTCATATTAATTTATTTCTCATATTTGTATAGCCACCCACCTCACATAGTGACTCTGGGGGAGGGGGAGACAATGGATTGGAGACCTGAATGCACCTGCCTCCTATGAGGGATTGCCTGTAGACATAGATTTTGTATGAATACATACAATGAAATATGGAACTTGTTCACACAGAAAGAACACAATAGGTTTTTTTTAAAAATGACCATTACATAAATGTTTTAGAAATACCTATATCCTTGAATAATTCATTAAATAATTGTTTGTAGAATTCTAAGTATTTACTGTTAAAATGATACTTTTTTGTTTTATTTCTTTTACTCTCTATTAAAAGCACTTATGTATTTTTTCTTTTATTTGACAATGCATATATTTTTATTTTTGTGTTCTCTTCCATTTCTTTTTGGTCGCTATTTTAAAGGCAATAAAAGAATAAATTGAATGCATAAACCAATAAGGGCTGACAGCGGCAAGACAATTATTACGTCAGATGCAGCTTCTATGGAAACACAGAGTAGGTGCCTCTGACTCTCTAGGCAAGGAAAAAGATGGGCAAAAATTCCATTGACCTGAATTATCAGGAGAAAAAGTCCCAGAATTTAAACCCTGATGCTGACCCATGTATAGGACTTGATTCCTGCAAGAGGCTGCCATGTTAAATCAGGGAAGGTTCAGCAGTTGCCAAATGTGGGATTCAATTTCCAGGGGGTTGGTATTAGAGGGTTGTCTCTGATCTATGCAAAATAAACCTGTCTTTGCCATTTGGTATTTACAGAGCAAAACTGAGTCTTCCAGTGATTGGGTCGTGCTGTATTGCTGAAAGATTTTCATTTTCCTTAGCACAGAAGTAGGAAGTTGAATAATCTTTTAACCCCCCAGAAATCCAAGTGTCCCCTTTTTCTTTGCAGCTTACCAAATAAACCTTTTCTGGTGTTTATGATATAGGCTGTTCTTCATTCAAGGGGGATGGTTTTCTCAATTTCTGCACGCAATCTCTTATCTTGCATCAGTTGTGTTCTCTGCCCAGTACCAACAGTGAAACTCTGAGTCATAATGTATCCAACTTTAGTAATATTTCACCTGTAAACATAAGACTGAAACCTTGATGCACAAAGAAATGAAAGCAAAAAGCATCTTTGGTGCTAAAGAGAAACCTAAATTTCCTATTTCTTCAGTTCTACAAATATTTCTTGCCGGAATAGAGTGTCAAAAATATACTAGGCAGTTTGACATCATGAATAAGTTATTATTCTTGATAAACACCACAAAGAAATCAACACCCACCTTTTCTTCCTGTGTCATGCGTTTTTGAAGAAGTGCCAGACCACATTTTGCTGGGCCAAAACTGGAAGATCAATAAACTGTTTGGTCTCATATGTCAATGATGATTTCAGTGTGTGCCATTGAATCACTTCTGATAATTCTGAGGTTTATTTTCATTTAAATACTTCTTTCACTCTGCTGCAAAGAAAGACCACAATTCCTCTACCTTGCTCTAATAGGTTCCCAAGAAATAATACAGGTAGGATCCAGTTTCTAGAGTTCAGTTCAAGAATGGATTATTTTTCTGTTATACACCACACTACTCAAGCATGTATTTTTCAAAGAAAACTACTACTATTATTTATTGAACAGTAGTTTACACAGAGACAAATGACTAAACAAAGAATATACAGTATTATAAGGACAAATACGTAAAATAGAATAAAGAATAGAAGGCAATTACCAAAAAATCTCAAAGTTGTTCTTAATCACCATATATTGTAAAAGTTATCAAAATTATACTGTTGCAATTGATGTAATGAATATAATCTGTCCAAATATGATAAAAGTGTGATTCTTGCCTTTGGAAATTCATCACTATAAGCTTTTTTAATAGAGTATACTTTTTTCTAATAAATCACTTGAGAAAGCTTTTTGATCTACAAACCAATCGTTGAGCAATAATTGGTTTTGTTGCCAATAGCAAATAGACAATCAGCTCTTTATTTTGGATTGCATAAAGGGATATAATAAACTGGGTTCTGAAAGCATTCAAATCTTTGGTTGTAATAATACTAATTTCACTAAAAATGTTGTGCCAGATGGCTACTACTTTATTACACATCTACCACATAGGATAAAATCCCTTTTGTTACAGCCCCTATGATGTTTTGATTTTATACTATATAGAGTACAGTAGGAGTTAAAGCTATTAATATAACACATTTAACTCCAAAATTGGCCAGCTTTAAGAATCTTGTCCATTTTTGATAGAGGTATACAGCAATGATAGTGATTATACAGATATGTAAATTCAACAAAATAGCTCATTTCCAGGATTATTTTCCTGTTTCATTTATTAAGACTTCCCTATAAAAACCAAAATTATGGCTGTGGAGATATTATTTTTCATTTAATCCTGAGATTATTCATTTAATACTCAGGTAAAATCTAAGAGTTAACTACCAAAAGCCAGCCTCAGAAAAAAGATGATGTCACTTTGAATATAAATAACCTAATGATGCATTAGATTAGATGTTGTAGAGGAATGCAAGGTTTTTTCAAGAGACATAATTTTATGAGTTTACACAAGGTAATTTTTAGACAATCCTATTTTGGAAGTGTAAACTTGAATTGGGAGAGTTCTCCATGGTGCTGACTCTCAGCAATCCCTAAATGGAATTAGGATTTCAACCTGGAAACAAAAGTCATTCTCTCTCATCTGTGTATTAAAATCAGGTCATAAATTGCCAATGTTTTCCTGCCAAAGTTGGGGGGGGGGCAGTATTTAAAGGGTAAAAGGAACTCTCCTTCCCATTCTAACTTTCCTTTAACTTTTTAAAAAAGTGATTCTGAGAAGTTTTTTAGCCCACAGGTCCCCAACCTTTTGGGCACCAGGGACTGGTTCTGTGGAGAGAGGTTTTTCTGTGGATCGGAGGGTGCGTGGTTTTGTGTACTGTCTGCATCCCACGGATGGGGCTTTGCTTGTTTGTGCGGACCAGTTGCTGGCATGATATGGCCCGGTACTGGTCCATGGACTGGGGGTTTGGGACCCCTGTTTTAGCACACTAGGTAATCAAAAAGCTGGTGGTAGTTTTCCAAGGCTAAAAATCTGAATATATTTTAATTTATGGCTAGATTAATTTATTTCTTTTAACTCTTCTGACCAGAAGCTCTTCCTCCAGACCTCCAGCTCTTCTTTTCCAGTATTTTCCCAAAGGATTTGCTTCAAGGTTGACAGCTAGCCTATATTAAATCAGTTGGCTATACTAAACATCTTGCCTGACTGTGTATTTTTTTTCTCTCTGAATAGGGAAATTAATTAAATTCCCCTGGACTTTCAGACAATTTAGAAATATTTTTCTCAACCTGAAAGTTATATTTCTTTCCACATAATATTATATTATTTTCCTTTAATATTTAAGACTTGGTTTCCTCATCTGGGTTTGATGTAAGTTTTCCATACTCTTTTTTCACTGCATTTGGTCACATTCAGGCCTCCAGAGGAAGATTTTTTTTTAAAAAAAATAGAGCATAGAGTCACATTAATGCAAACTAAGTTTCATGTATTAACCAAAGTTTTACAATTAGCAATGTAGATCATCTTAACAAATTGAAATTATTTTCTTCCCTCTGGTTTTTGATCTTATAATAGGGACAGAGATATTTAACATATACTTCTAGCCATTTCTTTTGTATCATACTTCAATTTCTGCAACTGAATTCTGAATAATCTTTTTTCTTCTTCTGCCATGAAAAATGGCAGGAGTCTTTCAGAAAAAAACTAAACATGGTTTTATTTTTATATTTTCTATCTCTGAAAAATCAAGGCAAAATGCTTCTTTCTAAAATGAAAAAGTGTTCTTTGGGCTTGAAACAACTCTCCCTCTGTTCCATTAATGAAATTCCAATATTTGCAACAATTGTATTACAATTTTTATAGTCTAAATCGCCTTCTTTTATTCATTTAATATTGTGTAATCTACATTAAAATGGCAATTTAGAATCTTATATCCATTGAATTCAAGAGGGATAGTGACTTTTGAGTGTATTACATTATGTTGGTAAGAATAATGAATATTCAGAGTGATACATCATTTCTATAATTTACATTAATTTGAAACCCGACTTCTCTCTCAAAGCTTCCTTTATCAGTCACTTTACACTGAGAATTTTAAAATAGAACACTCAAGAACTTTATTCTTGTTTAAACTTCTGAAGCTGGTAATCTGGAGGTCATTTATTAGAGGTAATCATATAAATAAGCCTATACAAGCCTATTCTCATAACATTGTCCACTGACCTCTTATTTTAAGGCTGCAATTCCATAGCTCTTTGCATTCCTTCTGTCTCATTTCTTAATACAAGGTGAATCCTACTAGCTTATCTGAAGACTTTGTACTTATTTTTCCCAAGCATTTTTCATATATTGTCAAGACTCAGTATTATCAAGTGATGGTTACCTGATGGACATTCCTCATGAGTAATTGATTAGTTAATTCCATTACAGTTTTTGTCAGGAGAAGACAAAGGTGAATGAATTGGAATGCTAGCTTGATGTGTTGCAGTGAACTTTACAAATTTATTGCCAATTTAGCCTTGGAAAACTACCACTGAAATAGAACAGACTGAAAATTGAAATATTTTTATGTATATAATAGGTGCATACGAACTTGCCTTATTGTTCCAATACTTTTTTAATGTTTAGTCAGACTATTGCATGGTTTCCAATGTACTGACAAAAATTAAAATTAGAAATGATACAGCTAATGTTCTAGCACATAAAGCAAAATCATGGATATTCCATGGAAGGTAAGGTCTTTTAGGTGCCAGTTTTATCTTTATTTTTTTAAAAAATATTTTTATTTCTTTATTTAAAAAAATTCAATAATGTATTTTATAAAAGACAAACATAATCTCATAACAAATGCTACATGCCATCCACACTGTTCATGCATCTCTCTCTATATGCTTAAATTTGTGAAGTATTCAACATTGTTTTATATATATATATATATATATATATATATATATATATATATATATATATATATATATATTCTGAGGTTTTCGCGGGTGTTTGTATGTAGGTCTTTGGTTAGTCGGGTTTTCTCCCATGTAAAATTGGAAGTGTCTTGGCGACGTTTCGATGAAGTCCCATTCGTCATCTTCAGGCTGGTGTTTTTGGCTCCATGCTTCGTGCACAAAGCCAAAACACCAGCCTGAAGATGACGAATGGGACTTTGTTGAAACGTTGCCAAGACACTTCCAATTTTACGCAGGAGAAAACCCGAATAACCAAAGACCTACATACAAACACCCGCGAAAACCTCAGAATATATATATCTGAGGTTTTCGCGGGTGTTTGTATGTAGGTCATATATATATATATATATATATATATATATATATATATATATATATCCTTAATATCATTAAAATGTGAATCCTGGGCATATCAATAAAAATATAAGAAAAACGAACACCAGAATAAAAATAAACAGGACTGCTTAATATAAACAAGCCTCTGAATAAAAAAGTTACTTACTGAGCTTTCTGAGATGAAAGCTCAGTAAGTAACTTTTTTACTCACAGGCTTGTTTATATTAAACAGTCCTGTTTATTTTTATCCTGCTGTTCGTTTTTCATTTATATATATATATATATATATATATATATATATATATATATATATATATATATATATATATTCATTTATATATATATATAATGGCTTTAGGTAATTATTGTTTTACACATTTAACTGTTCTATTATACAGCAACCATATAGACTTGCTTATTAAATAAAATAATGAATAAATAGATTATGTCATTTCCTGGAAACTTGGTTTGACACAAAAGAAGTCCTCCGGATCGAAAGGAAACTGTGATGGTAAACTGACTATGTCACACTCTAGTTCTGAAGTATTCCTTTTATGTGTGTTTTGGCCTAAAGCATGAAGACTGTTGCAAACCAAGATGGGATCTGCTGCTATGTAAGCCCAGCTGGGAATACATTCTCACATTTTTGGCTTCTCGCTTTTGACAGTAAGAGAAAAACGTGTCACAGAATTTGCTTTTGTATTACAGTATCAGCTGCATACCAAAATAGATCATTAGGATTTATCAGTGTCTTACCTCTGGGAAATGCTTTCTGAAAACAAAGCATAAGGCTGAAGAAAACAGGAAGAGGATACAAGATGCTCACATTCCAAGTCATCTCAGACTCCCAACACTTGGAAAAACAAGCACCATGTTAAGTGATCCAGCTGTCCTAAAGAATATGGCTGTCCCCTTCTTCTCTTTTATCACAGAGGATAAGTGTTTAAGCTACACATGGTAATGTTCTTAGTTGTTATGGGAGAGATAAGTCTCCCACTTTTTCTCCTAAATATCCATTCAACTAATTTCTATCCTTGCAGAAGAAGCTTTGTTTGTGGAACTGTTCCACTTCCATGATCTAATCCAAAAAGACTCTTATATCTTCACTCTGTATCTGGAAAGAGAATAAGGAAAACAGTCTGACCTGTTCTTTGACGGATTCTTATTCCAGCCTCAAGTTTTGGTACTGAGAAGTGCTCTAGATAAGTTTTCATGTGCAAATCTGACATGTTTCTAACTCAAATTTGGTTAGGCATGGATCAAATTATAAACTATTTAAAGACAATGCCCAATGTTAAATTGACATGGAACATTTGATCTGGGATATATCAATTCAACTAAACTTTTCTCTTGTTTTGAGTTTTATCTGTCAGTACCTTGACAGAACTGGCATATATTTGCATATAATAGCAAGAAGGTTATTTTCCTAGTTCTCAGATAAGAACTGTGTGTTTATGTAAACAAATGACTCTTGTAAGATGATGCCTCTTAGTTCTCATTCAGTTCACCAAATAATTCTTATGAATCTCTCTCTTTCTTTCCCTCTTCCCCCCCCCCCCGGTGTAAATTTTTTATCCCATACTGAAAGTGATGTATATACATTTTGATGAAACATGATTTGATAAGCATAAAAGTAAAACGCAAAATTCAGAACATTTGCAGTATAATTTAATCACAGGGGGCATACACAAATAGCCATACAAACATTGACAGAAAAAATATCTTGGCAAAAGGATGGATCTTCAGGCATGGTTCACAACTATTAAGATTTATGACTTCAAAATATAGGTGAGGGACTTACTTTTAAAAAATAGGTGCCGTATTAGGATAGCTGGGGAAATGATAGACTTGCAAGCAGAAAACAGAACATTCATCTACAGACCCAGAAATATGAGAGAGAGAGAAAATAACAATTGACAAGCTGCATGATCTGATCTGGAATGAACTTCTTTTGAATTTTTGTATTTCTAGCAAAAGACCTAGAAAGGCTAGATACAGCTACTCCTAAGGATTTTGCTAAGATAAAATGAAGAGTCCTTTGGGATTGGGCGGCATATAAATATTTGTAAATAAATAAATAAATAAATAAATAAAGATCTTTATGACAACTAATTTGAGTGGCATAGAGGAAGTGTTCACAGTAGCCATGTTACTAATTTTATAATGTGCCTAAGTACAGTATTATTGCTGGATACTTTTTTTTCTTTTAATGACCTTGTAATCCCTTGCATTGGGGTAGAGTTGGGGCAACTGAACAGAGCCCTTCCTGTGCGGAGTTCCCAGCAGACAATTACTCATTGAGCCCAAAGAGAGAAATATCTATAGCTACCTAGGACTGAACTCATAGCTTGCTGATTGTGAGGTGAGAACTCCACCTCTAGGCCACCACATCGCTCTATTGCTGGATATAATAAAGGAGAAATATTTGAACATTTGAATAGTATAAAAACTGGCAGGCACCCCAACATGTAGATAATTGCTAAGATAAAGCTCAAACTACTTTACAGTAAAGCCAGTGCCTTTTCTTCTCATGGAATTATGGAAAATGCAGTTGAGTCTTTAATATACACTTGTGGACTATAAATCATAGGGACATATTAGAAGTAAAGGTTGGATATTAACATAAGCACTTCTGTTCTTCATGTTGAGCCTTTAAATTCACTTTCTTCTTTGTGAGTCTTTCCATTTTCTATTTATTATGCAAAACTCTCAAACCCTTTAAGCCACATTTAACCTTCTCCCACTTAGTTCTGCTTCTTTGATCTAAAGATGAAAAGAGAAAAATCAAAGTCAGTCTCACCGGTGATTATGCATTCTTTTATTTGCCTACAATTTGAACTTCGCATCAGAAAACTACTTTGAATTTTGTTTTGCTGGCTTCCATTACCCAGATGCAACATTAAATAACTATTTAGGGCTAAAACTCTAGAATCGTTAAGTTTGGAACACTGCCTGAGTAGATTTTTTTTAGCTCTCTCTGTTATTATTTTTAATCCTATTTTAAAACCCTGCTTTTATTGTCTATACCCTGGGCTATTTTAATTAAAATGACAATTTAAATACAACAATTTGGCTCCAATAGGAGAACAAAAATGGCTAAAATGAAAATACATTAATAGAAGATATTAGTTCCAGAAACACATTTTCTGATCCATTATCCCAGCCATTGCTGGACTGGAAACTATCTTCAATCATCCTAGGTTTCTAAAGGTGAAGTAATTTGGAAACCTATTCACATAAAAATGTCCTAATATCCAACTCATATGTAATGCATATAATTCCCATTCTCGCTCACTATATAGTCTTTCTTTTTTAAAAAATTAATTCTAACATAATCTTGATCGCAGAATGCTTCAACAATATGAACTTTCCAAAATGCCATCATGTAAGTTGCCAAATAATTCTTGGATCTTATTCCTGAAGATCTGACTTATCTTCATTTCCTGGGCAGAGCAGGAATATGATAAAGATCTGAGGAATCAAATAATAGTTTGTACAAGGCAAAGCCACTGTCAAATGCATTACTTGAAAAAAATACCCTCTGAACAATAAATCAACAATGCAATTTGAAAGAGAACGGTATTGTGGGAGAACCCAAAAGAGAAAGTCCCATGAAAGCAGGACTGTGTGAACTGTGCCTGAGCAGGGGGTTGGAATAGATGACTTCCAAGGTCCCTTTCAACTTTACTATTATTATTATTATTATTATTATTACTATTATTATTATTAACTGAGAGCAGGGAACAATAAATACAATCTGTTAGACCAGCCACTGGGCCAAAATGCTCAGAAATCTGCCACTCCCCTCAAATAATCAATTTTTCTTACACCACAACCTCTTGTTTCAGAAATCCACAGCCTTGGTATTCAACCTTATCTGCTTTCCCACTTCAACCACTTTTTCACCTATAGTTCTCTGGCTTTTTACCAAGCAATGTCTCTGAGGCCTCATACTGTATTTACCCACCCACAAATGCAGGGAGTCCTTGAACTCCGACCACAATTGAGCCTGAAACTTCTGTTGCTAAGCGAGACAGTTGTTAAGTGAATTTTACCCCATTTTACGACCTTTCTTGCCACATTTGTTATGTGAATCAATGCAGTTGTAAAGTGAGCAATACAATTGTTAAGTGAATCTGGCTTCCTCATTGACTTTGCTTGTCAGATGTTCGCAAAAGGTGATCACATGATCCCGGGCCACTGCAACAGTCATCAATATGAGTCAGTTGCCAAGATCTGAATTTTGATCACATGACCATGGAGATGCTGCATGGTGTGAAAAATGATCATGTCACTTTTTTCAGTATTATAACTTTGAATGGTCACTAAATGAACTGTCTACCTGCCTGCTTTCCTCCCATCTTTAAAGGTCCTCTTAACACACATCAGGAACAAGGCCAGTAGATTCCCTGATTTTAAATGGAGGCCTCAGTCAGCTATTGCATTAGCTTTAGCAGCAGGAAAGAGGAAAGTGCCAGGAGATGGTTCTTTTTTTTTTCAGCTGCCTTCTTCTCTTTCCTCCACCAGGTAAAATGTGGGTCTTTCCTTTCCCTGCTCCTCACCCTTTTGCTGCCCATTTCTCTCTGCCAGTCTTTGCTGAGAAGTATTGCCACCTGTCCCAACATTGGCTCTAGTAATACTGCATAGCTTAGATAGTTCCAAAACTGGTGATTAGCTGTGGATGATGGGGACAGAGGCAGCAATGTGCACCAGATGAAGTTCTGATTTCTCTAGCAGCTAAAACAAAAATGGCTGCAGAGGTACAGAATTCAATGGCTGGATGGAAAAGAGTCGCAATGTAGATTTTTCCTGGGTGAGAATCAGAATGCTTGAATAAGAAGCTGTCTTCCATCTTCTAATGGAAATTTAATTTCATGTAGGATTACTTTGATCCAGCTTCAGTATGGTATTAGAAATGGCCTGGCGTCATCTCCACTAGGTAGACCAAATCAGGATATCAACTCAGCAGAAAGGGTAAAACTACTTTAATTGAGATTAGCTGTAATAACAGAATTTTGCATATCTGATAGCAATGTACTTCCTCCTCCTCCTTATACTCCAGTGAATCTTCCTAGGCCATTTTCAAACATTATTTTGCTTAAAAAAATGTTTACCTAGGTAATGGCTCTTGCATATTTCCATTAAGGTCATCTTTCTTACTCTCTATGCTGACAACACTATGAAGTCTTTGTTGTGAGGATATGTCCCTGGTAAAAACTAGATGAGCTGTCAAAGAACCAAAAGCATGAAGCCTGTAAGAATGAACTAACAGGTTATACTCATGTACCTATAAGGCTACAGGTTTCCACAGTCTGGTACACTCCACATACATAAAAGAGGAAAAGACTCCTTTGGGCTGTGCTTAACTCCTGGTGACTCTATGGCACAGGTCGGCAACCTGCGGCTCCGGAGCGGCATGCGGCTCTTTGAGCCTTCCCCTGTGGCTCCCAGCCTCCTCTGCCTTTGCAGAGAGAGACAGAGACAGAGAGAGGCAATTGCGCTTCCCTGCTTTTCTCTCTCTCTTTCTCTCTCTCTCTCACTCACTGTGTGTGTGTGTGTGTGTGTGTGTGTGTGTGTGTATATGTAAAAGAGAGTGCACTCACAGTGTTCTCCGAGGAGCTGAAAAGCTTACTGGGCGGAGCTCCTCCCTTTGCTGCGTCTCTGCAGGAAGCAGGAAGGGCAGAAGAGAGCTAGCTAGCCCAGTTAGGCTGACTCAGGAATTCTGGGAGTTGAAGTCCATGAGTCATAAAAGAGACGAGGTTGCCTACCCCTGAGTTGTTGGACAACAGCTTGAAGCTTGCCAGGTGAGCAGCAGATAGGAGGGGGGGAGAAAGAGAAAGGGAGGGAGAGAGAGAGAGAGAGGAAAGAGAGAGAGAAAGAAAGAGAGTGGGGGAAGAGGAGTGGCAGACCAAGGGCAGATAGAGAGGGAGGGAGAGAGAGACACACACACACACAGAGACCCTTTTGACATCTAAAATGAAGATAACACTGCAAATATCCTTTTTTTACCTATGTAATTTTATTCTCTTAAAGCATTCTCTTGGTGATCATTGTTTTAATAGTATGGATATTCCCAAAAGTCATATTTTTATTTTTATTTTTAATGTGTATGTGTGTGTGCGTGTGTGTGTGCGTGTGTGTGTGTGTATATACACACACACACACACACACACACACATACATACATATGTAGGTCAGAAAACAAATATATACATATATATATATACATACATACACACACAAACAAACACACACACACACCTATAATAAAGGTAAAAAAGGATATATGCAGTGTTATCTTAATTTTAGATATCAAAAGGATTTTGCGGCTCCCGGTGTTTTGTTTTTGGTGGGAAACGGGTCCAAGTGGCTCTTTGAGTGTTTTGGGTTGCCTGCCCCTGCTCTATGGATACATCCATGTAATTTTCTTTGCCCTCCATATGGAAGTGGTTTTAGCCACTTAGACCTAAATTCTTACATCTTCTAAGTGCAGATGATGGGAGATGTGGCTCAATACAAGTGGAGGACTGCTGGTTGGAGATGATTATATTAGAATTTCTGGATAAATCAATTGATTTGACTATTTTGCCATGCCGTACCTGTGATGCTTCCTATTTGAGGACACTTCCTGTTGTGAAGATTGCAGCATGGTCATGTTTCCTGGGTCTGAGCAACTATACGACATTTCTGGCTGCCAGTCCTCCGGGGGAATCAGTTTCAAGCTCAAAATACCGAAAGCTCCTTGCCCATCTATCATGTCAACATCCATTTTATCTTGATAATTTTTTTCATTAATATTCCAAATGACAGTATTTGAATTAGGGTTAACATTGAAAAGGGTACAGAGCAGAGGAATATCATGCTTCAGAGGTCCATCCGGCAAGATGGATGGAACAAGGATGGAAAGATTTGGCTTCAAAGTTTCTACAAGAGGTGAAAAACGATAATGGTTATTATTAGCTATATATCCCTTGAATTTCTTTCTTTCTTTGTATGTTTAATTTGTATCCCAACTTTATTATTATTACAAAAAATTCAAGATGATAAACAGATCCAACACACCTTCCTCCTCCTATTTTCCCCACAACAACAACCCTGTAAGAGCTTGCGACTGGCCCAAAGTCACCCAAATGGCTTTCACAGCTAAGTTGAGACTTGAGCTCACAGTCTCCTGCTTTTTAGCCTGGTGCCTTAAATACTAGACTAAACTGGCTCTCTAAATTATGCTTGCAGGAAAATGCTAGGAAGATTTTTTTTTTAAAGACCTTATGTCTTATCCTACTCATAAAGTCTTGTATTGTCAAGGAAAGGACTTGTTTGTTTTTGGATAGAATTATTCGAAACATATTCCCTTCCATCAAAAAAAGAATTTGGTACATTCTTTTAAATTCCCTTTGAACTCTATTGTTCAATTAACCTAATAAGTAGGTTAGCTTGCCACATTCATAAAACTAGCAACCAGATCAAAGCAAACATTCTGAGACCGTGATAAAGCAAATTATAGCAGCCAAAGACCAATTCATTTTATAGCAAATTGTGAACAATACATGAAAATAAAAAATCAAAATGAGATGTATTGGGCTATTCACGGCAACGAATTCCCATACATTGGCCGGGCATTAGAAATGTTCAATATTTTCATATTTTCATGCCCACACTTTACAATTTATGATGGTGGAAATATCTGGATTTCTTTTTTTGACTGAAATGTGCATGCATCATATGTCCACCTTCCACTGTGAACCATCATCTTTCCAGATCTTCCCCAAAATGAGCTTGATTACATCATTTATTTATTAAAGTATATATCCCGCTTCTCCTTCAAGTCTATGGGTGGTACACATAAGACTCTGCTCATTTTTCTTCACAAGAACTCTGTACAATAGGATGGACTGAGAAAGCATAGCTGGCCCAAAGTCACTGAGGGAGTTATTAATATGTTCGAATTCTCACCTGTGATTATCACTCTTGTCCTGTGCATGAGTAGTATGCTGGGTTCCTGATTTACAACACAGATATAAATACCAGAGACATTCCTTTGTGCATTGTTGATAATCAGATTATACTTTTGCTCTCCTTTCAAGTTCTTGTCATCCTGATCAATCTTGCAAAGGTTTTTGTTTTGTCCTTCCTTGTACCAGGTCACATCCCATGGTAAAGCCTCATCTGAAATTTCACAGCTGATATTTACCGTTCCTCCAAAAGGGACCTCAATTGTTTTTACTTCATTACCCTGTGAATCAGCTGCTACAGTAAGAAAACAAATAAACCTTTTATTACAAAACAAAGCAGAGAGAAAATAGGAATGTGTCTCTTCTCTCCATATATGCATTCTTCACTCATTGGTTCAGTTCATTCAAACTTGCAGTCTACATTAAGATGGATTTCCCCCTCTACAAACCCCCAAAGTATCACCTTGCTGAATGGAGCAATTAGCATATAGTCTACACAACAAACTAATACACTGTCAATCAATCAATCAATCAATCCAATCAATAAGTTATAATTTGGAAAGTTCTTGAGTTGTATTTGTTTTATTCATGAAGGTATTATGCAAGGCCATATAAACAGAATAGAAATAAAACACAGAAACTATACAACTCAAGTGTTAAATTATTTGACATAGAAAAAAAATGGATTTCTGTAACATTTGTGTCAGAAAAAAGCTTTAAATATTGTCTGCAAAATATTCCTCAATTTGTTTTGCAAATTAGTGCTTTTTGTTTCTAATGTCATTATAAGAACAATAATTTGTTGGCTATAAGCTGTGCTCTGCTGATAGGAAATATTGAAAGCTGACAGTAATGCTTTGCTTATTTCTAGAGATGTGCTCTAAGTCAGACATGTCAAACACAAGGCCCGGGGACTGGATGTGACCCACGACATGGTTGCATGTGGCCTGCGAAGCCATCCTGGAAACAGTGAGGGAATGGCCCCCACTGCCCAGGCCACCCGGGAGCCAATGTACAATTTTGTGGTGGCCATCTATGCTGAAATGCATTCAGTCTTAGCTCCACAAGGCTGTCTAGAAACAGCAAGGGATCGACCCCTGCCACGCTGGCCCCAACCCCCTAAGCACGCACTGGGGAGGTGTCACCCTTTGTGAGGAATGAAGAAATGCACCATCGTCTGGAAGTGGCCAGCAAATGGCCCTTGCCTACTTCACATATCTACCTTGATGGGCTCTGGGGGAAGGGTTTCAGCAGGCAGTGGGGCGTTATCCTCACAGCACCAAGAGCTGAGCTGGGTGGTGCAAATTCAAAAAGAAGTGCGCCGCCGTTCAGCCCCCAGCCTGCCTGATTTCAGCAGGCAGCAAGGTGCAAAGCTGGCGAGCTTGCACCGGCCGACTCAGCCTCTCGGCGCTGTGAGGAGAGTGCCCCGCTGCCTGACGAAACCAGGCAGGCTGGGGGCTGGATGGCATTGCGCAGGTAACGTCAACTCTCACGTTGCTCATGGCATCCCCTCCCCCAAAGCCCACCAAGTCAGATATGTGAAGTAGGTGAGGGCCATGTGCTGGACACTTCCAGGCGATGGTGCATTTCTTCATTCCTCACGAAGGGTGACACCTCCCCAGCTGTGTTTCTTGCCTGTTTTTCTCCCTCCCTCATCTCAAATATGTTCAAGGAAGGAAGGAAGGAAGGAAGGAAGGAAGGAAGGAAGGAAGGAAGGAAGGAAGGAAGGAAGGAAGGAAGGAAGGAGAGGGAGGGCCTGAGGGAAGTCCTGCCTTAGTCCTGCCCTAATGCCCTTTCACCATCCCCTTGCCCCCTCCTCCTGGCCTATCCTGGGGGTCTCCCATCCTATTGCTAAGGAAGCTTTGGATACAAAGCCAGGTCTCCTCCCATGGAGAGGGAATGGGCCTCCCTCTGACTTTGCCCTCATACCCATTATGAGCAACTTGGCTAAGGAAAGCAAGCAGAGCAGCAGCAGCCTTGAGGAGGAGGTAAGTGCAGCTTGGGGTAGTGGGGCTGGGCTTGGTGCCGCAGGTGCTTGAGGGCCGGGCTGGGCATTTGACCTCTGCTGCCCAGGGCTCTAGAAAGCCTGCAGCAGCATCCAGCTCCCCCTCGCATGGCCTGAGAGGAACAGTGAGGCTCTTCCAGTGGATCATGCCTTGGCGTTTGCCCCAGTCCCACCCCCGTCTGCCAGAGACCCTCAGATCTGTTCCACTCCTGTCCAGGCCCCCACAGGCACCCTTGACACAAACGATGTAGAGCTGGCCATGCCCACTCAGCAGGCCACACCCACTCCAGCCACACCCACCCAGTAGGCTGCGCCCACCCTGGCCACACCTACCCGGCCCCCCAAGGACAACCGCAATGCTGATGCAGACCTCAATGAAATTGAGTTTGACACCCCTGCTCTAAGTGATCATTGAGATGACCTGTCTGAAGTCACATTCTGACAGTCATAGATCCAAGATAATAACCTCTCCCTCCTTATGTTGTGTGTGTATTTAAATATAAATAAAAAAGGCTGCATTGCACATGGATGAGAGAAATAAATTAGTGATTAATGGAGAAAAACTTCACCTGAAAGCACCCTTTCCTTAATGATAATTAACCTATGGAAGAAAATCAAGTAGTAAATTCTGAATCTGAATAAGACTAAGTTTTGAAAATACTTACCATGCAAGACAAGTAGAAGAATCCCAGCACAATGGGCAAACATCTTAGACTTCTCTTCAGCTTCCAGCCTCTTCAGTTAATTTTCAACAGTTTGATCTAAAACTCAGTCCATGCACAGCAACATCTTTAGAGTGCCTGTCACTCCTTAGAGAAAGAGAAGGAAGATTAAGAGAGGCAAGGAAAACATTCTCAACTGGAAAAACTTTAGATCTGTGTCTGATAGCTAACTTTCCCCCTTTTTTAAAAGAGAGCAGGCAGGGTTTTAGGAAGACATGTTGCTATGCAATGAGGAAATCCAAGCCCCTCTCCACCCACACTAATGTTCATATTACTGAGTAATATTATTCTGCTCAGATAATGCTATAATTGTATGTAAAATCACCTTGTAAAGCAAGGGGGCCAAAAATCAAGAACTGTGACACCCCCCCCCAACTAACCTAGTAACTGAAAATATCCTGCAGTCCTGTTCTAAAGACGTGAAGAACCAAGTCAAACAGGAGGTGGTGAAATGCAGGCAGCGGAATCCGCACCACTGTGTCAACCAAAGAGGTGAATCACATGCCACCAATGTTTTTTTGATGGCTTACTATCAACAGTTACCACCCACCTGGTATACATATATTGCAGCCCTTCTTTGGATGCTTACTTGAGCAATGCAGTTCATCAAATGCCTTATCCTGCTCTCCATCGGTAAGTCCATTCTGCTCTATCAGAAATCTCTTAGCCAAGCACTTTTGGATCTGATTCTGAGAAGAGATTTTCTACACGTGGCAGTTAGGGAGGCAAAAAATGTGGTATCTTATAGGCTAATAACATTTTAGCAGTTTTCATTCCATGAAATCAAATAAAATTTATTTGATAGTCTTTGAAATGCCACAGAAGCCATTGTAATTGTCTAACTTGATTTCTTAAAGAGTTTTCTCCACAACTCTGATTCTGGTGTTTTTGTTTTTTGTTTTAATTCTAGTCAAGATGTAAGGGATGGTACCTACAAAGGGGGAGGTGTTGTGATGGATTACAGTGAAGTAGTTTCCTAGGAAACTACTAGGAAGAATCACATTCTAAGGAGGGAGTGAAACAAGAGGCAACACCATCCAGACGTGGATAGAAAACAGAAGAAGAGAATTAGGATAGCCATTTTTTAGAATTTCCCAGGACATATCTGTTGGAGTGAGAGTATCAAAGGTTTAGTCTGGCAAGATTCTGCCTATTGGATGTAAGCAAATAGAGAACTGATCCTTGGATGGATTGTTCTATGTCATTCTTAGACTGGACTTGACAGAAATACAGTATTTTATCAAAGGAATAATGCTGCCTTTAAAGTTACTTACTTTATCCCATTATAGCATATATTTCTTCCAGTGGGAAACAGATCCTCATAACCTGTGGCCCAAGATCAACTGTATGTAGCTGAGGTGAATGTGATCTTTGACTTCCCTGCCCCTGATCTGACATAAAATTAAAATTAGAATCCCAATATATTATTCTTATTTTGTTTTCACAGTATACAAAGTCCAGAATAATCAGTTCCTATTTGTGGATGTTGGGGAAAAAGCAACACTCGTGCGCAATTTTTCAGAAAACATTACCAACGTAGACAAATTTCTTTGGTATAAAAGAGAAGAGAATAAACTAAGGCTTTTAACAGATAAATGTGGGCCTGATGGCAGCAATGGGAAATTTAACTGCAAGAGTGAAGCACAGGAGCTGACACTAGAAATTTTTAACACAAAAGAAGAAGACACTGGCTTATATCTGTATGCGGACAAAACCTCAAATTACTTTTCCTTGAACTTTGTCGATGCATTTTCTTTGATTGTGGGAGGTAAGTCGTCATCTTCAACCATTCAGTCATGTCTGACCCTCGGCCACTCTCCACCAGCATCTCCATGCCTCTCTGTCTCGCACTGCCTCCTTCAGATCCCCCATAGTCATCCCAATGTCATCTTTTATAGTGTCCAGCCAGTGGGTATTAGGATGGCTTCTTCTCCTTTTATTGATGATCACTCCCAGCATAACCAACTTTTTGAGTGAGTCAGCTCTCATTGACATGACCAAATTATGACAGCCTCTCTTTGGTGATCTTGACTTCAAGTGATATTTTTGGTGAGGTTCGGTCTAGGACTTCTTTGTCGTTATTTTTGCAGTCCATGGGATGCATAATAGTCACTTTCAGCACTACAGTTTAAAGGCATCCACCCTTCTCCTACCTGTCTTTTTCAGAGTCCAAGTTTCGCAATCATAAATGCCATAAGTAGCATAAATAACCGTAAGTAACATAAGTAGCCATATGTAAGAGGTGAATAATGGATTTGAAATGGAAATACAGATTAGCCTAATAGGGCTAAGATACTGTTTAGCAAATCCACTGAAAGCAGTTGTTCACTTTAACAATTACAAAGGGTCATTTGTTTATTGAGTTGTCATCTCCTCCTCCTCCTCAGACAGTTATACCTCAAGCAGTTGGGTGATGATTTTACAGCCTTCTGCACAAGACCAGGCAATACAGAGTGGCAGTCAGCTGGCTTGTGTGGTTCATGGAGTTTCCAACTGGGTCCAGATATCCTGGAATGCCTCTCACATTCTCCAAGATGGACAGACTCTTTTAATGAAAAACCACAGTGGTTCCTTAACATTTGTCAGCATCCTTTACATCCCTGAAAATTCTTCCATCAGTGGGGAGGAATTTATCTGCAAAGTCAAATTCAATTCATCTGGCATGCCCATGAGTCTGAGCACCACACTGTATGCAGGTAAATTATTTTCTATGTCTATGATAAAACGTTGGTTCTTTTGCACCCACAAGGTTTGAAGTAGTATTTCAGTGAGTCAGCTTTCTAATGCCATGGACACTACATATTGTCTGGAATATTCTTTGATCACCAATTTGACCATTATAAAAGTCACAAGATAAATCAGAGTTTTTTAAAACAACTTATCTGTGTGAGCAATGCTAAAGACCTCTGCTAATGAGCAGAGAAGGATCCTCTTTCTGTTCCATTTCTCCAAATCTGTAAAATGGGGAGCAAGATAGAATTAATTGATTTGAGTTTACTAAGCAATTGTGACTAAAACCAACCTCCTTTCTCTCTCCCCACTTCCCACAGAAACAACTTTCCATACAAATGACTATCAACATTATGCAATACCTTTGTCTGTCATAGGAATACTGGCATTTCTGCTACTAATTGTGATCTGGCTTTGGATTCGATGCTGCCCTTCTAGATTAGGTAACGTCAGGAAAATATATTCTATTTCATTGTGACATTCTGGCTTTGAAAATAGGAATATGCACATGCTAAGGCTTAATATGACAGCTAAGGTGGGATCCAGCTTCAACTATGGAGATCAAAAAGTCAAGATGGCAGCTGTCACCATATGTTCAAAGCCCTGCTCCTTTTATGTGCCCTTTGCAATCACTGGGTATTTCCCTTTCTGGGTATTTCCCCACTATTATCTTTTGATTGATTGAAAGAATTATTAAGATCAGCCCTCCAGGGATCTTCAGAATGATGTGCGAATAAAGCAAATTCAGAAAGGTCATAAAATCACAATAGAATTAAAATAAAAAGACTTGAGCAAAGACTGCCATTTTTTTGCAAGATATCCAGCTTATGCTCCTCAGCTTCCAGTTGAGGAGAAAAAACACCCAGCCCATCTTCTAGCTTCTTAGGGTGGAAGGTCAGGCAACAAAGCTTCTGAGGGTTGATGGCCTGTTCATTGGCAAGGAGTATTGCTTTTCCATACTCTTTCATAGACAAAAGTGGCCTTGGAAGCTTGGAAATTCTTTGACAAAACTGAGTAGGTTGATTAAGACCAATGATATATATAATCTTCGTAGGAGATTCAGAAAAACACATCTTTAAAAAGGGCAGAGACCAAGATATTTTGAGAGAGAGAGACACAGAGAGAGAGAGAGAGACAGAGAAAGACAGAGTCAGAGAATGAACAGCAGCAAGGGTGACAATACCAATTCTTTCATGGTATCATTCCTGTGGCTCTGCTTGCAGTTCAATCTCAAGACTTAAATATGATTCTGTTTATTGATTTTATTTGATTTATATATACCAAATATCTCTGGGCATAAGCACAAGATAGAGTCTTCAAGAGCCCAGGGCATCAAGAGAAAAGTCCAGTTAAATGTTAAAACAAAAGAGAAAAAAAGCAAAGAAAATTACATTTTTTTAAAAAAAATGTTTTCTTTTTTTCCTATAAGGTTTCCAGCCCAAGGATTCAGTGCCACCAGCTTTAGAGACATTACAGGTATGTCTGTTTGTTACTTTTCCCTTTTTGGACAATATTTCAAGTTTTGCTATTGCTTTTCCTAATGGTTATTGGTAGCCCTATGTTGTTAATTGTGAAGTCGTGTCTGACCCATCGCAACCCCATGGACAACATTCCTCCAGGTCTTCCTGTCCTCTACCATCTTCTGGAGTCCATTTAAGTTCACGCCTACTGCTTCAGTGACTCTATCCAGCCACCTCATTCTCTGTCGTCCCGTTCTTCTATTGCCCTCAATCTTTCCCAGCATTAGGCCCTTCTCCAGTGAGTCCTTCCTTCTCATTAGGTGGCCAAAGTATTTGAGTTTCAACTTCAGGATCTGGCCTTCTAAAGAGCAGTTGGGGTTGATCTCTTCTAGGACTGACCGTTTGAATGCCTTGCAGTCCAGGGGACTCGCAGGAGTCTTCTCCAGCACCATAGTTCAAAGGCCTCAATTTTTTGTTGCTCAGCCTTTCTTATGGTCCAACTTTCACATCCATACAATGCAACTGGGAAAACCATGGCCTTGACTCTACGCACTTTTTTAAAAAATATATATTTTATTAGATTTTATATGGGTAGGGAAAAGGTAGGGTCAGTGCGGGTACAGGAAAACCGGGATGAAAGGGTGTGAATAACTACAGTAAATACATAATTCAGCAAACAAGCTGTCATCGGGTCTTCATATTAAGTATTATTGTTTATATAATACTAGACATTTATAAGAATAAATCGATATAATTACAACTGACATTTGGTAAAAGATTAATATTCCTTTAAATAATTAACGTAGTTAATAGCATAACAACTATTTCCAATCATCAACCTTAATACTTAATATAGTAAAACTCTAAAATCTCTTCTTATTCTAACGTGTTTCAACCCACTGATAAAATTTTCCCCAGGTTTTATAGAAGATTGAATCTTCTTTCTCCTTTATCTCTAACGTTAATCTGTCCATTTCTGCACAATCTAGAATTTTCAAAATTATAATCTGGTCTGATGGTAGGTTTTCATTTTTCCAAAATTGGGCAAATACTATTCTTGCAGCTGTTAATACATGTAATATTAAATAATCATTTTCTTTGCCATAGTTAGGTCTTAATATATTTAACAGGAACAATTCTGGTTTAAATTCTATCTAGATTTTCATCATCTTGTCTAACCATCTATGAATCAATATTTTTTTGCAATAGAACATATCCACCAGGCATGATAGTAAGTACCCGGTTTTTGCTTACATTTCCAACATGTATCCGATAAATTTTTAAACATTTTCGCTAAGTGAACTGGTGTCATATGCCATCTATAAAACATTTTATATGTTTTCTTTGTATGTTACTGCTTTAGTAAGTTTAATATTTTTATCCCACAGTTTTTGCCAGTCTTCTAATTCTATTGAATATCCAAAGTTCTTTGCCCATACTATCGTTGTCTCTTTTACTTGTTCTTCTTCCATCTTCCAATTTAATAAATATTTATAAAGCTTCTTAATCAAATGTTCATCTGTTTTTAAAAGTATTTTATCAAGTGGGGTCAGCTCTTCGTAAAATCCCATTATTTTTATGTCTTTTTCATATCTTGTTTGAATTTGCAAGTAGGGCCACCATGTTAAGTCAATATCTTGTTGTTGAAGGGCTTGCCTGTCTTTGAGTTTTCCGTCCTTGTCCAAAATATTTTTATAACTAATAAGTTTATCATAATTAATCAAATTCGGGTAAGCAAATGCTTCCATCGTTGAAAGCCACTCAGGAATTTTCATATACATTTTGTGTCTAACTTTCTCCCTTTCAGAAAGTAAAATATTTCTTATAGCATGGTTTTGAAAGTACTTATGTATTTTAGCTTTCTCGTACCATAAAAAGGCATGCCAGCCTAGCTGAAGGTCATATCCCTCTAAATAGAGAATTCGCTTATTTCTCAGAGTAATCCATTCTTTAAGCCAAAGCAAAATAGCTGCTTGGTAATAAAGTCTCCAGTCCAGAAGTCCAAAACCCCCTCTATCTTTCGAGTCTTGTAGAAGTTTACCTTTAATTCTTTCTTTCTTTCTTTGCCATATAAATCTTAATATCATTGCGTTTAAATCGTCAAAAAATTTCTTACCCAGCTTTACAGGAACTGTTTGAAATAAAAAAATTAGCTTTGGTAAAATGTTCATTTTAACAGTCGCTATTCTTCCTAGCAATGATAGTTGGAGATTTTCCCATTTTCCTAAGTCAGTTTTTATTTGTTTTATTAGTCTCTCATAATTATCTTCTTCTAGTAATGTATATTTCGCCATAAGATAGATACCTAAATATTTAACTTTTTTAACCATTTGAAGATTTGTCTTTTTGGCGAGTTGAGTTTTCTGTTTGTTAGAAGTAAAGTCTTCATCCAGGTTCATCCAAGCCGGGAATAAATAAGCAAACATGGTGACTGCTTTGGGAAGAAGGTTACAGTTTATTGCAGAAAGATGGTTCTTCAGGAAAGAGCAGAAGAGAGAAAAAGACTGAGCACATGGGGCAGTAGGCTTTTATACCCCCTCTAGCCTTGTTTGGAATAGTTCCCTGTTCCTGTGGCATGAACCTTGAGGCTGTTTCTGAGTGTTTGTCTAGGCCTTGATATCTGTGGTTTAATTCTATTATCATATCCTGCTTCCCAGGTGATGGGGCTGATTCCTAGAGTTTGGGTGGGGTATGCAGATCTTCTCTTTTGTCTTCTTGATTGCTCTGGCTCCAACTTTCTGATGGTTTTACATTTGCATTTGTATGGGCCTAGCTCTTGCTTGGGGCAGAGAGATAGATTTGGGGCCAGGTTTGGTTTTAAAAAAGTCCTTTTGAGGAAAAATATATTTTTCTGCCCTTTTTAATATTTCTTCTCTGGGCTAACTTTCATCATGTTTATCAGTTAAATTTTTTAACACTTTAGTTTTTTCCCTATTTATTTTCAGTCCAGCCACTTCTCCAAATTTTTCAATTTTCTGCAAGAGTTTAGGGGCTGTTTCCAAAGGCTCCTCTAAGATAAAGACCAGATCATCCGTGAAAGCCTGTAATTTATATTTCTGGTCTTTAATCTCAAGACCTTTAATTTCTATGTCTTGCCTGATGTTTCTAGTCAATACCTCCAGAGTAGAAATAAATAGCAGGGGGGAGAGTGGACATCCCTGTCTCGTACCTTTTTTAATATCAAAGCTCTCTGTATAATCTCCATTTATAAGTATCCTTGCTGATTGTTTCTTGTAGATCGCTTGGATTGCTTTAATAAAGTTTTCACCAAAGTCCATTTCCTGTAGTTGTTGAAACATAAATTGCCAATTTAAATTATCAAATGCTTTTTGCGCTTCAAGAAATATAAGCGCCATCTGGTTCCCTGGATGATTTTCATAATACTCCAAAATATTTAAAATAATCTTTAAGTTGTTCTTTATCTGTCTTTTAGGAAGAAAGCCATTTTGGTCTGGGTGAATAAATTCTATTAAAAAACTTTTCATTCTTTCTGCCAAAATTGCAGCAAAGATTTTATAATCCACATTTAGTAATGATATTGGCCTATAGTTTTTAGTTTGTGTAGGATCTGTATCTTCTTTAGGTATCAAGGTAATGTTAGCTTCAGTCCATGAGTTCGGAACTTAGTCTGTCTGCAGGTAGTCCGTCCGGCCCCAGTGTCTTATCTTTTTTTTTTGTCTTTTAATTGCCTCTATGATCTACATCATTGATATCTTCTCATTTAACTTCTGTCACATGTTTTCTGATATTTTTGGAAGATTGCTTTTTTTAAGTAGTCCTGAATTGCCTCTTCAGAAATTGTCTCAGCCTTATAAAGTAGCTCATAAAAGGCCTTAGCGATTTTTTTTGTAAAAATTTTTATTTCAATTTTCAATATATTTAATACTTTCAAAACATTATATAATAAAAATAAAAAAGAAAAATACCTTTAAAATAAGACCTTAGGTGTCGCTCGTCTATCTCCCCCCAACTGCGTCCATCCTCTCAACCTTCCTTCCTACTTCCCTACTCCTTCTCTCCTCTCATCTCCTCTCTCCCCTCATCCCTTCCTCCCATCCAACTTCCTTCCATCCCTTCCTCCTCCCCTCTCATCCCTTTTCGGATACAGTTCAGGGGAAATACCCGAACGGCACTCTATCTATTTTATACATTAATATTTCTATAAATCTAACCTACTTAATCCCACCCATCCCCTCCCTCCCTACCCCCCCACTTAGTGATTTTTTTAATACCATCATTATGACAGTGTATTTCACCCTTTTCATCCAGTAATTTACTTATTGATCTTTTTTCTCTTTCTTTTTTCAATCTATATGCAAGCCATCTACCCGATTTATTAGCATTTTCAAAAAAGTTCTGTTTGGCTCGTTTAACCTGTTGTGCCATAGTATCAGTCTCAAGTAGATTTAATTTATGTTTTATTAAGTCCATTTGTATCTTCAAATTTTTCTTTTGTGGATCAGTTTGTAACTCCAGCTCCAATATACCAAGCTGTTTTTTCAATTTGGACTGTGTGAGTCTCTTTTCTTTGTTCCTTTTGGCAGCATAAGTTATAGCTAAACCTCTAAAATATGCTTTTGCCGTATCCCAAACATTTTGAATAGAAGTATTTTCCTTTTTATTGATCTTAAAAAAAATTCCATTTCTTTTGTTGCTAATTGTAAAAATTCTTTTTCCTTCAAAATAGATTTATTCAGAGACCATCTCAATATTTTCTTAGATCCTTTCCATGTCATTTTAATTGGGTTATGGTCTGCCCAAATATTTGATTCTATTTCAACTTCCTGTATCATAGTCTTCAAGTCATAGGAGATCCCATATCATGTCAATTCTTGAGCAAGATTTATGCCTGTTAGAGTAAAAGGTATATTGTGCCTTTCCTGGATTCATCTCTCGCCATATATCCTGCAAACATAGTTCATCTTTCATTTTTAAACAAGATTTAGGTAAAATATTACTTCCTTTCTTCCCTTGTTTATGGCTTTTGTAGTCTCAAACTGCATCCACAATTGCATTAAAGTCTCCCACTATATACGCACTTTTGTTGGCAGGGTGATGTCTCTGCTTTTTAGTATGCTGGTAGCCCTATAGATCTAGTCATATGACTGTTGTCTTTTAATGTGTGGCATATTCAAAAAAGGATGTCTTATTTGGGAGGGTCAAGAATATTTAAGAACTATATAATAAATTAATAAATAAGTCAATAAATCTGCAGACTGGATTCCTTATTTTTGGCTGTGAGAGAGAAGGAAAAATGCAATCTTCTTATAAAATGGCACCCCTAATTCATGGCTTGTACTCCTCCAGGTGTCTTATATACATATAATAGTATGGTTAATACACCTGCGTGCTTAGAAATAAGCCAACCTGAGTATAGTTTGGCTATAGTGGTTTTCTTGTTATGACTCTGAATTATTACTATTATTTCATTTCATCTTTTAATAATCAATTATTACAGGAGGACATTTGCTACTCTGATCTGGTGTTTCATTCAAATAATGAGGATAGGGAGAAGGCAAGACAAACATCTGTGAAGATCTGAGCAACCAGTGAAAACTGATAAGCAGAAACCTGGATGAAAAATATAACTCATCTTTAGAAGCTGGGATTAGAAACTCAGATCTGAGATTTTCATAGAATGTGACCCTAAGATTTGATTTTTCCCTTTTACAATGTAAATAATTATCTATTTTACACAACTGTCAATAAAGGAATGAGTATTAATATGTATTTGTAATAAAGGAATACTTCCAATGAACCACTGGTTTTCTCACCATTTTTTGGCTAGTGAGGAAGAGTTTTGTAAACAATCTGATTACAAGGTCTTAAGAAATTGAAATCTTGCACTCTTTTGTGATTTTGAAGTAACTTAATAAAGGTACAATATTAATATGTATTTTTTAATTCAATAGCTACATCATTTTGCTTTTTAAAGAAAAGAACAGTTCACATGCAATGATGGCAGTATCCATTTATTCTTTATCATTGACTTTGCTGTGAACTGAGTCCCATTATTCCTAGGTAGAAGAATTCCTTATCTATTTTATCTGTACTTGTAAAACTTTCCACACCTGGAATACTGCAACCAATTTTGGTCACCATATTACCATATTACAAAAAAGATGTTGAAGGTTTGGAAAAAATTCAGAGAAGAGTAACTAAGATGATTAAAGGCCTGAAGACTAAAACATACAAAGAACGGCTACAGGATTAGTCTAGACTTGGCTAGTCTAAAGAAAAGAAGAAATAGGGGAGACATGATAGCAGTATTCCAATATTTGGGGGCTGCCACAAAGAAGAGGGGGAGTCACATTATTCTCCAAAACTCCAGAGGGCAGGACAAGAAACAATAGTTGGAAACTGATCAAAGAGAGAAGAAACCTGGAATTAAGGAGAAACTTCCTGACAGACAGGACAATTAACCAGTGGAATAGCTTGCCTTCAGAAATCATGGGCACTCCATCACTGGAGACTTTTAAGAAGAGACTAGATAGTAACTTGTCTGAGATGGTATAGGACAGTTCTCCTGCTTGAGCAGGGGGCTGGACTAGAAGACCCCCAAAGTCCCTTTCTATTCTATTCTATTCTATTCTATTCTATTCTATTCCATTCCATTCCATTCCATTCCATTATGAACCAGATATTAAGAAACCATTGTACAACAGTGTCACATATTATACCAGTCTTGGTCAAATCATGTTATTATGTGGTCCCACTCCAGAGTAATTAAGGAAAGTTATTGATTTGATTTGATTTTAATTTTATTATTTATTTGACTTGTATGTTGCCCATCTCTCTTTGAGGCGACTCCAATATATTAAGTTATGTTTCTCCCAATTCTCTTGCACTACTTTATCCATTCAGATATTGAGGCTGGACTAACCTTCCCATACCCATTCTAAAAAAAAATCAATTCTTTTTTTGGAATTCCACGTTCCTAGGAAATGCTTAAATGTTTCAAGGAGGAATTGCTAAGCATTTTTTGCATGTAGGTTGAAAATTCCACTATATTTAGTCTGTTGCATAGTTGCTCCTGGCTGCCCCAGGCAATGCAGAATAAAGTCCAGCAGCACTACAGGTACTCACGACATACATCAAGGAAACTACAATTTGACCCTTTCTGTATCAAGTCACTATCATTTCAGATGGCAAATATTAACTTTGCCAAAGAGTAGCAACACACGGAAGTGTCACTGTACTTGTGACCTAAGTGTTTATGTCAGTTTCATTATATCTGTGACTCCCTTTCACACAGGATAGAACAACCACAGAGAAGAAGAAAAAAACCCATCTGGTTAAACTATTGATATTTTTCTGAGGAAAAAGGTAGAATAGTGATCTTGCATCAAACCAAGCCAATTTGGTCTAGTGGTTAAGGTCCCAGGCAGGAGACTGTGAGTTCTAGTCTGGCCTTAGGCATGGAAGTGGGCTGAGTGACCTTGGGCCAGTCACTCTCTCTCAGCCCAGCTCACCTTACAAGGTTGCTGTTGTGGGGAAAATGGAAGGAAGGAGTATTAGGTATGTTCGCCACCTTTATTATAATGAGGTATAAAAATAATAAAGGCAGGCTAATCTGAACAGTAAAAATTAAATTGCAAAGAAAGAGAGATTTGCTTATTGATCTTCTGCTTTCCCAATCTGCTCCCTTGTACCCATCTTGCAAAAGAAGGGATAGCAAAGAAGTCTGTCAGTTTCTGTCTGGAAGGGTTCCTTCACCTCAAACAGCAGTGGGTGTTTCTGTCCTCCCTGTACTTAATTTCCATTTCCTGCAAGATTTTTGCATCTTCTAATTCTTTCCATGTCTCCAGGCTTTCACATGGAAAAATGAGCATCCCCAGCAGCAGCCTGAGACAGTTGGTTAGTCTGGTTGGGAACAAAAAAGGAAATGTTCTCTGCAAATCTGAAGTAACTGGATCATTATCAGATGGCAAACTGCCTTGCCCAGACCTTCCCTTTTGCACTCTGGATTAAATGGTGTGAACATAAGCCACATTACACAAAGAGTGTTGTTGAGTCCTTGGCGAAAAGCAGACGCGAGAAGCAGTTGTAGTTCTCAGGTTTCCTTTTATTCTGTGTTCAGCTTACAAGTGAAGGCTTCAGCAACACCCAAAAGCTCCTAGCCTCTTATATAGGCAGTTCCCGGGTAATTGTGTTACTTTTCCCGCGCCAGCACCCGCGCATGCGCACAGGCGCTGGCGACAGCCTGTCTGGTCCCGGGCAGCTTGCACCTGCCCGGGACTGCCTGCAAACGCCCCAAGCCCGTTTGCAAGGCTCGGGACATAACACCCCTTTCCCCCGGGCTAAGACTACTACCAACATACAATTATTTCTTGATGCAGTGTTCTACTCTCCAGTGCTCCTACTGTTTACTGGCTTTTGTTTGGCCAGCAATGTTATGTAATCCTCTAAGTATTTAGGAGATTTCCTTGCTCTCTGTGACCTTCTCAGCTCTGGGTTTCTGACAGGTGTTTCCTGACTGAGGGGAGATGTGAGCCTCCTTATCATGCCTTGGTGCCTTCCAAGGACTGTGCCCCGATGCCTGGCCTGCTTGCTCGCCCACCGGGCTCGTCAGGCCAGGGCTTCGGTCACTTTGTGACCTGGTTGACCTGCCTAGCTGTAGGCCCTCGGGCCCCTTGAAGTGATAGCCACTGCTGGGCGTCTCTATAGAACCTCCTAGGTCCATCCAAGACCTGTCAGGAGGCTGTCCAATCCCTAAGCCCCATTCTGTGTCCGGGCTCGTGTGGGTCTCTGTACCTTCCCAAAACTCAGTTACTCCCTGATTTGGGCTAGAGGTGTTGCGGTCGGGACTTGGTTCCTCGACCACCTCCCTGTAAGTTTGACCCCCTGTAGGACTTGGGGTAAGGTCAGGCCAACTCTGGGGATTATGTGCCAGCTCTCTTGCGGGGTATGATTTATTGGGATGCTCCCGGGTATCCTCCCTGACTGGAGTACTGTGCTGTGCAGGTGAATAGTGATTGTACCCCCGGGGTGACTCCCTGGCTGGAGTAGGCGTGAATGCCTGGTAGTTGGATAGGCTCTTAGAATTCCTGTTTGGGGCACTCGCGGAATCTTGGAATGGGCCATTTGTGGCTCCATGATTGGAGGTGGGCAGCAGCTCGTGCCCCTCCCTTTGCTCTAAAGGGTCCCCCTCCCCCCCTGGAAAAGACCCAGGAGTCTCATCTGAAAGGTCCCGCCTAGGGCGGAGTTGGTCGATGTGCCGACGCAGGACACGACCGTTGTCCAGGGCTACCTCGTAGGAGAGAGGACCTGTGACCCTGGAAATAGAAGCGGGGACCCATGTATGACCAGGCCCGTAATTGCGAGTCCAAACCGGGGCACCCACAAGTAGTTGTCTAGGTGCCCTAGGATGTGAGGTAGATGAAGGCAGTCTGTCCGGATGCAACCGGTCAAGCTTCGTAGTAAGTTTGCGCCCCCAGCGAAGTTCAGCTGGGCTTCTCCCTGTAGAAGTGGACGGTGTGGTGCAGTAAGAAAGGAGAAAGTCAGCCAACCTTTGGTGCCAGTCCCCATAGGTGAGTCTTTTCAAGGCGTCCTTTGTGATGCGGACCATGCGTTCAGTCATACCGTTGGTGGACGGGTGGAAGGGTGCAGACGTGGCATGACGAATCATGTTAGCCTGTAAGAAAGCTTGGAATTCGGAGGAAGTAAATTGAGGGCCGTTGTCAGAGACAATGACATCTGGGAGCCCGTGTGCAGCAAAAATCCCCCTCAGTACCTGAATAGTCTTTGCAGTGGTGGTGGATGAGACAGGTACAACCTCAAGCCATTTTGAATGACTGTCAACGAGGACCAAGAAGAACTGGCCCTGAAAGGGCCCAGCGTAGTCAATGTGCACCCTAGACCATGGGGACTGTGTATCCTCCCATCTATGCACAGGAGCTTGGGGCATCTCTGGGCGAGAGCGCTGGCACAGGTGGCATGCATGCACCTTAGCCTCAATGTCCTTATCTAAACCAGGCCACCACAAGTGGCTGCGCGCAAGGGCCTTCATGTGAACAATGCCAGGATGACCCTCGTGGAGGGACTCTAAGATCCTAGTTCTCATTGAGGTGGGAATGACAACCCTGTTTCCCCAAAGCAGACAACCCTGAGAAGTGGACAACTCGTTCCTTTTGGACCAGAAACTCTGAAACTCAGGACTAGGGCAGTGCTCAGGCCATCCAGACAAAACCCAAGAAAGGACACGTGAAAGTGTGTGATCTGTGCCTGTTTCAGCGGCGACATCCCTGGCATTCAGAGGGGACTCGGGCAAGGCTTGGATGGATAGAATGTTGACAGCTGGCGCAGGGTCAGCTTCTACTACTGGCAGGGGCAATCTACTGAGGCCATCAGCATGGCCCATTTCTTTCCCAGGCTTGTGGAGTAAGGAAAAATCATATGCAGACAGAAAAATAGACCACCTAAGCATTCTAGGGGAAATGATTTGGGGAGTTTGTTTACGTGTGGTAAACAGTCCCAGCAGAGGCTTATGGTCAGTGAAGACCGTGAAATGCCTGCCATACAAGAAATCATGGAATTTTTTAATTCCAGCAACAACAGCCAGAGCCTCCCTGTCTATCTGAGCGTAGTTGCGCTCAGCAGAAGACAGTGTTCTGGAGTAATATGCAACAGGAACCTGAGTTCCATCAGACCTGAGGTGGCTCAGGACGGCTCCTACCCCGTAAGGGGAAGCATCACAAGCGATGCACACAGGA